GCCTTTATTTAAAACTTTATCAAACTTAAAGTCAGAATTACTATAAATGACAGCATATCAACAAAGATGTTTCATGTTAGATTTTTAACTCTTAAGCAGAAGTTGCATTTTGAAAGTGTATCAATTAAAATTGCAGTAAATATTAAGCTGTGAGTATAAAAATACAAAACTGTTTACAAAGTATAAAAATCTTGTTACTTAACTTAAGTCTAGAATAAAAATAGGACTTTACGTTACAGAGCTGTTGAAGAATTTTCTGTTTAAAAGCTGCCCTTGCGCTTTACAGCAAGTTATTTTTAAAAAATGCCATAACGATGAAAACAGACCTAAAATCTTGTTGATATTCAGTTTTTATATTGCACCTAGTCTTCTCAGCTTTACCGAATACAGCATGCATAAACACCAGCATGGAAACAAACCACATCATATGCTTTCTCTGATGCATGCAGAGATTGTCATACAGTTATTAATGGGACTGACATTTTACTGTATTATCTTCACTGTGATCTGACATTCCTTAACATTTCCTCCTTGGGCTGGACTCTGCTTTGCTTGCCTTTGGTTTACTGACATAAAATTTAAAGGAAAGGGTTTATTTTAATGTGAAATGTATGCCGCAGAAGGTTTTTAGTTTAAGTAGTTGAACTGCTTTCATCTTGTAATGGGAAGTACAAGAAGTTTAACATAGTTTTGGCTTCTCTTTCCCCCCCTCCCTCTCTTTTTTCTCTCTTTACAGTATTCACCCAACATGACGATGAGTGTGTGATTTTTTTTATTTTATCTTTTATTTTACTTTAATTTCTTTTTCATCTCCCCTTATCCTGACCTTCCCCCCATCTACCCCTGGTGCGTCTTGCATTACTCTCCTCCTCCCTCTCCTTTCTCTGGACGGTGTACTGTACCACCCAGCCCTTGGGGATGTCCTTGGAAAGCAGGACTCCCATCAAGGTCCCCCATCCCAATGCCTGTAAAATGGGTGTGAGAACATGAAAAGGCCTCCGAGCAACAGAAAGAGTCTTTCTTTCTTCTCCTCCTCACCTGCTGGGCCTCGACACGGGTCCTAGGACAGAAAGAGTCTGAACTGCTCCAAAACCTGCCCCCGTGGGTGGCATTCAAACCCAGTCAAGATGCCCCTTTGCATCTACCACCACACCCTTGTATCATGCTGGTTATAGCCTCTGAGGGCATGCAGTTGTTGACTGACAGAGGCTGAAAACTCTCATTCAAAAACTCTGCTTTTTTGACAAAAATGGTTTTTAAAAAGAGGAAGAAAAAAGACGGACTGATATAACGTTATTTTAGGACAAGAATGGTCTTCATTAAATGTTTGTATTTTTTGTTTTATGATGGTTATATTATTGCTATGATTTTCATAATTGATATTCTTCTTCTAATGTAATTATAATTTCCTGTAAAGGGCACATTTTATCTCAGCAGCAGCATCAATAATGACAGAATAAGCACACACTCGAAAAATGCACAATGATTTCCTGTTTACATGATTTTAGGTTGTCTTGTGTTTGTTTTGTTTTTGTGTCAGTCAGTTCACTTCATGTACTGCTCCTTCGAATCTCCTCTGTATCTGAAGCTTAAGTCTCTGCCATCTAAACCTTTAGAGCACCTAAATTTTCAGCCCAAACCAACCGTACAATTCAAACAGGCTTTCCTTATGCACCTAAATGGTATAGGAGTCAGGGCTCTTGTTTTAATAAGCCCCATCCTCTGAGTTTTCTATGCTTTTGCAGAAGCAAGTTAAAAGCTTGTAATGATTGGTAGAGCCAGTGCCAGTTCTCCATCAGTCACATCACATTCAGAGCAAGAAGGCATCACCTCTGTGGATTTGGTCTCATCTGTAAATACAGCTTAAGCTTGTATTGTGTGTGTTTTTTTATTGTTTGTTATTTACAAGTTTCTGTGAATCCTGAAAGCGGTTCTTTACCTTTCATCACCTTATTTGATTTCGACCTCAGTTTGGACTCCAAGTGGCACAGCTTTTCTCTCCCAGGATGCAATCTGGCCCATGTCTGATGGACTTTGGAGTTATTCTGGGACCTCAAATACACTCACGGAGCTGTTGTTGTTGGGTTTTTTTGTTTTGTTTTGTTTTGTTTTGCTGTGAGTTGGGGTCCTATACAATACAATAACCCAGACAGTATGGACTGAATGACCGCTTCTTGGGCACTCACACTGACCAGACCCCAGTGAGTCCTGGACAGACGGGACGGTGGGTCCTGGTTTATGTGAAGCTGACAATGGGAGCTGAGTGATGCACCTTGGAGTTAACCGACACTGCAGGAACACCTGTCTAAAAAAGGAAGAACAACAGTGAGATACTCTTTTTAATGGATGTGCATCCATTCTTATGGATTGTTTTTAGAAGAAGATATTTTTTATTTTAAATATATTCAAATGAAAAAGAAAGCCCACAGAATCTGCACACAAAGAGCAGCATAGTGACATATCACACTATTTAATTTGTCTCACTGTATGTTATGTACTCTGTCATTGTCTCTCATTCATGGAAAAATAATCTCTCCTGATATCACACTGCAGCACTTCCGTCATTTCTCAAACCAACAATAGCTAAACAACCATTGTAGCCTCTTAGGGTGATGGTGATGTATCTATCAATTTTCTGATATCAATGTGAACAGACTGTGCCGAACAGGGACATCTCCAGGATTTGGCTTTGGGTGGCCTGTGAGGAACACTCTTGCTCCAGTGCCCCTTAATGTAGTGACACACACTTCCTCTTCTACCCTCCTTAAACTACCCCCTCCCTCCTTTAATTTCCTTTTCTTTTGTAAATACTGTAAAATGCATTTTGATATCATTGACATGTTTTGATATGTCAGTCACTACCAATGAATACAGCTGAAAGTAAATTATAAATAAATCTGTCCATGTTTTTCATAGAGAACAGATGCGCTGACTATTTGGCTCATGTGGCTAAAGTTCCATGAAGATGTCTAGAATACAGTTAAACAATAAACGCTGACTGTATGTTAAAGACTTGTATGGTGGGGAGGATAGGACAGAGAGAGGACAGGACAGAGAGAAGCAAACAAACTGTGGCGTCCTCACTCTGCTCTTTTCTCCTTCAGTGTCAGTTAAATATTACTATTGGCTTTGAATGATCATCTTACTGATTTTTCCAAAGGGCATCTTCTCATAACAAAAACATGTGACCTCTTACTGCAGTTTTTAATATGAAGGATTTTTATCAATTTAAGAAAAACTTTTAAAAAGTTAAAAATACCTATAAGAACCTCATTTTAAATTAAGAATAGATCAAAAAGTAACTGTGTCCTTTGCTATTCGCTCCTGTTATTGTATAGATTGAAGCTCTCTCACTGATCCTCTCTCAGTCCTCTGTGTATATCGATCGTTGGCCATCTCTGTACTTCTATTGTGATGTATAATACTGTACCATTAGAAAGATTTGCTGGTCGGGTGGGGTGGTTATGTCGAGTCGGGGAGGGTTGGGGGATTCAAGGGTACAGGAAATGAATGATTCTCCTGTACTGTTTATGGTCCTTTCTGATGACACGGCAGTATTCAATATGAAGCAGTCTGTCTCTTGGGTTTGCTTTGTATTTACATGGTAGGATAGTTCAGAATCTTGTCTTAGGGACTTAGGTGTCTTGTGTAGGTAATAAAGATGTTCTTTGTATGTTTCTTTATATTGTAAAGTTTCTTTAGACTGAAAGAAAAACAGATAATTTGCTTATCAAAAAAAGAAACAATGCATCAATAATAAATGTCATTTGATTTTTCCTTGTTGTTTGGCTCTCTTCCATTTAGCTTTCCAAACCTGCTCACGCAAAGGCCTACACAGCACAGGAATGTATCACATCAGTTATTAAAATAATGCGTAGGATTATATTATATTTATTTTAAGCATAAACATGTGAAAGGTATAATTAAACCTTCAATAAATGTCTTAAATAAAACTTACTTTTATAGGAAAGGCAATCTAGAAGGGTATTCATGAAGTCTGGTTTATGTTAAATACACAATCCTGTCACTAAAATTAAATTGGCAGGAAGCTATTCGTAGATTTGAACAACCCACTGAGCATTTTTTTTTATCTAAAAGAGGTCTAATAGACATCTTAACGTAGCCTAGACGACTGGTCTAAAATCAGGCTACCACAGGTCTAGAAATGAAAGTTTTTTTAGACGTCTAAATTTAGACCAATTTTGGACCAAGTCTAAACCTAGGCTTTATCTCTACTACACTGTATATAGCTCAATGGCTATCATAATTATTTTGGTTTAGTACTTGATGATTAGATATGTAACTTACAGTTGCTTTTTGAAATAAATAGTTATCGGATAATGGGTTAAAGTGCAACATCTAAATTCTGTCTTAAAATATACAGAATCTAGATGGTTGACATTAGCTCTGAAAAAGACTAAATGTCTAAAAGCTGTCTATTGCTCAGTGGGAAGTGAGAAATTGAGCTTTATTGGCAGAACAATATTGCCAAAGAAACAAATATAACACAATAATCAATATACAGTCATTAGTTAATGAAATATATATTTGATTGATACTATGTATATATATATACACACACACACACACACACACACACACACACACACACACACACACACATATATATATATATATATATATATATATATATATATATATATCTGGCAAATATGTCAATTTTGGTAATCTTCATTTGGACGTGGCTCGACTTGATGGTGCCATTTAAATACCGTTTTTCAGTACTTAACTACTTTTGAACTATTTCTAAATTATTATGAACCACTTCGACACAGTTATAGGTATACAGGTTTTGATTTTCATGCTGGTTTCTAATCCTCTTGCTAAGAATGAGTACATAGTGGGACAAATTTTCCATATGAATAAGCCCTTGGGTCAAATATTAACATGCATGGAAAGGTCCAATAGCATTGCAGTTGCTCAAGGTTAACGGGAAGCAGTTGGTTAGTATACGCGAGAACTGTGTTGAAGTCAGTTTCACATTATACATCTACCATCCCGTTACGGCGCTCCAGGTCTTCTCAGTACACACATCAGCCTTACTTCGCGACCGTGAAGAGGGGAGATTGTCCGGGACCAAAACAAGGCTTTGCACAGATAGTGTAAGAAGGTATTGTACTGTTTATTTTTGATATGTGGCTCATAACACATTGCTCTTACAAGCTACCTCTATCCAGAGTCGATATAAACTGTGGGTTGTTTCAGGGCGAGATAAAAACAGTCGCTTTGCTAGCCTAGCCAGATTACAGCTAATGCTAGTTGTCTTCTGTGAACTTCCTCAGCTCCTGTCTGCTGTTAGCCTGTTAGCTGTTTCAAAGGTAGTGGTGAGATAACTTGTTAGAAACTTCTGGAAGCGTGGAGAGAGCTTGGAGGCTGATTTATTTGATCGGAAAAGGTATACGCAATAGTCAAGGATGCGTGAAATACAGTAAAGTTGCTAATCGTAGGATGCTACAATAAACACTTTCAGTTGGTTTCATGTTGCTACTGTTTGTTATGTCGTGTTGTTTTTATTCTGAAAAGACTTATTAACTCTTTTCGTAGTGTGCCGTGCGAATGACCGACAAAGAGGAGATCATGGACGGGTCTGACGGTTCTGACAGTCCGTCGCCGGTGAAGAAGAATGGACGAACCTCGTTGCTGGACAGCGGGGAGGACTTTGAGGTTTTAGATGAAGAAGACATTGACGACGACCCCCCTCCTCTGGAAGATGCTGGAGGTGGGAAGGGGAAAAACGTAGATGACTCAAAAAATGAAGCCCCAGAACCTCCAGTCCCTGCAGAAGAATGGCTGGATGTTTTAGGTATGCAACAGAGAGATACCATGTCAGATTGATACAGACTACATCCTATACAAGTTGCTATTTTCTAAGAGTTCATATTGATGTAAGGGATATGTAATTCCATTATCCCCTTGTGCACAACAAAGTGTAATGTGTATGCTCTATTGCTGATCAGGACCAAACTGAGGTTTTAAAAATTGGTTCAAAGGCTCAGAGAGAGAAACTGACCCCCAAACTCTACAAAATAGGACTTAACCCCAGCAAAGAAGCACGAAGTCTCGGGGTGGTCTTTGATGCTGATTTTAATTTCAAAACTCATGCTTGGGGGGTCACTAAAACAGCCTTTTACCATCTTAAAACATTGCTAAAGTACAACCGTTACTCTCTATAACCAGCAGGCTTGACTACTGTAAGGCTCTTCTCTCTGGTCTACCAAAAAGTACAATAAACCAGCTACAACTGATCCAAAACTTTGCTGTGAGAGTTTTGACTAGGACCAGGGGAAGAGCTCATATTACACCCATTTTAAAGTCTTTGCACTGGCTGCCTGTTAGTTTTCGCATTGATTTTAAAATAATTTTAATAGTTTATAAAGCTCGACATGGCCTGGCACCAGAATATCTTTCAAAGATGATTTTAATTTATAAACCAGGGCGGTCTCTCAGATCCTCTTAGTCTTCTGTTTTAGTCGTTCCACAGAGCAGAACAAAGAGATTTGGTGATGCTTCTTTTAGCTGCTATGCTTCAAAACTGTGGAACAAACTTTCAGAGGGTCTGAGACAAGCTGCAGATATTGAAATATGTATGTAATATATGTAAAGCTTCATTATTTTAATCACTATTATAATTTATTTATTTATATATTATAGTATCACTTTTTACCTTATTTTATTAATAAATTCAAGTTCATATTTTATTGTCTGCTTTAATCTATTTTAATAACTTTTATTTTTCTTGTCCTGATGTAAAGCACTTTGAGCTGCAGTTTCATTTGTATGAACAGTGCTATATAAATAAACTTTGATTGATTGATTGATTGATTGATGTGTGTATTCAGGTAATGACCAACTGAAGAAGAAAGTCTTGGAGGCTGGAGAAGGGAGAAACAGTCGACCGCAGAAAGGGCAGAATGTAAAAATCAATCTGAAAACATGCCTGAAAGACGGGACGCTGGTAGAGGAGCAGTCTGACCTCACATTCACTCTTGGAGATGGCGATGTCATTCAGGTAAAACTGGACAGTTTGAGATATTCCTTCAGGAGGAAAGGCTGAAATATTTATCTGTGGCTTTCACAACAGCTGGTGTTATATTTTCAATAACATGCAATGAATCTTGAACTTTCAGGCTCTGGATCTCACAGTGCAGCTTATGGAGATGGGAGAGAAGGCCCTGATACAGACAGATGCAAAATATGCATATGGTGCTCGGGGGAGGTAGGAATATGGTGTAATGATAAATCTTAAGGGATTTCTAAACTAAATCTTTCATGTTTACTAAAACAATCATAACCTCAAAGGAAAGTGTAAAGTGTAAGTCATCCTCTGCATTAATCTGAAGTCAAATTTCTGCATATGTAATCCAGGGATTGATTGCAGCCAAATTTAGCTTTTTCTCTTCCTCTTTCCAGTCTTGAACCTGAGATTCCCCCCAGTGCTGAGCTATCCTTAGAAGTCGAACTAAAGGAAGCCACTGATGCTCCAGATCTGGAAATGCTACCTCCTGCAGAGAAGATTGCCTTAGCCAGTCATAAAAGAGAGAGGGGCAACATTCACTATCAGCGCGGGGATTACGCTTTTGCTGTTAACTCATACAGCATTGCTCAACAGATAGCAGAGTCCAGCTCTAAAGGTGAGATGCAGGTCAGAAAGGAAAGATAGAGAGGTTTATATGAGGTTATATTTTTCAGCAGTTGGAAGTGACAAACCGTCTGTCTGCTCTTCTTGGTATGGAAGCAGGACTCTAACCTAGCAAAGCTCTCACTGGGGTTATGTATGTTGAAACACTAAAGTTCTGCAGTAGAAAAAGCTCTGAGATGTTCCATCTTGTTTTCAAGGAGATTCTTGGACATAAATGCTGTTTTCATAGTTCTGTTACATATCTCTACTTGTTTTAAAGCTTTGTTTTTGTTTTCCTTTTTAGTTGACATCAGTCCTGAGGAGGAGAATGAGCTGATGGATGTTAAAGTGAAATGTTTAAACAACATGGCCGCCTCTCAGCTGAAGCTGAACCACTATGATGCAGCACTTAAGTCTTGTGTTTCAGCCCTGGCACACCAGCCAGACAATATAAAAGCGCTTTTCCGCATGGGCAAGGTACAGACCACTTTTATTCATTCACCTTTTTCTGTTTTCTGTTGCACATTTTTTTAATTCTAAATGACGTGTTTTCACTCAAGGTACTAGCTTTGCAAGGGGATTACACTGAAGCTATTCAAACACTGAGGAAGGCACTGAAGTTGGAACCCAGCAACAAGGTAATTTCTGCCCTATGGATTAGATACTGTTGAAACTCAGGCAGCAGCATGGTTGAACAATCTTCTATAAATGGCCAGTAGATGGTGCTATAGGGTAAAATATCCAACCAGTTTGTATCGCAAGGTCAGGTGGACTGCTGATGCATCATTTCAGAGGATCTGTTTTCATGTTGTTGCTGTAAATAGGTTTGCCCTGAACCCCAGCCATATCTAATACCTAGCCTCTGATACTGGGCTACTGCATATACAGACGGGTATACAAGGTTCTTTTGCTAAACAAGGCCATCTGACAGAACTCGGCTCAGCGCGTGGGATCCTTGGATCAGCTGTGAGCTGTAGCAGGACTGCGCTCTTGCCCAAAACCCCCACTTGTGTCCTACACCAATCTGTTAAACAGCACATGGCCCAGCCACTATTTAAGCTTCCCATCCAACACATGCAGAGTAAAGACAATTGATGATAACATTTTGAAAGATAATATTTTAGAGGGGTTGTTTTTTTTTTCTTTTAAAAATCTTTAATATCCTAATGTGTCTAAACTGTGATTCTTGATGGAAAATTGACTGAAATGGGCTTTCAGTTTCCATCATCTAAAGAAACAAATTTAGCTGTAGTTCAGTGTCTTTTGTGGCAATACTATTTTCACCACCACACGACAAAAAACTAAAGAAACAGGTTCATTTATACTGGAAAATCTGCTAGCCTCAAGGGTCACTGGTGTGGTATTACCTTGACTACCTTGTGAGACATAATGTTTTTACCCTGTAAATGTTATGGTTTCGGCTCTAACAACAAGAAGAGCCGTATAGCTTCACAGCCTAACCTCATGTGTTGTTATGAATAAAGTTATAATCAATACTACTTGCATATCCCACAAGTATTTGTCCAGAACTGTTACATTTAATCAGACCTAATTTGGGAATATGCCGGATGAAAACCTGTGCACCTTTTTCTGCCAAGTATAATGAGAATAACGTGATTTTGTTTTGAGCTTGTTTATTTATCCTAAATAAGTTAATTTTTGATAGTCATATTTTTTATAATATTGGAGATTTACTGTGCATTTAAGTTATTTATTTGCATTGTTTCATTGTTTGAATCATTACCGTAAAATCAAAAGTAAATCAAAATAGCTAAATTTGAGTATGTGCAAGAAATGCAGGGTCCTTTTTGCTTTACCTGTGCAGTGATATAAACCTTCTGTTTTTGTAATATCCATCTACCAACACACTCTTTCAAACTAAGCTGTTCAGTCGTGAAAAGGGTCTTGCCTCCACAGCTCTACTAATGACAAGACCTTCTATACAACCCTGTGTTACCGCAGGTACAGTGGGTGCACTTCAGTACCAACATCAGAATGCTGCCTTTATAATCAGTAAGGCGTTCTTCAACAGGCGCAGGCGTCATGGAGTGACAGGATGATGTACCATTGCTGTCTTCTACAGGCACCGACAGACATGCTGTCTACATTTTTTACACTGAAGTCAGCTGTTTATGCCCTCTACTATCAATTCAAATGGATGAGAGAAGATTTATTTGTCTGGAGTTTGTTTACTTTTTGACGTATTTGCGCACACTTAGACAGCCTCATACTGTCTCATCAGGGTGTTTGGGATCAGAGATGATGTTAGGACAGGGTGTAACATGTTTGTTTGGCCTACTTTATCCTCATTTGGGACAGGTCAGTATTTTTGTCATTTTAGTGGATAGCTGATATGGTGATAACTTGCCTGTGGACCTTCACTCAAACACAGTTAATCTTGATGTTATCTTTAAGATTGAAAACTTACACTGACAATAAGATTAACTCTTACTACAAATGTTTGTGAAGGAACGGTGTGCTCAATATGAGAAAGTGCACATTAATGATAACACTCTGAACAGGAACTTCATCAGTCTGTCTGAAGCGCATTTATGAAAAACAAATCTTATTGTTTCTCTGACAGGCCTTGCTTGCCCAGCATTTACCGGCTTAGTGACTCAGATCTGTTCCAGTGACAAAACAATACCTGAACCCATCTCCTGGAAGTATGTTGCAATATTGGCAAAAACAAAGACTCGTTTTATGACGCACCGAAGAACAGCACAACACTTTTCCCAGTATTTTTTGATCTATGTTTGATCAATACCCTACGTAACTATCCATCATGATAATCAAAAAGTGATGATTACATTCCTCCCTTATGCCTTGGGATTCCACTTTTGATGCTTGTAAGACCATTCAATGATCACATGTATGCGTTAATGTGAGGATATTATCATTCCGATACACCCCTGTTAGGAGGTAATCAGTCTTGTGTTGTTTTACTGAAGTAGGATTTGTTTTTTAATGTTTGAATAGCCAGGAGTATACATAAGATATTGAACTGGAGCCTTTTTATCTTGTCTCTTCTGTATAGACAATCCACGCAGAGCTCTCCAAGCTGGTGAAGAAGAACTCCGAGCAGAGAGGAGCGGAGCAGGCCATGTATAAGAAGATGTTGGGCAACCCCACCAGTGGCAGTAGCACACAAAAACACAAAGCCAAGTCTTCTTGGGTGAGGCAGTCCTTCCCTGAATAAACAAAAATGTTACAGCGAAATCTCTGTCCATCATCACATGATGACTGAAATGTTTACAAGAGTCAAGGGAACCTTTGTGTGCCAATGAACCAGATGTCTCAGTAATTTATATTTCAAATTTGATCAGTATCATGCTTTGACTGTCTTTTATTGTGTAATAATACAATTCACCTCATTAACATTGACCTCTCTGTTACTTTTTCCTTCCCCAGGGTCTCAGCTGGAAGTGGCTGTTTGGTGCCACTGCCGTAGCCATTGGTGGTGTAGCGTTATCAGTTGTCATAGCTGCTAGAAATTAATCCAAACCTCTCCTGATGACCTGACTTAGCCCTGACAGTTTGAGAAGATCAACACAAAAGCACATCTGGCAGCCAAAAGGGGTAAAAATATCAAGTGGTCGGGTGCTTCTTCTTCTCTGTCACTCTCTTTTCTCTGCTATGTTTGAGAACTTAATGTGACTAATTACAAAGCATCAATATTTGCATCAAGACACTGTATTTTCAATCTTAGGAATTAGGAATATCCGCATTCATGCATGTCTGTCAGATTGCCAGACACTATTTTCATTTGCTGTTATTGTTTTTTGTCTTTGATAGATAATATTGATTATTTGCTTTAGGTGAAAAATCATTTACTGCACATTCAGGTAGGAGTTATCTAAGCAAATTTTTCCCGTTCGAAATAGCTTTTGTGTTAAGGTCCTACATTATACCTAGTTTAAAATGTCCGATTGTGCATTTACTTTATTTTCCAGAGAGATGTAATTCACTTCTTTATGACATTACCGTGTTTCATGCTTTCTGATTGAATGACGATCCTGTTTTATTTCAGCTTATGTGCTAGCTGTCACTCTCTCTGCAGTCTTTACATATACCCTGAGTGACCTGACAATTACAAACACAGAGATAAAGAGATGATACAATACATCAGTCAGGTTTTAAAACTTGAGCCAAAGTTATTAATGTGTTGAGTCAGTCTTATGGTGTCTATTTAGGCTGGAGTTTGATGCCATGATGAATGAGAGGTTTCCCTAAAGTTTCCATCAACATTGTTAAAAGTATAGAAAGACCTCGCCATGTTGCAGCCTATTCAAGTCATGCTAGTCTGACACAGCAACTTCAACAACATAACTGATTCACATTTGAGCTGACTGTGGGTACTGTATTGCCATACAAAACTGAAAGTGTGTGATTTTCCTGGTATGTTGTAAAATACATAAAAGCGTTAGTTAAAGAAGTTATGCTGTACTTTTTTGATAGTTGTTTAACAGCTAGGTTTGGTTCCCTCTAAACAGTTATGATGAACGGTACATGGAGTTTGTTTGTTGATATGGCCATGACAATGTTAAGGATAGTTTATTTTTAGTACTTAGTTCCAGTCACTTTATACCTCAGTTTTTGAAGACTAAGACCAAATGTTGAAGAAGGACCATTCAGGTACCACTTTTGGTGCTTAACTTGTTCCTCCATACTCTTTCACTGACAGAGTTTTCCATTACTTGTGTTCCCATCAGGTGTTTATTTATTTCCCTGTTTTGTTATTTAATTTCTGAAATACAGTTCAAGTGAAAGCCAAGTTTCTACTGCTACTCCAGTGTAGATGTAAGGTCCAAAGAGCCAAAAGTTGCTTTATTTCTTAACTGTCTGTGACAAATGAAGTGTTCTGCTTTCAACATCCCTTGCTTTTGTTGATTTTTTTATTTTATTTATCACAATAAAGATGTATCTGTTGTCAAACTCTTTCTCTTCTGCTTTTCTATTTTCTCTTTTGAAGTGAAAATGGGTAGTGTTTTTGGTGCAACAGTGTCCCAGTGACTAATGAGAGCTCTGTGGCATTTACGCCTCTAAAAACTTCCCTTAGAGAATTTAGAAATGTCAGTGCTCTTACATGAGGTATTTATCATTGAAATCCAGTCAGTATGCTATATAACAGCTTCATCAAAACAGTCGTGTTTTCATGTAATCAAGATAGCCACGGCATTAATATCCAGTGTTTACATTTATCCTGTTGTATTTGTGTTGGGCCAGACATTCCCAAGTTGTGTGGATATTCCCAAACAGGCTTTTTTCAGACATTGACGTTTCGCTGACGTAATCAGATGACCTATCGTTTCCCCTCTTCCTACGCACTGCCGACGTGCGGAGCTCATTCTTAAATACCGTGGGGACTTCATATTCAGAATGTTTTCCCTCATAATTCATATAAACAAAAGCAAAAATTAGAACTATATGTTCAGTGTAAATGCTCAGACGAAATCACGTGTTGTGTCAGAGTTGGTGTAAGATTTTTTGGAAAAGTCAATTATTTGTTGTAACGACTTAAAATATTATTTATATGTTTTTGTATTGATTATTGTAATATTAAACCATTGTGTTTCTATTTTTTATCATACAAATGCGACTTTAAACGTGTTACTAACTGCTGGATGACTTCATCATCAGTGACCGGTCATTGAATATTCATTGAAAAGCAACGGGAGTTCTCGGTTTACGACAGAGTGCGTCCGTGCGCGTGGTGGTAACGGTAGCAAGATGGCGGCGCTGAAGGAGGAGCAGTGCTACGGACTGTCCTGTGGAAGAGTGAGCAACGGTAGCAATGTCTCCGTCTTTCACGTTAAACTCACTGACAGCGCACTGAGAGCTTTCGAAGGCTATCAGAGCAGCAAGGTAAACGTCTGTTTTCAGTGTGGTGACATTTTGTTTTTTTTATTTGAAATGTGTCCGGGCGTCAGTGACAGTCAGGCAGAGTGAGGTCAGTCGCCTCTCTGCCTGCCTGCCTGCCTGTCTGCTGCTTTCATGCTGTGATACTCAGCAGCAGCAGGCTGACCGTGGCTGCTTAGTTTGGATTGAAAAGTGTCGACTTTAGCAACCACAACAGCTCTCAGCCGGCCGAGCTGACTGGAGGTGGATGTTAAGGTAGCTTTGTGTGGTAGCTACACCCAGACTCCACGCCGTCTGTCGAGCCCTGTGAGGTTTCTCAGTCCTTTAACAAGCTGACTGCTCAGTCCTGCTCAATACTCAGCTCCACTTATTTCAATTTTAGGGTGTCTGCCATAGTTTTCGTTTTAACTCGTTTCTTTGGATACATTTTCTCTCTTGAATGCCTCTTACCACCTTAAAGAATGATTGCCGAAAATATTTAACAACTTTTGTCGTGTTACCAGAAAGTTTGTCTAACTGTCATAAAATCCGTTAAATCCAACAAGCTAACCGAGCAGCCACTTTCCCATATATAATGCTAATGTCTGCATGTATAGGAGACGTTCGCATAATGTGTGGGAGTTGACTTTAATCATTTCTAAATGTAAAATTCTGGGAAATCCCTGTGGCGTTTGAGTTTCTAACGTAAAAACCAGAGGATAATGTGGAAAAGTACCTAGTATTCCTGCGAAAAATGGCCATCTCCTTTACCCACCCCCTCACTGTCCTCACAGTCCTCGCAGGCTCGTGTTCATTTGATAGCTTTAGAGGTTGGTCGAAGTTGTTAAACAGTAAATTTGGCATGTTAAATAGTTTTTATTTGTTAAAATAAAGAGGGTAATACGACGTCTAATCGTTGAAAAGTGTCTCCTGCTTCTTGTTGCTAATTGTGCCTTCTGGTCTGGATTTATAAGTCTGTTGATGGTCATCTTACGTTTCAGCTTCTATAAATATTTGACAGGGAAAACCTGGCAGGCCAGCAGGACAGGGCCTTATCTCAGCTTCAGTGGCTCTGTGCAGCAGGCCTGTAGCTGATAAGCCTCAACAATAAAATTGTTGCAGGTAATTGGGCAGCTAGGATGTGTAGAGTTGGTGTTGACCTAATACATAATGCACACAGTGGATTGTCAGTATAAAGGGCACACCCCTTTTGACTCCTCAAACAATGTAACAGAAAGACAGTGATTTAATCTTCAAGTTTTAAAGGGCCTTTGAATATTACAGTTGATGAATAGGGGTGGGGATCTGAGGATTTCTCACTTACGAGACTCACAGGCTCCAATATTATCACAAAACAGCAATTTAGCAATAGTTGAGAATTAGCTAGACAATGGTATGATGAAACATCATGATGTTTGGTTAAATGAAGAATACAAAACGCCTCAAAATGGTAACGTGCCATTATCAACACCACCAAATCACAATGTTGTGATGCAGCACGTCAAACTGGAAGGGAAATTTATTTTGAGTTCTGTATTATTTTTTTCAAAAAAGATATGGATACTTGGCACCAGCAATGCTGTAATAGCGCTGCACAAGTGAAGACAACAGCTTATTGCCATATTTTTGTTCTTGCCCCACCCTTTATGTGGACTGTTGACATATTGCATTTTCTGAGGAATGGGAATCGAGAACCGGTTGTTGTTGAGAACTGGTCCCAAATGGTTCAATCCATCGACATTGTTTACATTTTATCTTAACAATTCCCTTAATGGTTCCTTTCTTCCTGTCGTCACCCGTGGCTGCTCCGTCTCAGCAACGGCATGGCAGGTACATATGTCCTGTTAAAATAAGCTTAATGTATGCCAGACTTGGACTAACTGAGTTAGAAGCGCATCAAAAACACTCGACCCGACCCAAAAAACTCCAGAAATTTTGCGCGCGACTCCGCCTCCGGCTTCGTAATGTCCTGTTTTTGGGGATCCAGAATATGGTCACCCTAATTTGACTTAATAATGACCAAAGTTAACGCTGCACAAATAGTTTGTTGTTTGATTATTTTTAGAATACTGTTATCAGAGACTCAACACAATTTTGAGTTAACGGTGAAAACCCATAGTCTAGTTTTCTTTTTTTTTTTTAAATCAAAGAAAGGCATTGATAAGAGAATCATTAAAGAATTGAATCAATAATGGCATCGATATCAATAAAATCCTATCAATTCCCATCCCTACATTTTCTTTACTTTTTCTTATAGTATTTCTTGAGGGGAAAAAGTACTTGCTGTTCTTTGATCCATGTTTCTTAATTTTATTTATTTATGAGCTTCTGTAGTTAAGAGGAGAAAATATGAAGCATTTGACAAGAAATACTTGTGTTGCTACATCCAACATAATTAACAGTTACAGATTCGCTGATCGCACAAATCTGTGTTGATAGATATTAGTGTTGTAAATATCAATTTCAGTTTTTGTCTGTTTTGTTAACAAGCCATGAGATTTGATGTGTTAATTGTTCATTGTACTCCTACCTCTGAGCTGTTATCGGAACATGTCTTACAAACTGCATGTGACTGAACTTTCTCTGAGATGGTCTCAATAGTCTTGCATTACTATCAGCATTTAGTTTCACATTTGACCATGAAAACAAATTAGAGTTTAGACAGGTGACTTCCTCAGAGTACGACCAACCACTCCTCTGAGTCAGCAGTTTGGTGAACAAGCTTGTCACTATGAAATTGATTTGAAATAGAACATGATAGAGATAAACATTGGCTTTTGACCTCTTTTATACACCAGTGTCTGCATAGAGGACTAATACCAATTTTTAACTAACACATTAGTGTATTACTATCAATCTCACATTACACACAATGCTTGTTGTGTCAAGTGGGTAATGAAGTATGAAAGGTTAGGTCTACCTTTTAATGAAGTAATTTTCTTGTAAAGGCTTGCAGAGTCTGTAACCTTACTGCCCTCTGTGTGACCTTTTCCTCGTAATTTGAGTGAACACTCTTACTCACAGTCTGACCAGATGTAGGCCATTGAGCAATCAGATGTTTGCATATTGTGGTAGCTGGGGGCCTTTTTGTGGTGACAGTTGAGAGCAGTAGGCTGGAAGTCGTAAGCGCTGCACCATTTTGGGGCTGTTGATTAGGGCCCGAGCCGAGAGCGCAGCTCTGCGGCAAAGCCCTATTTTAATCCAAGGGGTTCTCGATTATTATTATTATTATTATTATTATTATTATTATTATTATTATTATTAATATTTTTTCGCCTCCAAAATGCAATTTTGACCCCAGAACGGCCTCAAAAACTCACGAAAATTGGCAGATAGGTCGGGCCTGGCAAAAATCACAATGTTTTAATGTGACCCGAGAAAGGTGATAAAAAATGACTCGCTAGCGCCCCCTACAGAGCGCCACGAACGTCAACTTTTTCCGATCTGCCCGAAATGTTACAGGCACGTGTATCTTAATGAGATCTTTGATTTTGCGCTCTTCGACTTCTTTCTCAGACACACGGTTAAAGAGTTATCGCGCTGTTTTCGCCCCCTCTTGGCCATTTTTATTGGTCACGCCAAACGTATCTTGTTTTTATTATTATTTAACATAAATTTCTATACTTTCATTATCTTTAAGGATTGAGACAGCGACATGAGGCACAAACTGACTTTTATTGAGGCCTAGTCATGGTGTATTTACAGAATCGCACATACTGAGCAAACATCTTACACTGATCAAGCAAAGGCAGGCAGGTGCATTGCATGTCTGATTAAATTATATTATCTGTGTGTACACATTAGATTATGTGAGTGTTAAAAACAATGATCTTCTCAAACAGCACAAGTCATAAGAGCTCAGAGACATGGATGTTTAGAGGCAGCGCACTGAATTTCAAAGACAGTAATGACAGCCTAACAACTCAACTTATCCGTAGTGCAAATATACATTTTGCCTGCAACTAATGCATAAGACGTGCTCAAATACAGACTGTCACATGTCTTCCTATGTCTGCACCGAAAATGTGGTCCAATTTCTATCAAGTTCATTAACTGTCTAATTTATGTTGACATAAACCTCTACTTAGTGATACAATTTATTTTTAAGTTATTATCTATTTCTTTTTCATGTAGCATGATATCTATTTTTGCCAATTTTCATAGTTTCATGTGAAACACAAGGTCAAGTTGGGTTATTAATCACATCAGATCATTGGCCCTTTTTGCTGCTTTGAGTTGATTTGTACCTTTTTTTTATTGATCATTAAATGGGTTGAAAATGGTGCTAATGGTAATGTACATTTCTGAATCAGCACCCCAAAGCAGCACTCTGCCCATTTTTGAGCAGTGTGCCAAAATGAAGTTTATGGAGTGACATTTCAAAGAGGGTTCTCTTACGATTGAATTTTTGAATTGCAACTAATCTCTGAATTACTAATCAGAATTTATAGGTGTCTAAATCGTGTTAATAGCTGTCCCGGCAAATTAACAAAATTTTAAGTCTATGTATATGTCTTTATTGGGAATCAAAGGAGTGCAATGAATTCTAATGAATGATCTTGACTTTACATGAAAGGAATGCTTTAGTAGAATTTAAGTGAGGTTGTATTACTGACATGTCACGAGTAAGTGTGCCAGCCTCAATGGGTGCCCTTTGGTGAGACACTTTGCAGGCGAAAGTGGATTCGAGGTGTGCCACTGTTGTTGGCTAACAGGGTTGACTCTGCAATGTAATGCACATGACTGGTCACAACATGCCAACCTGAAAATGTCCCGAAGACCCTGAGTCCTTCCTGATGTTTACTGACCTGCAGTCAGTTGCCACGTGTTTAATAAGTACTCAGTTAAATTGAGAATGGCATGTGATTAAAAAAGTTAAAAAAAAAAAATATATATATATATAAATAAGGACCTTAACCAGACCAGGATTGATGCATCAGTGCAGACAACCCTGGTTTTTAGTTGTCCTTTAAAAAAAAAAATTACAATACAAGGGCAGGGCTTATTATTCTCAAAAGTGCCAGACCCACTACTTGAGCTCATATTACTTTTAGTGCAGTTCAGATATCTTTTCTAAGAGCTGAGCTTCATCAGCTTCCTCATAACTCAAACCCCGGCAGGAGTGAAGTGGGAACTCTGTAAAGGAAGAGGAAGAACAAGAGTGACACACACATTTCAATTTAGGAGGTGCGGCTTGTTCAAGGATGTGATAAATGTTTGTGATCTAATTTTTGCTGCTGTTTTACTGGAAACTGTATAAACCTTAGCAGACCCCTACTTTTAAAGATACAAAAGATATAGTACAGATCGTAACAGGCCTATCATCAGCATGATTGCTTTGAGAAGCATGATTGCTTTCTGCAGTGTAGATAAACAACAAAACTCTTTCAAGCTTGTTTATGTGGTCCCCACGTAAGCTACCCAAGTGCTCAATGTTGTCCTAGATACATGAATTTAAAAAGAAAGTGTTCAGGGGTATGACTGCACTATGTGTTACCAGATTACAAGTAGCATTGGCTGAATTGTTGAGTGCTTCCTGTATGAGCAGTGACAGTCAGCTGGTTCCTCTGGTAGTGCGCTTGAGGACAAAGTGAACAGGGGCTCCCGCAGTGGTACCAGCAGTCCAGATAGTTTTTTTAATTTCCCTTTTCTTTTACAGAAATTGCAAACAAAGCATTTTCATAGTTTAATTTGGTTGTACTCAGTTTTTTTTTTTTTTTTCATCTTGGCAATTGCCGTTTTTTGCAAATCCCAAAAAACTGAAAGCCTATCAAAGGTAAAACAAATGTGCTGAGATAAAAGATATGAACATTCAAAGTAATTCTTGGATATTTTAGACATGAACTATGAACTCATAAATCTGTAGTTTTTGCACTGCAGTGTTAAACAGGTAAGAGTTGAGTAGTTCTATTTGAATGTCAAAGCCTCTGTGACCCAAGTGGCATGTTTTTTCTTGCAATGGGATAAGCTAGTAGAATGAAATCCGCCATTTCAATTACACATCACAGTAGTCAGTGGGTAACCAAATTCCCTTGATTATGTGATTTTTTTTTCTTCTTCTTTCCTGTTTATCATTTCAAAGTATTCACTGTCTGCACAGTCCATTATTAGACTGATCAAGATTTCATTCAGAAATGATGAATCCTGTAATGTATCTTCAGTTTATGCTTATTTATGGTCCAAATTGGATAAAGTGCTCCTTTTTGTTTCTTGGCTGATCTTGTCCTGTTCACGTGAAAGGCATCCCACCTTCCTTTGACAACGAACTGTCTTGGTCTCTGTAATTTTTCTTTGGAAAATGTAAATACCCCCTTTTTAGCAGTTTGCTGTTGTTGCCTCATGTGACACCAATCCCCTGGCAGTGATTTTTTTGTCATAAAAAATGAATAAGAACCACTCAGACTTCTTCCTGGTGGTTTTGTTTACTTTTGTAGGCATCAATATTAATAATAGTCTTTTTCATAACCATTTGAAAACTCCTCATTGGAGCTTTTAAGGAGGTGTCTGTGAAGGTGAAGCTCAGTCCTCTGTAACATAGTTGTGGTGACAGGCCACAGGTTCAAGTAAAGTGGTGAGTTAACACCTTGTCATCTTGGCTCTTGTGATTGACTGCAGCCCACCTTCCTTATGGGAATGGTATGGCAAGTAATGGAGACTGGGTGGGTATTTTGTTGCTTGACACTGGTCAGCCTGTGCCAGAGCTTTGGTTATTTAAGGAATGCTGACTCCTCACTTTCTGCAGATCACGGGACACTGCAAGAGATGACCAGCACTAATGCCAAATATCACTCTTAATGTCATGGTGTTCCTATGTGTGACCATGTCAACCTGATGTCAGAGAACAGACTCTCTGACCTGCCGTTTCTCTTTCAACAGGCAGTTCAGTCTCTGGTTGACAAACGTGCTTTGTGCCTGTAATGTTTGACTAGGCAGCTTGATGCTTGAAAATGGGTCAAGCATACACCTTTTTTATTGAAGCAGAGGGAACAATGCAGTTTTTATGTTATTCAACATAGGATTGGACCTAAACACAATGAATCAATGCTTAGACTTAAGGTCCTTACACACCGGGGCCCGACACAAATATAGAACGTGAAATTATGAAATATTCAGAGGTGAATTTTGATGGGCCTGACTATACACATCAAACCCGATGCGATTTTGCGACTTTCCGGGGGGGCGCAACCCGGAGAAGACTTTTCCCGGGGAAAGTCCCACCTCCTTCGCCTCTGATTGGCTAGAAAAGCAGGAAACGTCATCACATGCTCAAGCCAAACGGTCAGCACTTCTGGCCAATAAGAGGCAATAAGATAAGCACATGAAAATATGGCAACCATTACCTTACGTTAGCACAGATGAAAGTTCTCTGACACGTAAACAATCAGCCGGTCGGCCATCTTGGATATACCGGTGAATCACACGTCGCAACAACACGCAATCTGATTGGTCAGAAGTGGACAGACAGTATGCGAAACTTTAGAAAAATCGACCACAATCCAAAAAAATAAGTGCCGCAATATCGCAGGACGGGAAAACATAGCTGATGTGAACGCTTGTATTGACAGGATACGGGTTTGAAAAAAAATATTGACGTCCGAAATAATCACACAACAAAAATGGTCGCGGTGTGAAAGGACCTTTTAATGTCAGAAAGACTCTTGCATCAAGTCAAAAACTTGAATGTGGCCAAACCTTAAAAACAAACCTTTACAAAAAAAATTACATTACTATATTTCTCTAGAATCTCTTCTTTTGTGCCTTTCAAAATTACTCTTGTTAATGTTAACATTTCATTTTTGTTTTAATGTTGTTTGTTAGAGTTCCTGTCTTCTTGCTCACAATGGTTGTTGAGATCATTGATCAGACTTGATTTTGTCATGTATGCGATGCCACTGCCACCCCTCATATTGCAAGTATCCCCCTGGAGTTGTTGGCATTACCAACATGAAATACCTCCAAACTGGTGAGCCACTGGAGCTAGCTCCCTTAGCTACTTTTGCTTTCAACTCAGTGAAGTATTTTGCACTAATGACATGATATGGGAAGTAGACTGTTTATGTAGCACTTTCTCTAGCCTTCTGACAACTCAAAGGGCTTTTACATTACATTCACACTACATTCATACACTAACAAGAGAGTGTAAAGTACCCATCAGTAATAAATAATCCCATTCACATGCTGCTGGATTCAGCCAACAAGGGCATTATGAGGGTCTTGACCATGGACACTTCAGCATTATTGACCACACTATAACTATTATAACAGTAATATACTATAATATACTATTGACCACATTTATAAGGCTCTTGCTTGAACAGAGCTTTGTCAAGTCTATAAACAGTCATTACATTTAAGTTAAGCTACAGTTATGGGTCTATAAGACGATTTAACCTTATTGGGAATCAAACCAGTTATCAGTCTTAGTTTTCAAATTAGTAACAACACTAATTATATGATAGAGAGACTGAATGCTAATTTTAGCATACTGGATTAACTAATGTGTTGTTTTAATGAGATTAAAGCCTGGTGGCATAGGATTTCTTTTCTAACTTTACTTTTTTAACTGTCCACTGACCACAACAGATTATACAAGCAGATTGGCACATATGTGAAGTCAAGTTGAATTCACATGATCTCACGGATGATCAGTAAAGAAGCGATACAGATGTTTTAAGGTCGCTGAAACTTGTGGCCTGTCACAAATGATTTAAAGGAAATGTTTGGTTTGGTTAATGTTTGGTGTTTAAAGCTCCCTGCTCATGGTGTGGTGACAATGTCAATATGGTTAATCCATCTGTAACCAACAAATGAAACTGTAGGTAAACACAACAGAAGAACCATAGGGAGAAAATCAAAGTCATGCAAAGAAAAGCTAAGTACTTTGGCGTTGACATAGTTTCTACCTTTACTCGTGTTTATAGCCAATCATCTTGTCATTTGAGGCCACCTGTCTTTAAAGAACTATTGATAAAATGTACACTTTTAGGAAATAATCTATCTGCAGTGAAACCCCAACCAGGCACTGATACCAAACGTAAATGTTTTTCTTCGTTTTTGACATGGTTGAAAGGTCACCATCCTTTGCTAATGCTTCAGGTTTGTCCACTTTGCTCTGGCTGCTATGAATGTGCACTGAGTCATCACTTTCACATCATGTTCCTCCCAGATTATTAGAACAGCTGTAGACACTGTAAGTGAAACTTGGATGTGCCTCTCTCTGAACTCGAACATGTACACTCTATGAATCTTTTAAGTGGTGGTCCATCACACCCTTCAGATATTAATGTTACTACGCATGCCAGATAAGAGCAACCTACTACCTCACTGAAGTAAATGTGCAACAACTTGTTGGTAGTGATATTCTGCAGTAGCACATAGACAACCAGAGGGCTACACTTGTCACGTTGAGACAACAGTTGGAACTATGTGATCTTCAGTGAGAACAACGAGGACAGCTTTAACTGTCAGTTTTTGTTATCTGAGAATCAAGCACAGGCTTCAAGGACCTAATGTTCTTCGTCATGTTTCATGGATATCTACATTTTGAGCATGCCTGATAATAGGTTAGCCCATGAGAGTCTGCCAGCTGATCAGTTTGCAGTTTGCTACTTAATGTACCAGTTTATAAAGATTCACATAAGGATGTCCCCCTAGGCTTTGTTGGCCCCAATCCAGATCTTAATCCTTAGATATTGAGTATCCACCAACACAAAGTCCTGGTTTGCACACAATTTTTTAAGTAAATAAGTACATTGTTGTAAAACTCATATCCAATCTGTTTTACACAGTCTGCTTATGAGACCCAAGAAACTGGTGTGCTATGCATACATTGCTACATGCTTGTACTTGAATCTAGAGACATCAATCCAGGCTCGGTTATGACACGGGACAAACATCAGCGCTTTAAATGTCTGTTGAAAAACCTGCCGCAGTCTCCTTATGTTTTAAATCATGTTATATGTTGTCACAGGCTTTACTGTACAGCTCTGGAAAGACAGTTTTTAATATGTGGTTTGAAGACTCGGGACATACCATGACTCTAATACATAACAAAAAAGTGGTTGTCCAAAGCCATCGTTCAACTACCAGCTCTGTAAACTTTTCTGGCCCTTTGGATCTCTTGAGGATGTATATCCTTCCTTTCCAAGTCCAGGGTTTGTTGCTTCAGCGCAGCAGCCTTTCCTCTGCTCCTTTGGTGGGTTCCATTGTATATTGCACCTTCAGATGAATCAAATTGCTAGTATTGAATGCATCTTGTGAAATCAAAGTGTTGCATGTATCACAAGTGGCTGTTGGGCTGTTTTTGTTATTGTTTTTGCTTTCTTGCTGACATGTTAGCCACAGGGTTGCTGATGCCATGATGAAATATTGTTCTGTGTTGGGTTTATCTTGTGACCCTCGTGTTCCTGGAGAATTTCCTTAGGCTGACATTTAGGGGTTGTTGTTGGGATTGTTTTAAGCTGGTTGGCTGTACACATTCATTTGTGCAATACAGTTTAAGCCATGGCTGAAATTCCACAGCGGTTACACAGAGTTACTCTCACATTTATGTACTACCCAAATTGCGCTGACATGAATGGTTGAGGTGAGATAATCGGTACAAATTGCCAATTTCTGATTTAAAAAAAAAAAGGCTAGATTGGCTACTATCCAAAAGTTGAGTTTGGGGGTGTGACAGTCCTTGACAAACTGTGTTTTTAGATCAACATATAATGCTATTTAAATTTAAAGACAGAAGGGTAGTAGTTGTACGAAATGAAGAATAATCCTTCTTTGATTAATGAAGCTCACTGGATGGAAGGCTAATGAAGGCTGTAAGACTTTTCATGTAGATTACCACTTGAAGTAAGTGGTGCACTGCACACGCAAGACATTTGCACTGTCGTTTAAAGAGCAAGATCAAAGTAGTTAACATTCATGAGACGAGAAATTAAGGCTTCAAAGGGTTTCCTGCTCTCAGCGCAGAGCCAATTTAAGTGTGTAGCTTTTTCACTCTAAAACTCAGATATTTTAATGTTTTGCACTAGTGCACTACATTTTTATATTCAGAATATGAGTATAAATACTCAGCGGAGGGACACCCAGTTCAGTGTAATCTGTGTAGCATAAAGTGCCCTCTCCACCTCTGAAATCCTATCTACTGTGGAAAATTGGCGTGACAGTGATGCAACGAAACACCTGACAACTTGGGTGCCTCCGCCATACCCAGAGATTAGGGCATGGCTATTCCTGTGTGCATCTACTACAAAACAAAGAAATCCTTTGGAGGGACACCCTGAGAGAGAGAGAGAGTGGAGAGTTGCGCTGTACAAGGACATAACTTGTATTTATCTCATCAGTAAGTCAATATGAAGAGGCTAGAAATTGTCCAAATTATGGCAAGTTATGAACTTGGCATATTTACTGTTCATTTAAGCGATGAAATTCAAACTTTGCTGACAAACTAGATGCATCTCTTCAAGCCGTAGATTTGTTTTCAGTGTCCCTGCTGGCAAATCTTACAGCTAAAAACAAGCAATTAAACAATTTTCATTGTAAAATGCAATCATCTGACGGCCAAAGCGGTAAACGAATCATTAAAAGTTTTACTGACTCATCCAGGACTTCTTGTTAAAACAAAATTGCTTCAAAAACTTTTAATTGAAACATAGACAAGTCCCTGATGACTGGATGAGCGGATGAATTTCTAGTTGCTAGCTAAATAAGAATTGTAAAATGTTTTGTAGTATTGCTGGGCTAACTACTGTTTCCAAAGTGAGAAAATATGTCCAGTTTAGAACACAAATAATAGCCATGGAGTCTCGGTATTGATGTGCAGTTCAGTATTATTAATGGGGTCATATGATGAGCTGAAGTTTGGCAATGCAGCAGAATTTAATGAGCTTTTTCATTCGTCTTTTTTCAAGCATCACTATTAATTTAACTGAATGCAGTAGTCTGGGCATGACATTGAATGAATTCTGCACACGAGATATTGTCTAGAATAAGTTTCTCATGCAGCTGTAAATGAGATTGATATTCACTTTCACTTTTTTCGACTGCGATAGTTTTAACAACACGACCGCTTTCTGTGCTACATCCAGCTGATCCTCCATCTGTTGCTGGGTAGCTGCGTGTGGGAACATCCACAGCCTTGTCATCGATCCACGGCCGGGACCCGTTCTCTGTCCCTAAGGTTAGCTCTGTGGAACATTCTGGGCTCGGGTCCCAGAGAATAGTGACATGTCAGCAGCCCATTCAAATGAACAGGCTGAGGGTAGCACTATGTTAGCAGTGCCGGGCTGGGGTTGGGGGGAGGGGAAGGGGGAGGGCATAGGGTAGGCGTGCTAAAACTGGTGCTGTGTTAAACACTGCAGGGGTAGACCGGGGAGTATGGCTCCATGAATGGTCTGCTGTTCCTGGATAGGCTCTGAGAGTTTGGAGCTGTGAACAGAGGTACACATGCACTGTGAGACGATGGCTTTCTGCCTTCAGCTCTCGCTCAAAAGTTGTTCTGTCAGAGTTTTAGTTGCGGTAAGTTAATATTCAAGAATCCACCATGCTCTTAGTCTCTGATAATTTCTTGTTTGCTTTTGTATTCTGTTAAAATAATCCAACATATTTAAAAAGCTTAGTAAACCTTTTAAGATCAAAGTTTTAGGTTTTTGACATGACACAAAGGACAGTCTGTACAGACGCTTAATATCTGGGATAAGACTTAAACATATTACATCTTGAGAGGTCTGCCCTCCCTTGAAACATGTTCTCCTTTTCTTGATCACATCTGATCCATGAAAGCAGAGAAAGAAAAAAACAGAAGAAAATCCCCTTTTTGTTTATCTTCATAAATGTTTTGTCCTACAGTTAGAGGAATGCTTTTCAACCCTCAAAATGTGACCGGCATTTTATAATCATATGTTTTGAGTTATATCTAGCTATGAACAGTATGTGACATCAAGAAAACAAACCCTCATGAAGACACAGTTAAAGATTTTCAAGGATGATGGATTTTGTTTTGCCTGGTCTTTTTTTGTGAGGCACCAAGGGTTCAGCGTTCGACTGTAATAGAGTCAAAAAGTAAATGAGGCTTTGCTGTAATAGCTGATGTTGCTTCATAATTGGCCCAAAATCTTGCAGTTTGGCTGACCTCTCTGTTGAGTCTTTGCTTAGTATCCAGACTCTTTGTTTTTCTTCTCTGCATCCCCAAACTGACATTTCTTACAGGAGGTTTCTGCTTATTTTTTTTGTTAATTACAAAGTATAGGTGATCCTTGCAACCTTGCAAATTGACTATTCTCATCATACCAGACCAAACAAACAGGATGGGATATTCTAACATAAAAATAAATAAATAAATAAAAACTTTCCTCTTTTAATAAATTAAGCTAAATGGTAAAAGATTTAAACATTATGGTCTAATCCTTACCAGGAATTACCAAGATGAAACTGGTTAAATTTTTGCACAGTTCTTTGGATAATTATCCAAAGTTTTGACAAGTTAATATATCAGTCAATAGTGAATCATTTTAACTCTGAAATAAGTCATGTTTAGCATCCATATGAGTGGAAAAATAACAATACTAGCCATTGATGAGACTTCATTTCTGCATTGCTCCCTCACACGTTGACCAGACTTATCTGAGCCTTATTTGGGGCTGTTGTGTGTGAAAAAATGTGAAAAATGTCAGCATTGAGCTCCAGCTATGGTCAACTGGACAACAACACTAAGAAATCACAGTTCATGTGTGGTTTGTTTCACTTAATCAGCCTCTTGTTTTCCTTTAATGAGGTAGTAGTAGACATGCTAACTGTCTTATCTTGAAGAGGTTTGTTAAGAGTGACCGGTTCAAATTGAGATTTCTAAACATGAGCTGGAGGAGGAATAGCAAGACACTTTTTTGTTACGATGTGAGTTGTCTTTAGGCTAATTAGGAGTTGTAATTTCTTTTAGTGTTTGTGTGGTTGTTTTTTGAATGAAGGAGTTTAAGGGTCATATTATGTGACTAAAAAGTATGGATAGAAAAGAGAGTGATCACTATATTAATTATGGTGTGTTTGATCTGCAACAATTTGTGAGCAATTTGCAGCACTGAGTGCATGTTTGGAAAGCCAGAGTGGCTGATGTGATACTTGCAGCCGTATTTCTCCTTGTATTGTCTTTTTAAAAGAAGGCTCTCATTAAACATTTACACAGTCAGTGCATATTGGAATCCATTAATGTTTGTCTGAAAATATCTCTGCATCAAAGATAATCTGCTTACAATGGCATGTCTAACAACACTATCATCTGTCTTTTAGGTGCTGTCATCAAGACCATTGATCAGGTTTAATGGCAACCAAGGGGTAAGAAAATATTTCCTCGTCTCTACTCCTCAAAGCCCTCTCTTGTCTGTGTAGATAAAAGCTTTTAAAAAATCATTAAATTCCAGAAAGATGTTTAAGCTGTTGCATTTAAACTTTTATGTGCATTATGACCTGCAACAGACACACATGCAAGCACAACACTGTCACCCACACACACATTCACATTCCTTTTCATACAAGACATGTGATTATCTCAACAATGGGGCCAGCTGCGAGCTATAGCATTTTCCCCTTAAATGACACGTCTTTGCAATGTCTCAAAGGGACTTCCAGAGCGATGCCAGCATGCTTCGAACTTTTATCACGTATGTCATGTGCTCTGTCACTAGTGCTTGATCATAATGTGCTCCTGTCGCTTTGACCTGGTTCAGGGAATGTTTACCAGCTACTCTTGCTACAGGCCTCAACATTTGTTTATTTTTGCAAAGGCTTCTAAATGTGCCAAATGTCAAGTGAGGCCTTCAACAAAACTTGCCTGGCAGGATCCATCTTAACCTCTTTTTAACGGATGTCTTAAGTGTCTTGTTCTTCATGACATCTCAGTTTTCTCAGACAGACAAATCCCTGTTGGAGAACAGAAGTATAAATGAAATATCATGTTAGCTTGTAGCCCTCACAACATCTGAGGTCTTTTTTGACAGAAAGAAAGAGCGCACGTTTCTGTGACTCCTCTGGGATATTGTAGAGTGACAGAAGTGACGATGCTTTGCCTATGATTTTCTCACTAATATTTGACTGCACCAAAGGCTGCTGCTCTGTTTTGCTGTTACATTAATGGCGGCTCACTGTCAGTCAGTCAAGTTGTCAAAATATTGCAATTAAAGTTCTTCTAGAGTAGAAAGAGAGACAAAGCAGGCTGGTGTCAGAGCAGATTCAGCACTGCAGTTGTTTTTAGAAGCTAATATTCGATGTAGCAGATGAGCTCAAGTTACCTCTGGCTGCCTTGTTTCCTTGCTGCAATAGGGGAAAGTGAATAAATGCACAAGGGTAGGATAAACAAAGAAATAAAAGATGCAACAGCAAAATATATTCTGAGTTCTGTTCTCTATCAGTGAAGCATGAGACTGTACTCCTTTCTGCTACTGCTTTTTGCTTGTTCATGATGGAGGCGCATCAAGGTGCGAGTCCTCTCTTTATGAGCATTAAACTGTCCACATGAAGACAATAAACATCCTCGTGCTCACCAGTATTCTCTGTACATGCAGCTGCCTTTTGCAAAGGCAAAATGCAGGGCTTTCTTGCGCACTCTGGCGTAAACCTCACAGTCTTTGTTCAAATATAAATTTGCCAACCTTCCTGTTTTATATTTTGTTGGCTGTCCTTAAGAGCCCAGAAAATTTGTTTGTGATCATTATAGTTCACATGGGCCTTTTCCCTGCCATAAAGGCATATTTAACAATCACACTAACAATTCTGCACCATGCGCTTGTCTTGTAACAGGTTTGACACTTACTCATGATACACTATGAGATGCTGCTGTGTAGTTTGGCACCATACTGAGAACTAAAGCTTGATATAAATATTAAGTTCATTATGGAAATAATTTCGGATGAAATGCCACCAGCTCTCTAAGTCGTGTTCAACATGTCAGTGCCCAAGCTTTGGCAAATTTCTGCCTTTGCTGGGGAGAATCGGTGTGTTTGTCTTGATGTAGTGTACATTTGAGAATATTGAGAATTGCCTGGATTCAGCCGTATCCCAGGAAAATACCTGTTCTCGTGTAAAACGTTAGGGGTGGGCGATAAATTATCGTTCATGATTTATCGTTAGAAGAATCCTCCATGATAAATATTTGCCATCTCATGATAAATACAATAAATGAAAGTTGATGACATAAGCGCGACAGACTTACAGCCATAGCCCACACAGAGCAGAATAACAAACAAACATGGCTGAAGATAATGATGATGTTTCTTAGCAGCTTGTTACTGAATGAGGCGTCACATGAGGGATTTCCTTCTAGATTGGGGTTTAGACAAGTGCAATCAGGTATGCCTGACATTGGACAGTGGACCTGCTGCCGTTCACTCTGTGTGCAATAGGGGTTTTAAACAAATGTTGAAAATGTTTGAGAATTGGTTTATGTCAGTAGTTTTCTTTATAACCTACCACTCAAACTTGTGGTTAAGTATCTTATTTGACCACTCCAACTGGTGTCCTTAAGACAAAATGAGTCAAAAATATAGATTGGAGTCATAATATTTTTTATCAAGACTTTTATCGTCATCGCCAGAATGGCAAATCTTATCGTGATAAATTTTTTAGCCCATATCGCCCATCCCTATAACACAGTGGTTCTCAAATCCAGTCCTCGAGGCCAACTGTCCTGAATGGTTTGGATGTTTCCCTGCTCCAACACACCTGATTCAAATGATTAGCTCGTTATTAAGCCATGACCGAGCTTGATAACGAGCTGATCATTTGAATCCAAAACATGCAGGACGGTGGGCCTCGAGGACTGGACTTGAGAACCACTGCTATAAGACACACTAGTGGTGCAACGGATCACAACACTCACGGATCGGATCGTTCCTCGGATCAAGAGTCACGGATCGGATCATTTTTCGGATCAGCAAAAAGCAAAAAAAAAAACAAAAAAAAAAAAAAAACCAAGACAAATAAACATAAGTTTTGTCTGTATATCAAACACTTAAATGGTTGAATTAAAATATATAAAAGTAGTGCATACGGCATAATATCTTCTTTTCAACATAATTATTAATGAAAAACAACTTAAAGTTCAATATATAGGCATATCTCCTTCCTTTAAAATGTAACAATGAACCAAAAATGAAGTGTGTGCGCGGTGGGATATTGTAACGTGGCTCAAGCACTTTCAGCATGTTTTTAAAGCCCTCGTTTGCACAACTGAATATGTCCTCATGTCTGTAGCTATAAACACACCGATAGCGTTTGTGATAGCTTTAACCCGGTCGGATTGCGCAGGAAGAGGCTGCTTAAATGCTGCGGTGATGAGCGGTTGCTGGCCAGCTTTCGTTTTATCTCAGGTGTTGTGACATAGAATGCACCCCTGCCGTAGAATGCACCCCCTGACGGGAGCGCGGTTTAAAGTACATAACGAGGCGAAATAATCCAAGTTTTTCTTACATTGGATGGATTCAAAAGCGTTTGCCTTTAATAATTTCATTCAGGCTATTCAAAGAAGCCAAAAACAACAGCCCTTGGAATATTGCTGTCCCGAAAATATAATGCTCTCTACCTAGACAGCTTTCTGTACAGTTTATACCCAAGTACACCTCTATATTTGCATTTTTGAGACACATAAAAAGAAAATGAAAGTTTGCTGCTCCATTTGACATGTTGTCATGATCTAATACTCGTGTTTATTTAAATATGAGTTCATTATCTCCACTTTAAGAAGCTAACGAGTGGAGGGGATGCAGGGGTGCGTTCTACGGCAGGGGTGCAGTCTACGGCACAACACCTGTCATTAAAACTACCGGGTGATGTCGCTTTCAAATGCGTGAACATGCTCGATGTGTTTCCACTGTCATATGGCTTTCTTATGCCACAGTGCCTACACACCTTCGCAGTTTTGTCCACTGACCTCTTTCCTTCTTCATCATAGTTGACAGGGAAGCCACATTTTTTTTCAGAAATCGAACCGCGGGTCACGTGTGTGCCGAACCGATGACGTCGATCCGAACGGATCACGGATCAATGATGATCCGTTGCACCACTAAGACACACATAAGAGGTTCAGCTATGAGAACATTTAATGACTGCTTCAAAAGCACAGAACACACTGGTGTTCCTATCGTGTAACTCAACACCAACTGTGTAACTTTCTAGACACGAAAAATGTTCAAAAGAAAAAGTAAAGAAGGAAATACATGGACCGGCGGCTCATTTGTTCAATTTACTCTTCAGTTGACACCCTCATGTCGATGGCACATGGATAACTACCAAACACTGCTCACAGACAGCTGCACCATCACATCTGAAGCACAATACCTGCCAACAGATCGTCCTGTGGATTCTGCTGCGTAATGCACGCCAAGCTGGTTGTGAAAATTTAGTTTTTTAGGCGAGATGTGCTGCTCCAATCTGTCATAGATCAAATTTGGCACCAGCAGTAGCCTGGGTGCTTGCTTTAACATCTGTTGTTTCATTTGCATGTGATTTTGAACATACATTGACAGTCCATGTAATAGTTGTGTAGTTATTTATGCACTTATTTGCGTCAGAAACTCATCATTTATGCTTCTCCATAGGGTTCTAGAGTTATTCCATTAATACATTTTGTCTAAAACAACGTCTTTTAAAACATTTAAGGCTGTCATCATGCTGTCAGTATTTTTATATCAAACAAGAAGAGTTAAGTGCAGAACTAAGCAATCATGCATGGAGTTATGATCCATTTGTACACAATATGGATCCAGCTTTAATTTTCAATCCACTGAATCAAATTTGCTTAACCCAAAAAGCTCATCTCTGGAAAGTAAACTTTTTTTCTACACAGGTGGAAAATTAATGGTGACTCCTGTTATTTAACTTTAGATATAATTCAGAAAGAAACACTTTGAACTGGCTCGGTGAGATCATATATGGATGTGTGTACATGTCAGTAAAGTAGACCTAAATTTTCACCTGGTGTTTTTAGGCTGTGGAAGCAGTAATGCATTGCTGATTTTTCACTGGTGCAGCGAGCTCACCATGGAGGAATAAAAATCTGTTGGTGTTGAATTCTAAAAGCAAGTCAGGAATGTGAAAGTGTCTAAATTGCTGAGCAGATGGCCTGGCTGTCACGATGAGATCCCACTTCCATTCAGTCATATTCATTCATCTCGCTCAGCGCTCTCTGAGCTGAGCAAAAGCGTGCACACACATAACCAGGTTCTTTGCAGAGGAGTAAAAATTGAATGACCACAATGTAATGAGAGTTTTTTTTTTTTTAACAGAGGTTTTCTGCTTTTTAGTGATAAAGAGAACACTCAAATGGGGCTGCATTAAAATTTGTATGGAACAGACAACCCTCAGTGGTCCATGAAGGCTGATGTCGTCTCTCCTGCATGTTCCATCGGGACCATTTGAGTATTTTGTCTTTATGTGCCGATTTGGTGTTTACAATCGGTAGATACAAGCCTCTTTTCTTCATTAACATTTGTAATTGGTCTGATTCATTGAGGGTAGGGGGATGTTCACTTTTCATATCCCTGATTTTGTCTTCATGCAATCGGCTCATATCCATTTCGGATATGTTTGTCTTTTTGCTCCCTTAGAAAGAGGGCTGGATTAAGTGCATGGGGGTCCGTCCTCTTGAGTAACCCTAACCTAAAAACAGTAATTGAACAAGAAATCCAGGTCCATCCTTTTTATAAATGACACTCAGAGAGATCGCTGTCGTTTATTGCTAGCTCCCACCCAAAACTCGATGTGTCAAGTAATCCCTCTTTTAATGTGGGCTCTGTTTTTTTCCATGGCTGTTTCGTCTAGCTTCGGTGGCAACAGCTGGCTAGTGCTCCTAAAGCTTAATCAAGACATTCACAGAGGCTGTTGTATGCCAGGGTCTCATTTGCAAGTTGAGTGAATTTCATCAGGAGTTTTTGGTTGTTTGGAAGTCAGTCAGGTTTTAGAAGAATGGTAGCAAGAATGAAGAATATGCTGTGCCCCGCAGTTTAGACAAGTCTTTATATTATAGCCAACATGATCCAGTAACACATGCTTTTCAAGTTATTAGTGTTTTGGAGAGCTAATGAGTAAAAATCGAATCTACCTTGCTTTTGAGAAAAACAAAGTCTCAAATTGCAAAAAGAAGCTGCCTTGTTTCCTATGGTAAGCACTCATAGAGGCAGACTCCACTTAAGACAAGCAAAGGAGTGTCTTCATGTTAAAATGAGTCACTTTCTTTGTTAACAGTGCTCCTTCATGCATGAGTGAGGCAATGTATGAACATCCAAGTTTCAACATTCACAAGTTTGTTCAACTGGAGCGTGAGCCTTTTTTTTTTTTTTCATCTTCTCCCTCTTTCATCCCCTACTATGTGAGTCAGTGAGTCAACTGAGTCACTCCCCTGAGCTTCGCCTCTCAGCCAGCTCCTCTGCCTCTTAATCAGCTCTGGATTTACACTCTCGACCTCTCTCCTCTGGTAATGAGGTTATTCCAGCTGCGCATATCAGCGGTTTACGGTATCTTAGCATGATGCAGCCTGTGTCATCATTTGATTCTCATTCCACAGCTAAACATCACATGTTTCAAAAAGCCACATTATCTGTTATACTCTTTCAAAGTGGTTTTTTCCATCGAGACAGAGCATAGCCCCATATCCTCATGACAAATAATCAGCTGCAATCACCCTGTAGGAGCAGATAATGGGAAATAATGTAGTTGTGTTTTCACATGGGGACACAGGATTTTTCTATATGAGGTAGGAACCTTTGTGTCTACGTAGGTGCTCCGCCCGGGAGGGGAAACAATTGTAACTGCGCAAATGTTGCTGCAGTGAAGTTTGGAACAGGTTTTTTTGTCTTGTTGAACTGTACACCTTTGGAGCCAATAAAAGTAAAATAAACGCATGTTGTGTTCAGCAAGATAATCTCATGTGGTCTTTTGCTCTAACTTTTAATGGGGGTCAATCAGTTTATCCAGTAGGGGTGGGAATCACTAGTGGCCCCACGATATGATATTATCACGATACTTGGGCCACAATGCGATATTATCACGGTACTTGGGCCACGATACGATATTATCACGATACTTGGGCCACAATAGGCTATTTAAACATTATACAATACATAGAGAATTGCAATACAATATTGTAATTTGTATACTTTTTTTTAACTGTTTAGCTAATTTAGCATTTGGCTTTTCATTATGTTTGTCTTACTTCCACAGTATTTTATGTTCATGTAGCACATGTTGTAAACCTTATATAGAGTTGTTGTACTAACTTTCTCCTGCTTTATGCCGTCACCTCTGCTAACCTAAATGGACAAAAGTTAATTTTATTTTTTCCATTATCATAGATTTTATTTTATATTAGCAAGTAATTTTGAAAATCGATACTTGGTAAGTGAGACGATACGATATATCGCGATACTATTTTTTTACGATACGATTTTTTTCTCCCACCCCTATTATCCAGACGCTGCACCTCAGCGGCTTTAAGTGCCGGCTTGTCCTCTATACATCCTACACTAAGGTGTTCCTTTAGAAATCTACATAAGCAAGACGAGAGTTTTTCTTTTGCTTGGCTTTCTTTCTCTTTTTTTTTTTCAAATAAACATTGTGTAGCAGTTAAGAAAAGTTCACAAATGTTGTTTACTTTGCTATTCAGAACAATTATCCCGTTTCTATCAGGTGTCGCACATACTGGTTGTTCAAGACAATACGGTTACGCCTCCCTGTCTGTATGAAAAATTCATTGTAGAGTCGGTTCGTTTCTCTGTTAAGTGACCAGCAGAGGCAGCAACAGATGTGTAACATGGCGAAACAATGTCAAGGTCAGCGAAGCAGCTGCAAGGACAGACTAGGTATCTGAAGGTGTATGTGAGGCACTGTTTGTTTACACTCTGTGCCTCTTTCATGCTGATAAACGGTAGTAATTCACACAAAGTTGAACAGGGAAGTGACAGGAGAACTCTGATGTGGCTCATGGTAAAAAGCAGTCATTACTTTCATAACGCCAACCATTGGCTTGTCAGCTGTCTCCTAGAAGTGTCAAGTTTAGCAAAACAGCTGATACCAGGATGTTTTCTTGTTGTAATAGATTTTGAATCCGAATGTGGTCATATTTAGATGCAATGGTAGTGCTGGAGAGGAGCGAGCAGTTTGCAAATGCTAAATAATCAAAGTAATACAGTCAGTGCCCATTACTTGTGCTTATAGCAAAAAGTTTCCAACAGAATGAGACTATATTTGCAATCTTATTTTGGGAGAACGACAAGGGAGCTTGTGGAAATTAGCAGACTGCTGCTTGCTTGTACTTTATCTTGCACGGGCGAGAACAATAATTGGAACAATAATAGAAGCAAGCAACCGAGGCAAGCCGAACCACACTTTGGCATGTTTGTCACCCCCAATGTCCAGTTTGTTTAGTCAGTGTGAGTGCTCCACACTGTGCCCAGGTAAGGTATGCTTCTGTTATTGAGCAACTAGAGGAAAGATGCTAAAACTGTGTTTCTTCTAATGGTGGAAAGAAGAGAATTGATGATTGAACAGAGTGTGATAAGTGTTAATCAACATGTAACAGTTAATGTCTTTCCCGTGTTAATTTCAGTGAAATAATCTGCTCTTGATGCGCAATCCTGTCTTGGGATTGACTTACTTTTATATCCCACCTCAAGGGTCCACTGAGTTCAATAGTTTTCCTCATTTGTTGCCTTCATTTTCAGTTCATGAGGTCGCTGCTTTGACTTTTGGAGCTTCTACTTTGCATCCAGTACAATAAAGAAGTTGGTGGGGAAAAGTTGTTGTTTCTCTTGGTGTGGTAGTTTGTCTTGGCTTTTAAAATTCTGATTTTGTTGTTTAAAAATACTGTAATAGCTTGTGTTTTTGAATTATATACATTTTTGTACCATTTTCATGTGGTAGACTGCGGCAGAGGTTGTGTGCGTGTTATGTTGTGTTACACTTGGGTGGAGGATTATGAATAAATGAGAGCACAAGTCCACCGTGGGGCGAATAAAGGACAATGTATTTATTTATAGTTGGCCACCTGCAGCCGTCACACGTGTCAGGACCTTCGGTAAACAGAGTGTAGTTGCACACTGTCTGACCACATTCAGTCTCAGCGCTCATGAAGGAGCCGATGAGTCACAGGCCGAGACTCGTCGAGTTTAGATACTGGGTATGAGCTGCTCACTGTTCAGGAGGAACCTGTACCTGGGTACTTAGCCAGTTTTGTGATTTCAGCTTTCTATGTTGCTCAAGCTCACTATGATGCATGTGTGTCAGAGTGTTTCTTTTGTTTTTGTTTCTAATTTTATGTTCAGAAAAACAGAGCAAAACTTTTACACTAAAATCCTCAAATGATGGCAAACTCTTGACCTGACGTGCAAATGCTCCAGTATTCAGACTGTTTCAGGTGAAGGTAGAGTGACAAGGCGAGGTTTCATATCTCCTCGTGCTTTCTCTACTTTGGTTTGCATTTCACTCTTAAATTTCTGACATTCCTCTGCGCACTGCATGTAAAACATTCTCTTATCTCTATCTATACCCTAAACTCAGTTCTTCAAGTATGTGGCAGAATTCAAGTTATCTCTTGAATTGTCTGTAATCCAGCTGTTTGTCAATGATTGCAGGTTTGCTAAAACAACGGGCACAAGTTGACTGTGGTTCGCTCTATTTCGTCTGTTGTTTTTTAAAATTAACACCTGTGGACTGTGGGAGGAAGTTAATTCTGGGGATGGAAAAGGATGTGAATAACTGTGTTGGAGGCCAGACACTGACACAGAAATACCATTCATAGTTCTTCTGCTATAGTGATTTACCTGCGGTTCCACTGGTCACACGTTTGGAAACAATTAGACTGCAAAGACTACTAGATTTGACTAAAGCTAAAAGAAGACAATTTAGAAGATCAAATCCTGCAAAACTTGAACAATCTTTTATGTTCACAGCTTTGAGCACTTGTGGCCAGGTGATGAAGCCAAGATGACCTGCACTGTGATGTTCCTGAGAGAATACGTGAAGAGCAGCTAGTCATACATATCAAAGTAGTTTTTGAAAAATACCTGATGTTAGTAATAAACAAACACGTAAAAGAATGAAGTACAAAGATTTGTCCAAGTGTGGAAAAAGGTCAAAATTGTATTGTCTACAACAGTGGTTCTCAAGTCCAGTCCTCAAGGCCCACTGTCCTGCATGTTTTGGATGTTTCCCTGCTCCAACACACCTGATTCAAATGATCAGCTCGTTATTAAGCCATTACAGAGCTTGATAACGAGCTGATCATTTGAATCAGGTGTGCTGGAGCAGGGAAACATCCAAAACATGCAGGACAGTGGGCCTCGAGGACTGGACTTGAGAACCACTGGTCTACAAAACTGTAGTCTTGCTCTGGGAAACCTTGTTTTTCACATGTTAATTGTCTTTTTTTTCTCTGTCTTTAACAGAAAATTTCAATACCACGGTCAGAAAATTCCAGTGAGCTGCAAACATTTACTTTCTACCTGTCAAATGTGGGTAGAGATAACCCCCAGGGCAGCTTTGACTGCATCCAGCAGTACATCACAAGGTGAAAGAAACCACTGAATCTCTCTTTATTTTTCACTCCTTTTCGCATCAGTGTACAGCTTAATTTTTTCTTTTGGAAAAACTTTCAAGCTTACGTAAAGTTCCTGTGAATTTTGGGTCAGCATTGAAATCATAACACCACAGTCTTAGACCTCAGTGTTAACAGTCTTTGTATAGTTGCATAATGTGCGTTTAAAGGCACACAATCTGTTGATTTAACATAGCTAGGACCTGAGGTGAAACTGATGCCCAGTAGATACAAATTGTGAACACAGTGGGACTTTGCCTCCTGGTTCTAGCTGTATTGACATTATACTGGTAAATGATATACTTGTCCTGTGTATTTTCAGTAAAAAATGTTCATTGAAAGTAACTCTGGTTGACTCGAAAGGTGAGGGATGTGTAGCCACCTATCAAGATAAAGTTTTAACAGATTTTCTTTCAGATTTAAATATTTTGCGCTCATTTAGAGCAAATTTAGAATGACGTTTTCCAGAGCGTTTTAAAGTGCATGCCATGACTTCAGCTTTGTTAGGTTGCACTGAATAAGGACCAGTCCATGCCCCTCTTTGTAAACCCATTCTGCAGACTTTTTCTGACTGTCAAGAATCTTCTGCTTCTTGACTGTCGAGTTTTGGACCCAATTATACTGACAATATTTCAAACCCTTGGGTCGGATGGAGTTCACCCACACTACTGATTGAATCCTAATCAACCTTGAGATCTTGTACAAAATCCAAATGACAGTGCTGGGCTTCCACTGCCTGCGCCAGCAACATCTCATTTTCTGCCAAATCCTCATCAAAGTGTAGACAAATCAAAGAGAGACGGAGATCCAGGAAAGCATGGGATTTGGTCGAGTTGTACAGTGGGAACATACAGTTTGATGGAAAATTTAAAGAATTAAGGTTGTACCCTCAGTATGCTCAATGGATCTCATCTGGATTTCATCTGGAGAAGGAATGCAGGATTAGGTTATTTCAAAATGTTAGAGATTAAAGGTAAATGCTGGGATCAATTTTGATTCGTGGATTCCTGCTGAGTATTTTCGGGTAGCATCCTTCAAACTTAGAATTTCAGGAATGTGTCTTCTCTTCTAGGCCCTCTCCCTCGCCTTAAATTTCCTCTTTGTTTTGGCAGCGAAGGGAGCATTCAGCTGGATTGTTTGGGTGGGATCCAGGACAAGATTACAGTTTGTGCCACAGACGACTCGTACCAGAAGGCCAGGGAAAGCATGGCACAAGTTGAAGAGGAGACTCGCAGTAGGAGTGCCATCGTCATCAAGCCGGGTGGAAGATACGTAGGTGAGGACACATGGCGCAGAATCACGCAGAGCGCCGACATGCTCCTGAACCCTGCATGTGTTCATGTAGCCTGTCTGTGCCAGTGATCAGGTACAAATTGCCACGCACAGATTGTGTGAGTCTGGGGCTGACTGGTAGAGAGAGAATCTGCCAACAATCTTCATTTGTAACTAGGATTTTATTGAATTTGATGGGGGTCTTTTCCTCTGTGGTCAGAGACATTAATCACTAACACACGTGTACACAGCCCCTCCATTCCCTTTAATCTATGAAAGTAGTTAAGACCCACAGAGGTGTCATTTTCGTCTTGCATAACTCATCAACTCTCAGACCTCTTGTTTTGATGTCTGACCTGAGCTGTAAAACACTTTGTGCAGCCTTGCCTCGCTGCCTGCAAAGAAATAAATCCAGTAAAAGCCTCTTCACTGTTTAATGTTGAGTCAAGAATGTTTAGTCCGTGAGTGCAGCGGAGCACAAAAGTGTTTTTGTTGCAGTAGGAGGCAAAACAAGAATTATTTGAAAACTGAATCACCTTAAAAAAGAAGGTCTCAGCCGGAGGAGGTGATGATAGCTGTTTGTTTGTAATGGAAGGTAAGTTTGAGTGGCTGTGGTAAAGATCAGCGCATGACACATCATCTGTGAGTCATCTGCTGGCTCACTCAGCCATCATCACTCACTGAGATAAAAGATATTGACAGGAATAAATATATGTCTCGCTGGAATTACAGAAAATGTGTGTTTTCAAGCACAGGCTGGCAGCCAAAAAGTCATCTGATGAGTCCCTTTGTTTCAGCGGTAGATTTGTTTACATCCCTAAAAGTGGTATTCTTCCCTCCCATCCCCATGAAACCCTGGTAATTCAATACTACCAAGAAATAGCTGATACGATAAATGCTACTGCGAAAGAAAAAAATATTTATCAAAGTCATCACAACATCAAGTAAGAGCAAATACTATCTATTTATTGTGTAGATGTCAACAAAAACATTTAAATGGGTATCACAAGGTGTCACGAAATGATAGCCGAAATTTTAAATCCAGAAATCTTCCAGCTGTTCCTTCCACGGTAATTTACCCTCTTCTCATGTGACTCATCTTCACCTCAGGGAAGAAGGTTCAGATCCGGAAACCGGCTCCTGGCCTCTCAGACGTCGCCCCGTTGCGGAGGACATCTCGGCCTGTCATCATCTCCAGCAGTACGCTGAAGAAAGGCACTACTCAGCACAGGCCGCTCCGAGAGCGCCTGCTGCACCTGTTGGCCCTCAAGCCTTATAAGAAGCCTGAGCTGATCCTGAGGCTGCAGAAAGATGGCCTCTTGCCATTAGATAAGGACTCCCTGGATAGCCACCTGCAACAGGTTACACACATTCATTGACACTGTGTTTTCATCCTCAGTCCCTTACCTCGAACTCAAAAGAAGTTACAGTTTGTGATTAACCCCTAGATGCAGTGATCCCCCAGATTTACCTTTACCTCTTACTTTTCCTAGGTGGCGAACCTGAATGGGAAGGACAACACCTTCACATTGAAGGACTTTTTGTACAAAGAAATTCAAAAGGACTGGCCCGGCTACACAGAAGGAGACCAGCAGCTTCTCAAGAGAATACTGTTTCGGTATGTAAGAGATTGGAGCCCCTTTTACATTGCTGCTTCAAAAAGCATCCATTACACTTTCTCAGCTGTTTAAAACAACACAGAGCCACAACAGCTGGCCTAAGTCCAATTAAAGTTGAGCAGGGACAAGACAGCATCAGTGTAAGTCGTTGAAGCACTAAAGCTGGAATGGTGTCGCATTTGTGATCAATTTGATTATTATTGTTATTATTAGTGGTGGTAGTGGCAGTAGTAGAGGTATGGAGAAGGAGATGAATATGGCACCTTTAAAAAGAGATATCGAGAAAGTGAGTTAAAGCAAAGGTAAGAACTCAATGATAACAGATTTAAACATTTGACAGTCAGACTTGTCTGAGTGTGTGCGCATGTGAATCTTGCTCTGTGAGTCGCTCGTATTGCCTCCTGTGCTTTCACAACACTATAATGCAATGCCAAATCCCGCTTTGGGACACCAATATTACACTGCTGCAGGGCTCAGTGTAAAAGCACAAAGGTGAAGTGACAGCAGAATCCCAGTGTGAAAAAAATGCAAAATGGTACGGACTGCCTTTCCTTCCCCTTTCTGTTGACATCTGGTGACACTTATTTTTCTGAGAATCATGTGATTTTGCAAAAAGGTTGTTTTTTTTTTCTTTCTTTTCAAAGATTGGCACTACAAATAAAAACTGTTGTAGTGAATGTCCCATTGATTTTGTGATAGTTGCTGTGTTTGTGAACCAGCCTCTTAGCTTTGTAGCAGCAGTTTCATTAGTAATCTAACAAATCATCTTGTTACTTGCTTTATCATTTTCTTCCTTTAATTCTTTTCTCACTCACAGGAATTACAATCAGGATGTTGTGCAGTCTGAAATTTCGACAACTGCAAACTTTAAAACGGCGTGTTTCGTTGTTTTTTGTTTGTGTTGACACACTGGCATGAGTGAAGCCACAGGATGTTGGCTCTGGTTCTTAAGAATAATAGAACTGCCAAGTACTGTTGAGACACTCTCTTCATAAAAAAAAGAGAAGTATGCAAACAAAATCTTTTCCACTTGAAATGATAGGATAGAAACCTGTGATATTATGGTACATGAGGTATGATTCGGATACAAAAGGTCAGCTTTGATTGACTCTTCTCTTCCAGATATATATATTTTTAAGCATATAAGAATGGATTTGCCCGCATGTGGCCAGGAATGTGTCTGTGTGCTCCACTTAGTTTCATGTTAGTGTTGTATTTGTTGACAGCTTGAGCTGCTGGCCTTTTCCCCCTGCGGAAAAATCTGGTTTCTCAGGATCTGGGACACTAAGGAAAAGCAAACTCTCTGTTGGCTATATTTAGAGCAGGCTGCAATGCTCAGCTTTCAGTTTGTGTTTATGTAGTGAGCTGAAGTCGACCCTAGTCACGATAAGCTTAGTTTACCTGTGTAACAACTCAAAAGGCAACCAGTGTTTTAAAACTTCTTGACAAAAAAAGATTTTGAAAAACACAAAAATGTAGATGTTTTAAAATGTATGATCTGAAATATCTGCGTGTTGACGTAGTTTTTGTGGTGGTTAAGCCTTTTGAATGTGGTTTTCCATTTTTGTGCATATACATGTTCCTCTGTGTAGAGACATGTATAAGACCGCACTCTTGAACTCTGTTTCAGCAGTACTTTGTGCTCGGTTTTTGAGTTTATCAGCTGACTTACAACCACAGCCTCCCACCTAACACCACCTCCCCCCTCCCCACCTCCTCCAGAGTTTTTGAGCTAATGCAGTCAGTCACGCAGGAGCAGCAAAGCAACACGACTGGAACGCACATGATGTAACAGTGTTCCAGCACATGCTGATCCGTGTGTGAGGTGGCATCAGTCCAAGGTTCAGCCGTATCTGTTGGCCTGCTGTCTCACTCGTAGCTCCTGCCTATCTGAGCATCCCCACAGATACAGACACACACACAGAGACACACACACCCTGATTGAACTAGGGTGGAGTGTTGACAAGACGTAGTGTACCCAACTGCCCTCTTTTGATAATGTCATCAGCTGTGGAAGCAGCATCCCTGCAAAGGCAAACTGTTCTTTTCAACTTCTGATTGTTGTGTCGAGTTTATGGCAGTGGCTCTTTAGTTTTATCAGCAACAAAGCTCAAAATCTCTGTCAAAGATAGCCTAGTAAAAATTTAAATTTATCTGGAAATGAACTCCATGTTGAAAACGATCTCTGAATCAGTGGGTTAGCAACCATTTTGTCAAACCTTCAATCCGAAGTTTTAACAGGTTACGACAGTCTTAATTTGAGACCTTTTTTAATACCTGTCACCCCTGCTACTGAGTCACATTCAAACAAAGCAATCCACAGCATACAAACTTTACAGTTTCCTGTGTGAAATATTCAGAATAACTAGAACATACGCTGGTTTAAAGGAAGCAGGACGACATACGCAAGTATGGGATATAATCTGCAAAGAAGTAGGATATACTGCTTAAAACCAAAGGTCCAAGTATATCTGCTTAAACATAGTCTTGAGTTGAGAAGGTTATGTGCTGTTTATCCTGTTGGGTAAGTGTATTTTGGCACAGACATTTTTTGTTGACTGTGCTTTTGCTGTGTGACAGATTAATCTGGTACAGTGAGGTCAGAGTTCATCCCATTCTGATCAGTCTGGAGCTTTGTTCACATCGAGCTATTGGGGGATTCTCAGCAGATAATTACCACTCAGACCGCTCTGTACAAAGAAGAGATTACTGTGCAGTTATCAAGCCCCCGGTCAAGATGTTGAGATCTAGAGTTGTATGAAAAGAAATGCAGCACAGCGCTTATTGAAATAAACTAACAAAGTAGTTGATTTTTGAGAATGCATTCTAACCTACAAAACAACATCCATACTCAAAGTGAGCTGCAGTACCATATTCCCTCTCTCTCACTTCGTCTCTGTCACCGCAGAGTGCCATGCCACTTACTCACTCGTCTCAAACTCGCTGCCAAAGTTTAACTATTGAATAGACACGGAGCGGTGAAATTAAACTTACTCTTCTTTGTTGTGAAGAAAATAGATCATTTATCTTTCATAACAGACTGTTTGTAGATTATTTGATTGAATATTTTCAATGTTGCTTTGTGTTTTTTTTTTATTATTATTTTCAGCAGAGTGTGGCAATGGTAAAATACTGCTTTGTCAAGTATGCCCTCCTTTGCTCTGTTGTCATAGCTACTCTCTCAGCTTCACAAATCAACTGTTGTGCTCTGTTTGTATTGTCTTCATTCATCTGCTGGAAGAGCTTTGCTCTGAAGAAATGGCAGACATGTTTATTACTTTTGCTCTAGGGACATGTGAAGTTCTACTGGCATGAATTTCTCCAAATGATTGTGTCAGTAACATTGGTCTTTAATATTTCTGTAAAACAAGCATTGTTTACACTGAGAGGATAATCAGATCAAGCTAAAGCTGCATTTGCACCTACATCTTAAACCTAAAGATGAGGGGAGGATTAGGTGGTATTTCAGTGAAGTACTGCTGTTTACAGTTAAGATCATTCAAGCTTTCTCATTATGTGCTTGCGTTTACTTTCTCAGGAAACAGAACCAGGCTCAGAACAGCTCTGCCCCTCCACTGGAGAGCCCGCCCAAAGAGCCAGCCAACAGCTCGCCATCTCAGGTGAGCTTTCTATTCTTTTTTTTTTTTTTTTTTTTTTTTTTAACTTTTGCTCAGCCCGTCACTCTTTACCCAGCTTCAGCTCTCCATGTTAGAAATGCCCTTGGTTTGTGGCAATGATATTTCAGAGTTGTAAAAAGATAAATTGTAGTAGAATTATTTTAAAGTACATTCCTGTCCTTAGAAAACAAATCAATCAATATTTCCACTCTGCTGTTAATTCTTAATTTTCCTCTTCCTTTGCTCGTGTTATACTGAATTTTATCACCCTCAACATGTTGAATGTTAATTCTGCAGAATGCAGACATATCTGGGTCATCTTTCATCAGTGCTTTTTTGCCTTCTTCCTCAGAATTGATAGGTAAGTTGGGGGAATTTTGAATCAGAATATTTGTTGGGTTTTTTTTCTCAACATTGCCACCAGTTTACCAACACAGCAAATGGCAGTTCTGTGGTTTCTGTTTTTTCCCAGGGAGGGTATTTTAAACTTTGAGGCTCGCTCTAAACTGATTTCATTCCCACTCTGTCTTGCCAGAGAATACATCAAATGACGTTATAATATATGTTGATTGAACCAGGACCATTTGACCTAAATTGCTAAGATGTTTTTTTTAATCTAATGATAAGTCTTTCATGATGCACTAAATTTTACTCAAATTCTGTTCCCTTACTCATGCAGTATTTATTTGTTCACATCCCATGTTTTCCTCCTCTTTCTTTGGGACAGTTCATTGTGTACACGTCTATTAGACGGAGGGAGAAGAGGCTGCTCTGCTTTATTCATTGCAGTTTCCTCTCAGGTTCCCCTCACATCAGACGTCTACTGTGTGTCCCTCCCTTTTCACCCCCTCGGTACACACTGCACACAAACACATGAGCAAGCATCACCAGGATTTCTTTTTTGAATATACTCTTGTAAAAGGTGAAATTTTGTGAGAGCTTCAGGTAGTTGAGAGGCGGATCAGGAAGTGCTGCGTGGCAAACAAGGCCCGACTAAATCTACACAAACAGAAATCTAGTCGTATTAAAATAATTTTTCCATTCTATTTTATATCATGCGAGTGCTGTAATATACTTCATCTTTTTTCTTTTAGTGTGGACTGAACATTGATGTGTTTTTTACAGCCTTTATTTGAACAGGGACTGTGGATCTTACTCTAACTTATAATCCGTTGTCTGTGCTTTCTTTGAAGAAATATACCATGAACAGCGAGGATACTTTTCCCCCAGATTTATAAACACTTGTGATATTCCATCCTGGCAACAAATCTAACATGAAAATGAAAGACTGGCGACTAGTAAAGTGTCGAAGTAAAGAAGGATAGAGGAAGTCTAATGGCTGAAGTGAGAGAAGATTTATGTCTGTGTTGAGTATCCACGAGGATGTAGTTTGCATTATCCTCCGGCACAACCTCCTGTTTTCAGAAAAGACAGCAGTGAGCTGGTTGTTTGCTGCTGTTGGTGTATATTTGCTGTGCTGTGAATGACCTTTACAGTACCAGCAGGCATTAGCTGCCAGCTAAGTTTAAAGTCGAAGTTGAAGAGGAAAAGATATGAGCAAGTTTTTTATCATTTCCTGAAGTCTGCAAGGCTTCATTATGAAGGCAGTATTTCACTGTAGAGTCACAGAGGTCTGCATATTTTCTGCATTTTCCTGCTCATGTGTCCTTTCCAGTCACAGGCCTTGTTTCCCTGTGTGCAGCATGTAAACTATTCTGATATGTTTCTTCATATTTTTGTTTGTTTTGTTTTATTCAAATTAGAAATTAGAAAATCAATAGAGAGAGCATTAACAGTATGAAAATATATTTCCATATGCGGTTGAAAATAATCAGAGAGCCTTGCAGGACCAAACAGAATGCATGATTTTTGTTTCAGAAGCCCAGAGTGCTCTGGTAAGGAGGAACACACAACACGCAGTCATTAGTTGAGCCACTCCCACAGACCATTCTGTGGACTGAGTCAAACAGGACTTGTCTGTAATGTAATCCCTGGTATTGTGAAAAGACAGCACAGTCATCATAGACTCAGTGCTGCTGAGAACATTGGATCTCTGATGCTATTCCTTCTTGCCTTTTCTTCCTTCTCTTTGTTGTTTTTCAGTTCATCTGCTTGTTCTTCATTCTCACCTTTGCTCCCTCCTTTGTCCTCTACAGCTCAGACTATTCTTGTTGCTCTGACCTGAGCTGCATTTTTCTCTCACTTACTAAGAATTGAAATAAAAGTGAGCCCTATTTTTGGGTTCTGCCTCTAACGCTGCTATTTCTCTGCCAGAAACGGCCTGCTGCTGACTTCATTGACCCTCTTGTCAACAAAAAGCCCAGGATATCACACCTTGCCAGCAAGGCTGCAACAGCCCCGGTCAATGGCAAGCTCAGCACCTCCAACGGGAGAGGAGAGGGAAATGTAGTGCAGGCAGGAGTGGTGGTTTCTATGTCCGACAGCGGCATAATGTCCAGCTCCCAGCAACTGCCTGTGCTGGACATCCCTCGTCCTTTCGAGGCGCTGTCGGACGTCAGCAACGACTCCAGCCACAACGGGAGGGACTGTGACTCTCAGGAAACAGCCGTGTCTGAGAGGCTTAGCCAACCTCCCCCAGTGTTCTCGGGCTCAGCGGCGCCCTCAACGCCCAGCATCAGCACATTATCACCCAGACACACGGGCCCGGACGTCCCTACAGACAAGAACCCTTCCTCCTCGAACAACAAATCCAAAAAGAAGTCAAAAAAGCATAAAGACAAGGAAAAGAGTAAAGACAGGGAGAGGGTGAAAGAAAGAGGGCAGGAGAAGGAGAGGAAGAGTCGTCAGGAGAGTGTGCCTGAGCCGAACAGAGCCTGTGAGCAGAGCCAAGGAAACCTCAAAAGCAACAGTATTCCACACAAAAGCACAGGTGACAAAACAACACAGTGACAAACATGACTTTTTCTTTTGGCTAGAAAGGTCTATGCTCTTAACTGCTCTGAATAAAAGTAGTACTTGGAACCAATAAGTCATCACTGTGAGTAGGTGATGCATCATATGACTATAAAGTGACTCAATGATAGAATGGAGACCCCTGGTGTTCAGCTTTGTGCCTTTCAACAAGCCAACAGATAGCATCTTCAGAGTCTTTACATGTGAAAGAAATAACATACGCAGTTACTTATCAAAAATAATGCTTTTTTGTCTGGTGTTGTCTTGCCAGTTGCACCACCGCAGGTCCGAGGCAGCAAAGATAACGTTCATTTTCTTTGACCTTGTTTCAGATCTGAATGGATTGTGCAACAGTACCAGTATTCCTCTGTCATCGCCTGAGGTGGCAGACTATTTGTTGTAAGTGTTTAACCACTTAAGCCCTCATTTAATTAAACGGATTATGCTGCAATACTAATAAATAGTCGATACTTAGTGTTCCTATTAAGTGTATCAGAACAACTGAGGCTAGAACCTGACACAGCAAACCCCATAAGTAGATTGAGGAAGCACTGAGAGGCAGACATGTTGAGATAGCTGAAAGGGAAACATGTACACTGGTGTTTTTAGAACACAGGAAGTTAGTTTTTGTCGTTCGGCTACTTAACAACATGATTAGCTGCTCAGAAGCGGCTGTGAGACACAAATCATCAAGGGAGAGATGTTTATGTAAATCTGATTGTATTTTTACAATTTGAGGTTTCAAAATATCAGTCACATATTTTTAGTGAAGAGGTAAATTCCTAGTTCCATATCATGTTTCTTTTCTTGAAGTAAATGTTCTGTAATTTCACTTCTAGGAAGTACACAGTGATCAGCTCACCAGAGCAGCGTCAGAAGTATAAAAATGATTTCAACACTGAGTACAGTGAGTACAGGGATCTACATGCTCGGATAGAAAGCATCACCCGCCAGTTTACTGTGCTGGACAATGAGCTCAAACAGCTTCAACAGGGCACAGACAAATACCAGGTAGACACACACGCACGCACACACACATACACACACATTGATGCTATGTTTGTCTTCAGTAACTTCATTCAACTGATACATTATAAAGTATACCCATTTCAACCCTCCCTCTTGTCCCTTTTGTTGTGTCTCGTCTTTACAGACAATCCACAATCAGATACTTGAAGAGTATCACAAAATAAAAAAGGTGAGTTCACATTTAACAAAAACAGATTTTGATAGAGTCAAGCATCTAAATACTACCCCCATTTCTTGAAAATTGGGTTACTATGTAAAATGTAAAAAGGGGCGCTGTTCTAGAGGTTTAAGTGTGTGTATTCCCCCACACTCTATACTCCAAATTCAAATCCCTAAATTTAAGTTTGTGCTAAGAAGCATTATTCAAAAACTACTTGAACTCCCACAGTCTCTCAAAGAGAGGCAAACTTTTCTTATCGTTACTTCTGAGACATTCTGCCTCTCTGAAATACACTTTTATTCTCGATCATATCTTTCAACATGTTGCAATTTAACCTACTTAGTTGAGAGATTAAGTGATTTTCTCTCTTTTTTTAGTTAATTTTTGGACATTAATTAGATATGAAAAAACACAGGAAGTGGGGAGTAGGAAGCAGAGTATGATCGTGGCTGAGAGTCTAATCAACATGGACTATAGTCTCTGTGCATGGGGCACGCACTAGGCTAACACGTGTTTGTTTAAGCACAACACAATGTTCTCAGCATTTTGTCGTTTCTGTTTCAACTTTTATGAAAACATATTGCTTGCATCAAATTCAAAATTGGCTTTTTTTGTCATAAAACTGGAATTTTATCCTAAGTGTTTTAGAAATTGTCCTAGCATTATTTTAAGTGCGTGAAAACTTCCATTCAGCAACATGCTGTCTCTGTGAAGCTGTGTAGCTCTTTCTAGAAGCCACTGTTTCCTTTAAATTTATGAATATAACCTTGTGAGGGAGAAAAGCTGCTAAGAAACGGCACTGCTACCCCAGTCCTCCTCACTTTGTATCCAGAACTTGTCTTGCACAGAAAGTGCTATCTTCCAGGTAAAGTGCCATAACACAATATAAGCTCTCTTTGCTTTTCATACTGGTGTGTTGGTCCGAGTATGGGATGCAGCCCTCTTTTTAGATGACAAATACAGGTGTCAAAAGTATGTCTCATGTAAAGGTTATAAGTGACTCTCAAACCATCAAAATCTGTTTTATCATTACTTCTAAACTGTTTGAAAATGGGGTTTTAATCCGATTGTGATTATGTCCTTTTTCTCTTGCAGACTAATCCAAACTATAGTCAAGAGAAGAACCGCTGTGAATATCTACACAACAAACTGGCACATATAAAAAGACTTATTTCCGAGTACGATCAGCAGCAACTTTAGTGGTAGTTATTGACACATTGTTTCCCTGTTATCTCTGGAAACCAAGCAGATAAAGGAAAACTCTGGATTCCACTTGTGCTAACAAATTGTTCTCAAGCAAAATGCCATGAAGGGAGTGTTCCCCTCGCTGGGGCCAAAGGCTCTAGTGAGGACTGAGCAGGACGCAATCTGTTTCTCTCTTTCCTTTTTCTCTTTTACGGTGGGCCAGGTCCATCTGTGTAGTTACAACGCATCCTTAAAAAGAAGGTTCTGTTTGGCTTTGTTTTTTCCTCGACAGCCCACCCTGCTTATATTGCACAGAGCTCTGATGGAGTCACACAGAAAAGTGTTCCCACTCTATTGGGAGATGAGCCTTCAGATTGTTGTTAGCAAAATGCAACTGTGTTTTCAGTTTAGAAAAAATTAAGGGAATTTCCCCATTACTGAATCGAAGAGTTTAGACATTGAATTTCTTTCTATTTATTTTAAGTTGGGGGATGGGGTCTGTTTTACACTCCTCAATATCAGTACTTTAAAGCTGTCTCTCTTATCTCCAGTCCTCATATCTTGAATGTCAGCCAGTATTTAATTCAGAAGCTGCCTTGCCCATCCATCTGTCCATCTGTTGGTGTTCATCATTTCCTCTCTTCTAAAGAGATGTAGTTATAACTATTGATTAAATCAAAATAATGTCTTGAACTGCTCTCAGTCAGACGCAGGTTTTTGTACCTGTCTTTTCTTTTTTTTTTCTGAAATCACATGTAGATGTCTTAACTAAGGGGACATGCGGGGAAATTTCTAGTCACTCTAGAGCTTCGGATTTTCTTTGAGCGCAGTCCCATCACTCAGTCATGACCTGCTGCAGTTCTTGTTCTCTGATTTCAGCTGTAGTTCTCTGTTCTGGTTCATAAATTAGATCAGCAAAAAAAAGAAAGCAAGCTCTGAACTGGTTGTCTTTTCAGTTTAGGTCATGATGGCTTTTGTAGCACTAGCATTGTTCAAAATGATCTTAATGCTTCAGAGGATCCTTGAATTGTAAGAGGATGCAGGCAAATTTGCAGGCTTTTTCCTGAAAAATGTCCAAAAATGAAGTTGAGCCACTGATCTGATATCTTACTTTCCCTTCATCGTTATCTTGAAGAGTAGCGTCAAAATTGTGTTTACAGTGTCTTCAAAAAAGATCAAATGTTTTGTTTGCTCATCAGCCCACATGCTAGTCCATCGAGACGACTGTTAAGATCAAGCCATCCTCGATCATCTTCCAGGGAAAGCTCACCTGTGACCAGTGTTTGCCTTTCTCAAATGTGATGTCAGATATTCACGGAGGTGAACCTGAAATCTTTTTTCCTGGATCAGCTCTCCTCTTTAAGAGGTGTCAAGACGACAAATTCGAAATGCTGTTCTGGAACTTTACCTGATGAACGAGCGAGTTGAGTTTCGTCGGCGAATGCATTTCTTATATCGACCTTTTTATGTGAATATGAAAAATCAGCACTTTTTCTCCTGATCTTGCTGTTACCTGGGAGTTTTGTCCAGTGACCTTTCTCTCTGTCCATCAGAGTGCATGCTTTATGAATGTGTTACATTGAACAGTCTTTGTATCTCTACTTGAAAAAAAAAAAACTGCCCAAGGATCTCAATATCCACGCAAACGCCTAGTCCACCTGAATCAGTATGTAATCAATCCGCCATGGGTCTGACCAGCATGTATACCAAAGTGCTTACTGAGTGGAAGGAATCAAATCACTCTACCAAATGATGGCAAAGGAACGTGTCACAGTATTCTCTTCTCTCTGTTATCATTTCTGTGCTTATTATTTATCATCCAGTGAAAGCTGTGCCAGTGTTTTCTTCTATGAAGTAACAGGACAGTCCTTTGCCCCAGCCTAAATTTACAGAACTTGGCTCGAGTGCTTTGATGTAATGCCAGGTTTCAGATCAAATCACTCAACTCATGCAAACACTACATCAAAGCCAGTTGTGTGAGACCAATCGCAGCCTTGCTGTCTGGTCTAGACTGGGGCTGGATCCAGGACTTAAAGATCTTTGGGCGGGGGACGACAAAGTGAAAGCCTTCCAGAATCGATGGTCCTGCTGCCTTCAATGAGAAAAACGCTTCTCACCACTCTTGATGTTCCTTGTTTTCTAGTCCTATTCTTTGTATGATTACTGTATTACACCTGTTTTACAGTCAAAAACCATTGTGAATGAGTTGATCAGTAAATGCATTTTCCTCCAATGGAGAGTGAAGTGTTTGGAAGTAATGATATGCCAGCACAGGAGAACTGTTGTATGAGTTGATAGTGCCAAAAGGACCTGTTGTAAAGGTTTTTTTTTTTCTTTTCTGAGTATATAGTACATGCTGCTGTAAAAGCAAGGAGAGCTTTGGAGAACAGTCGTGAAATGTTGGCGCTAAAACCCAAAGCACGCTTTTTGAAAACCATAAGGGACTGGGACTGAAATTGATCTTTATTTCAATAAAATTCTTTAAATCTTTATTTGTGAAATTCTGAACCATGTGTCTGTTATCTCTCACTAAATGGGATTTTCAGTGCATATTTTTGTCAGAAACATTGGGTGTTTGGGTAAATGGCTGGAATTTAACATTTATCGCTGTTGAAATGAATGCAACATATACAGTACAGCTGGTTTATTTTCCAACTGATACACAATTACAGTCACACATTTGTAGAAGAATAGATGTCAATTTTGCTTTGACAGAAGACAAAGAGTTTCTGGAATAACCATGAAACCATTCTTTCTTCGAGGCAGTTTTTCTTTTTTCTAAAGACCTGAGATATCATTCTGTAGATATTTCATTATTCATAGTTGGTGTATTTCAAAAGTTTTCTTGATTGACCTGTCAGTATTCAGCATTTGTTTACAGATAGGAGGCCTGTAGTAAAGAGGTTGTCCTGTAGGTGGCAGCACTTCCTTGCTTTTTATTTGCACAGCCTCCACTTAGGCTCGCATACCTATTATTATGTTATTTTAAAAATTACCAATTTAATAGAAACATTTTTTTATTATCATGTGTTCTCCTTAACTTGCTGTGTCCCTACTCAAACTATACTGCTGTGACAACCTCTGCAAAGGTGGAAAATGGAAACTATTGTCTAAACATGCTGAGGGTTTTTACATAAATATTCTGTTGGTGTTTCCTGTGTCTAATGAGCATCCTCTTGTAACCATGGTGTGTCTTATATGCTGCCAAGTCTGTGCCTTACAAGACACACGGATTCAAAACAGCCCCTTGGCATGACAGCGTGGGCAGAACAGAAGATGCTCCTGCAAGGCACCGGAGAGGACAGGACAGCTCGCTGTAATCTGACACACTGAGAGATCCCAGAAATCTACATAGCGACTGTGTTCCAGTTGGCTGGGCTGAGCAGTGCCTGAGCCCCGCTATGCAGCTACTGGCTCGCATCCCGAAACTGGCCTCAGTGCTGCTCAGGGAGCTAAAGTGGGGGTGGGGGGTGGAGAGGGTCAGTGAGTTCATTGTGGCTGGCTGCCATCTTTCCTTCTCTTCAACATACATAAGCATATACAGTTGACATGCTTACAAACAGAGCAGAGACTGAAAGCCCAACTCCACTTCTGTGCTCTAAAGGTTTAAACAGACGAGACTTATTTTGTTTGCAGTTTCTGCGTATGAGTGCAGAGAAGATTTCTCTCTTTAGATTCTGTGTTAACACAGCAGGAAAGTGCTGCAATGTGACAATGTAGGCCATGGTTGAATCAAGGGTCAGTCAATTATTTGAGATAATTGGTACGTGTGTTCACAATGAGGACATTTCATAATAGACTCAACTAATGTGGTTAATTTTCTCTGTACCAGGCACATCTCTGAATTGAATGACTGAATAAGGTAATCCGGATACATGAATCATTCATGTAGGTTGAGAAGAACATTTCAGACTTCCAGCACCTGAAATGTGGGCAGCTTTGAGTCTTGTGATGAGTAGGCTATGTAGAAGATCAAAGTACAAGAGCGAAAAACAGCATGTATACGCCCAAATTTTAAAAATATGGTCATACATAAGAACCAACTTGTTATTGGTTATGTAAGTTGTCCCAAAATATACCGATTAAAGTGTACCAAAAACACATTAATTGTGATAGGTATAGCCTCAACTGTAAGATAAAGTGGTCTTAATGGCAATACATGAAAGATAAATCACAGTAACATGACAAAACAAAAACAAATCACATTAGCTTCTAACAGAGGAGTTGGTATCTGCGTTGACCAGGCTAAAGCGTATCCTCCTCATTTAAACTATAAGCTGTGCATTCATCCAATCAGCAATTAGCCTTGTCACCCCAGATGCCTATCTTTACAGCTTTATTAATCTTATTGTGTTCTCTTATTTATTGCTGTGTGACTTGTTTTGTTTTGCACTTCAGGGCTATTGTAGTACACACAACTGCGTGATATCAGATAAAGTGAAGCGGCAGGACACTGTAGAAGCTGAAAATGTTTGTTGTATATGAAATTAATCAACTGTAAATATTGCAAAGTAACCAATCTTTTAAGTTTTACTGATGGTACAGCAAAAGGAACACACAACAGCAGTGGTGTACATTTATGCCAATGTGAGGGATGAAATCAGGTTGTTATATGGCACAATGCTCTGGGTTTTTGTTGTCTCATGAACTGCGGTACAATTTATAACAGGAGGATTACTGGTCAGATTATGAATCACTCATAGAAACCACACAGAGGGACAGGAGCAAACTTAGAATATTTTGTGAAGATGTTAATGGCTCTGTAAATTATATTGCATCTGCGATCCTTGAGGATACCTGATTCACACATTGGCAAATGTGCCCTGTTTCAGAGATAGATTAGGCGCAACAATGAAAGCCTCCAGCAGTTACAAAGTTCAGTTACAGTAGCAAGTCAGGAGTTATGTGTGGTGTAAATGATTTATGTAATTTCATTTCACGGTCAAGCTTTTCAGTTGTTAAGCCAGGTCACATTCAGGCCTCACATGATGAAACCACCTGAACAATACTGGCTCTGTTGATTGTCTCACAGTGTATCAGCCAAACTTTATGAATGAGCAAAGGACATCTCTTTTTTTCCACAGTCACATCACTCTGAACCCCTACTGTAAAACCCTTTTAATAATATTGCATCCAAAAGCCATTCAATACAACTTTGTTCACATTTACTCTTTGTTGTGTGTGCGCACATGGGTATGTGCAGTAAACTGTGTGTGTCAAAGGTCTGCTTTGTGCTGTGAACTTTGGATCATTAGACTTTGTCTTTATTTGACTATGCTTATAACTAATTAATAGTTGTTTCTCTTTTCCAGGACTTTATTCCCTCTTGTCAGTATTTACACGCATTTTGTTAGAGTTAACTGTAGAGTCCCATGATTTGGACATAGAAGCAAAACATTAATAGATTACTACGCCATTGTGACAGGGAAAATCTATCTATCTATCTATCCATCCATCCATCTATCTATAACTTTTCACAGTTTTCTTTGCAGTTTTCATAAACTGATGAATTTGCACAGAATGACTACTTTCAGAATACATTCATCTTTATGTACATTTAAACATATATATATATATATAACAGATAGATAGATAGATAGATAGATAGATAGATATATAGATAGATAGATAGATGTACATTTAGACAGATATATGTATATATACGTATAGATAGATAGATGATAGACATTAGACAGATGTATGTATATAAACGTATAGATAGATGGATAGATAGATTTATATTTATATATATACATTTAGATGGATAGATGGACAGATATATATATACACATATATATATATATATTTCTATCTATCTATATATTTCTATCTATCTATCTATCTATCTATCTTTATAAATACATATATATGTATGTATTTAGATGGATAGATATAAACTTTTTTGTATCTTTAAAATGTACAAATTAATTTGTTATCCCAACGTCTAGCTGTATCACACAGAAAAAAGGTTTTTTCCGTGATCACAAAAAAAAGTCGTGATTTTAACTACGCTATCGTCGTGGGACGGCTGCTGCTCACTCGTATTTTGGCCCACGCGCTGAGCTCACGGTCCCGTCGGTGACGTCAGTGTCCCCTCTGCTACCAGTGGCCCCCTGCCATATATATTCATGCCGGGCAAGATGGCGGTGCTACGGACGAGGTGTTATTGCCAGTGGACATAAACAGGCATTTTATTCTACAAAGATAAACGGAGACATTCAGATTTGATTACTTGACTATTTTTGTGTGTGTTCGCCGCGTCACGAGCGTCGACGTCTTTTTAAATTTCAAACGTTTGAACGTGTTTTTTCCCTAAAATGTTCACATTGTAGCTCGCTCGCTAACCGACCAGCTGGCTAACAGAGAGCAGTTACTAGCTAGCTAGCTATCTATCACAGCCAAGCCGCCGTGAAGTGTAGGATGGGAGAAAAGCTGGAGCTCAAGCTTAAATCTCCGGTTGGAGCAGAACCTGCTGGCTACCCGTGGCCTTTACCTGTATATGTAAGTGTTAAACTTTGTATTTCACCCGTTTGACATTTGTATTGTGTGTCTGTTTTTGTCTTTGTTAGCTAGTTCTTCGCTAACATTGGCTAGTAGAGGCAGCCATGGCACGCTCGTCCGGTGAATCAGGTCATACTAGTCTTAATGGTGACAGACACGGACTATCAGCCAGATACGATGACTGATCAGACTTTTTTCTCCTTGTCCGCTGGAAATATTCCTGGAAAGTGGTCCAGACACTGTGGTGCATTTGAGCCGAATAACGACCAATGTTACTGAGTACAGAGAGATAAAACTAACTCACATATTCACACCACTGTAAGCCGACTTTAGAGTGGAAGTCAGATCAACTTAATACCTTTCTCATCCAGTATCATGTCAGACACACCTTGACTTAGTTTTGCTGGCAAAGTATTGAGAATACGATCGTTGACGTCCTTACTGTCAGTACGTGACAGTGAATCCTAGACAGCTCTTTCTTGGTTTTCTCTTTTCAGACCCACCATTTGTAAACAATTACAGGACAATCTAATTAAACCCAATACAACAGCTCTACCACAAATTCTCCTTTTAGGAAGCTTCTCAATTGTTCTTTACATTAATGGTTTCAGCTGTAGAGTTTGTCGATAGTGTATTACAGTGGTGTATTTTGAAAGTTGGTAATTTTTTCCTCCTTCGTGTTTGTTAATGATGTAGACTTAAGTATAAGGAACCTCTTTTAGTGTAACACACTTTAATATATCACTACCTGCTGCGCCTTCAGTAACATGTACATGGTGCAATAATGACCTGTCTGATCACGTCAACCAAACTCCAAATGTATAATCTTCCTGATAGTAAATTTGTTTTAGGGGTGTTGTGCTTTACTGCATTCAATTGCCCAGGTGTTTATAAATGGTGTTGTATTGCATGCATAGCCTGGGATCTGTTTCTCAGTGCAGCATGCACGTGAATGACCAGATTGCATTCCTCGAATGCTTTCAGTGTTGTGCTATCTCATAACATCATTGTGATGGAAACCAGCTGGGTATATTTGGTGTGTTGCACGGTATGCATCCATACGAATCCTAGTCTGTCAGTTTTCACAACTGTAACCATGCTTGTACGCTGTAGTTGTATTTCCATGTCACATGCTGTTAGCACGTCACTGGCTCGTCGTAGTTGACTCACCTTAGAGGAACGGAAAGGGAAGTGGCTGAAGGTTTTGTGGTCTTTTAAAAGCGTATATAGTTGTCTGAAACTTTCTGTTGTTTTTATAGTGACTGCGGTAAGACAGTCAGTCTTGACTTGAAAAGGTGAAGTTTCTCAGAATGTCTAAAACGGTACTTTTCCCTGCAACTCATCCCCACCTACGCACAGCATAGACTGGTAATTTCTGTTACATCTTCTATTTTGTTTATCTCGTCATCAAGAAGTCCCAGTTAATGAGTCATGGTAACTTCTTGACACGATGAGCCACTCCTCTCTGCTTTGGCTCACAAAGTTGACTCTTCCCTTACACCAGGCCAGAGACTGATAACACTCACAGTTCTCTCTGGTCCGTCATGTATTGCCCCACCTACTTCCTTATGTTATGGTCTGTGGGAATAAACACAAGAGCAGGCACGTCAGGAATTTATTCTGTCGACTATACTGTTGACCTGCCTGATAGCTATTTATACTGGGTCTAAGCTGTGACACACTGAATTTGAAACGGCTGATGGTCGCGCATGTGGGGTTCTGCAATATGAAGCCTATTCATGCAGTGCGCTCCTCCTGTTTTAAAAGGGAAAGCTCTTCCTCTCTTTTTTCCCTTCCTCTCATGTCCATATGGTCAACTCTATGGGGTGGAGAACACAAGAGACCTCTTCTTTTCGACAGTGTTATATTAATAGAAGTCGAAAACACATGCCAGTATCTGTGCTCAAACATTTGAGTCATGTTTTGTTGATATTTTCCACCCTTGCTGAAGTGCTTGTTTGTAGCAGTGTAGCCCACTCCATGTAGATTCAGCCTTCTCTCCCATAAAGCATTAAGATTGCTTATCTCATCCACAGAGCATGAACACAGTACTGTCTGTTTGATGCATACAACACGGCTGTAGAGCTGGCATAAGGCGTGCTGTTTCAGTAAATTGCTCTTTCTTTCTTTCTTTCTTTCTTTGGCACAGCGTTTGGCCCTCTCTCTTTCTCACCATCGCTAACCATCTCCCCACATCTGTGCATCTTTAAATGCTTCCATATGAAGAGCACCTCTGGTGTGGTGTAGCTCTTTGTCCATCTGGTTCTGGGTGTGGGCATTTTGCAGGCCTACATAGCATTTCAAAGACTGCAGCTGAAGTGTTGCCGAGCATGACCGGTTTGGCGCTCACCTATTTATCTAACCTATGTCGAAAAAGGCTGCAGTTATTGTAAAATCTATGGCGTCTTCAGTTCTTTGAAATCAGCAGCGGTTGCAGCTGTCAAATTTGCTGCCTTGCTGTTACTGGTGTGAACTGACTTCAAGCGACAGTGTCTCTATTTTGAGGCCAAACAGCTATTTCATTTACAGTATTCTCACTCTGGCTGTTTTCCATTGATAAGAAGCTGCAAAAGTCCACTGTCCTGCATGTTTGGATGTTTCCCTGTTCCAGCACACCTGATTCAAATGATCAGCTCGTTATCAAGCTCTGTGGTGGCTTGATAACGAGCTCATCATTTGAATCAGGTGTGTTGGACTGAACTTGAGAACCACTGAGCTACACTATTATAACTTTAATAACTGCTGATATCACCATTATACAGCCAGCAAGCATAGACTACCAGTTAGAAAAAAGTCAGTTTACGTAACATTTACAAGCCAAAGGTTTTATAATCTGGTCATCAGGAACTAGCTGAATTGTGTGCATGAGTTATCAGTCTAAATTTTAGCATAATATATGGCATGATGTCCTCCCAGATTTTTACTTTTTATGTTGAAATGAGTGTTGACATGATAAAGATCCGTCAGATTCCTTTGGGTTTTACAAAAAAGGCCATCTGTACTCACTGGTGAATGCTTGTTGGCTTATTTCAGATTCCCTGTCATCGGTGATCGCACTAAGACATCTGTTCTGGACAGCAGGCTGTTTGTAATCACCAGATGACAAGTCGAAATGATTTCATCACTAGTCATCTACGCTTTTTCAAAACACAAAATTTACTCCTGTTGTCTGGTTCGACAACCCCACACCTTCATAGTTCATTAACCGTCAGGAGGTTTAGTCATATTTTGCGGTAAGGAGGAGAAGTACCGGGTGTTAGTCCCTGTCTGAGTTAGTCATTTGTTTCTTGTCTGCTGCTGAGGTAAACATAATGAAGCAAAGGGTTCTGTAAAACCCCTTGTACCCATGATACATGACGCTGATGTTAGAGAAGACTGACTGAAGATGTGGTGTAAGGAGGAGGAGTCATGAATGCGTCACTATACCCACAGTGGGGAGAGAGAGGAGGGTCTCCTGTTCTTTTTGTCTGACTCTCGCTAGCAGACAGTGTTTATTTTTAGCATCAGCCCCGCGCTGGTGTTGCTGTGTGCCGTCTTTGTGTGAGCAGGTGACCTCCCCCCACTTCACTCCCTCGCCCACAGTCCCTTTTAGACACGTATGCCTCATGAACTTCCCCTTTATGCTGTTTCACATATTTTGCGCTCATGTATGTTGAGGAAGTCTTGAAATTTATGTCGCTTGAGAGCAAACACCCAGCAGTTAGCTTGAAAAAATGCTTTAAACGGAAGTCTGCGCTGCCAGAAAAAGGAGTTTTCCTGTGTTACCATGCATATTTGCTGTGTGCGCATGCATGTTTGAGCCTTGGCGGAAGTTTGCGTAGTAGTGGCGGGCAGTATTGAGCGGGAAGCTGGGAGCTCCGAGCTGTGGGCTGTTTGCTGCGGATTCTGTGCCAGGCCTCAAACAGCTGACAAATACCAGGCTACCCCCTCCCCTCTCTGGCCCCACACTCGCTCTCCCCATTTTCTATTCCCTCCCGCTTTCACTTTCCTTCCTTTCATACACTGATTTCTCCTCCTCTCTTATATGCCGTCTTTTCTTTCCCTCCACCAGAGGCTCTCCTTGGCAGTGCGCTGGAGCAGGAGACAGAAAGTGGGTCAGTGGGTCAGCTCAGGCAACAGGCTCAGGCTGGCTGCACTCAGGGTGTAACTTGACTCCTATTACTCCCAGAGCTGCTCAGCACACGCCGGCTTGGTTTGCTCACCGTAGAGTCCCTATACAGGATCATTACTTTGACTTATCTTTCTCGAATAAAGCAGTATTTTACAGATTATAAGGCTGTTTGGAGCAGGTTACTTTAATTTTCTAAAACATGCTGTAAAGTTGTCTTTTTGAGCCAAATTGTACCAACTAACCAGGATGATTTCCTGCAGAAAGACTCAAGTCCCATTTGTTGGCAAAAAGGAAATCTTCAAACCCACAAAGATAAATAAAAGACTGTAGATCAACACTCCCTGATAGTAAATAAATACATGGGTTAAACAAGCGCTGCAAAACATATAAAGAGTTGTTTCCTGCAAACTCTGTCATTCTGTCGGAAAATGTTTCTGATATTCACTATTTTCAGCTGCAATCAAGACAGAAGAAACAATTTGACTGCTACACCAAAGCAAGGGCCTTTTTCCATAAAAATCAAAGTCGTACTTCCATGGGCTCTATTTTCGTGCCCGCCGGCAACGCGGCAGACAGTGGCAGACCCTGCGCTGTCGTATTTTCAATGTGCCACATCAATGAAAGAGAGAGCTACGCCGATGCGTGATGCGTCCTTTACGCACAGGTGGTTCCGATTTAAATGCCATTGTTGGAATTTATGTTGTGATCTGTGCGTACAACCCACCTTTGTCACGTGAGGTTTGAATATGTGCAACTTTATGTGAGTGTCTTTATTTGTGGAAAAGGGTGTTTGTCTTACCAGTGGGTCCAACCTTACACACACCAAATCCATCTGTGCTCATATGAGAGAGTGTGAAGGGCGCCCTCTGCAGCACTTACAGCGACACTTGCTGAGGGGCTGCCTTCTGTTGCCATCGTGTGCACAAAAATTGTAATACGCCTCGCCGGTGGCAGACTTAAAGGCGAGGAGAGGCGCTGTTATGATTGGCGAAAACAGATCTCGGCTGTGTTAAACCCACTCCACACCTCTCTCCTCCCTCTCTATGACTTACGCCGCTGGGAGGAGCTGAGTTAGGGAGGAGGGATACTTACGCCGGGCTGTGCCACTCACCAAAATACTGAAATATGCTTGGACATGCCTTGTCAGCGTGGCGGACCTGACTTACGCCACGCCGCCGGCGAGGCACGAAAATAGAGCGACAGTTTCCTTCTGAATTCACCATGCTGCAGATGTTTTTTGTTGTTGAGTCATTTGGTAGTTGGGGTAGTTGATGCATCTAAAATCATTTTTCAAGTTATGTGTGTATTTTAATGAATTGAAAGGTTAAATGTATTTGTGGATTTAATTAAAAAAAACATGATTATTACTACCAAATTCATTCTGTACTTGAAAGTTACCTACAAAGGAAGATCTAGTTAGAAAATAACTTCTCCTATGGTGTGAAGAAAATAATCAAAACAGAAAAACTCTTCAAGTTTGCTTGTGTCCCATTCTTTCCATTTCCTCTTCTTTATGGACTTGGCATACACTGAGAGCAATCAAGCAGGATGTAGGTTAAAGCCTAGAGTAAACAAGCTCTGGATCTGTCTATAAAACTCCCTCCACGCAGTTCACACATTGCATGATCATAACATAATCATGGGTGGGTCCGAGTATTGTTTTAAGTATCCGGGTTTACTCAAATCACAACATGCAGCAAACACATACCACAGACACTTGAAGCTTTCTTCAACTCGCACAAATAAATACATCTTTTCATTCAAGCAGTTTCAGGATTCGGAGTTTTCAAGTAGAAACTCTAAATGCCTTTTGTTCCAAACTTGATTCACCTCTTTCATGTCTACCCAAATCCAGACAGACAGTACACAATTTTTGCCTGGTTGTTACTATTATCCTGTTGTGAACGGGTCTGGAATGGTTCAGTTCATTTAATTTTTAGGGAGTCTTAGCAACAGTCCCGTACAAAAGTGCCTCCTGAAGCAAATGCACAAACCCTCCACCAATCATATCAATGCAGTATGTCGACAGACAGCAGCGGGCAAACGAAAGAAGCACACCTTTCTTACCCATTATTGCTGTATGAGCAGTTAAATGTTCTGGATTAAACAAAAATACAACATCCTGTGTGTTAAAAGTGACTTTAACAGCAGATTAAACTTAACAACAGTGAAAGTTGCCATTTTTGTTGTTTCCAAATACACTGAAGCAATGCTGTTGTGTTGTCATCCTAAATAGCCGGCCCCATTTTTATATGATGCTGTGATTGGGTTGGTGTATCGGAAAATAAGGGCTAAACTGCTCAGAATGACAGCGGTTCCAGACCCAGTTGCCTTTGAGAATATCTTTGGTAAGAAAGCATAGTTTTTGTTTCAACCCTGGGCAGGAAAACCTGCACTGATGTGTGAAGTGACTTTGTTTTTACACTAATAATAAATCTCTGTATTCCATTGTGATAGACCAATGAACCATAACATTATGATTACTGACAGGTGAAGTGGAAATCAGTGATTTTCTTGTCACAGAGGCATATCTTAGTGGGTGCAGCAAGATATGTGAGGCAGCAAGTGATCGTTTTGTCATTGAGCCTTTTTGTGTAGGGAGCTGGAAAAATTGTCTTGGCTAAGGAGGTGTCCAACTCTGAAAAAGCCAAACTGTTATGGTTGAAGGTGTTGGTCAGTGCTTCTTCAAAGCTGCTTCTCCCATAGGGTGTCTCCAGCCGGCAGTGGTCAGTACACTTAAAGTGGCCAGAGGAAGACGAACTAGTGAACGTGCAATGACATGGACAGCCAAGACTCATGGATATGGGTTAGGGCCAAATGTTTGTCTGCAGATCTGATTCAACTGAAAAGCCACTGTGGCTGAAAACCTGCAACAATTCTTTTCGTTATGATAGAAACATTGTCAGAACACAAAGTGGTACTGTTAGGGCTGGGTCTCAAATCAATATCATGATATATTTAGCGGTTTACCTCAATAAAGATAAATGGACGATAACAACTCCACAAGCTGCTCACCCCCTCCCACATTAACATTGTCTACTTCAGCTGCCTCTCCAGCTGCTACAACTTTTGAACCGTCCGCCATCTCCTCACCTGTCTTTCCCTCTTTGTTATGGACTGGATGGGGTTGAGTCACGTCTCTGACGTAGGACAACATGTTAAAGGGACATGAGACCATAGCCTACCTACACACATCCAAAACCAACTTTTATTGATTTTTTTTTGTATCGGACATTTTCGGTTTATCGCCCAGCCCTAGTCATAGTATAATGCTTATGGGGCGGCGTAGCTGTAGACTGGTTAGGGTGCCCTTGCTTACCTCTTTCACCACCAAAAGCCCTTACAGTGAGCATCAAAGCTGTACCACAGAGAAATAGAAGAAGGCGGACCAGGAAAACCCGATAGTGTTGACTTGGTCTCTACTCAGTTATAAGCAGGGGTCAGTGGTTGATCAGTATGATCCATGTGCTGTGTGAGCACCGCTGCTTTAATACAAAGCCTACCAACCATGGCAAATGAACATCTATAAAGCTATGGATGTCTGTTTTGTAGCTTGAACAGAGTCTTTGAACATGTGCATACATCAGTTTCCTCAGCAGCTGTTTGAGTTTATCGGACACTACAGTGGTTAAAGGCTAAATCAGATATTTTTTATGTATTTGTCTTCGCAAAGTTGGTCATTAGAGGTGAAATAAGGTTATTCTACTGTGTTTGTTTTCTTAAATAGTGTATGCTTGACTTTTACTCCTTCAAACTTGTTGGCTATTTCAGAGGCTGTACTTTGTGGTGCTATTAGAGAGCAATGAGTCAGAGGTGTTCATTATTTCTATCTGTCCACAGGATAAACACCATGATGCAGCTCATGAAATCATTGAGACCATTCGGTAAGTGACCTATCCCCCCGTGTGTACTCCCACGTCAATACAGACAGTTAGTGACTGTCAAGTGTGTGATCTGGTGACTATTCTATGTGTGTGTGTGTTTTTTTTAGGTGGGTGTGTGAGGAGATTCCAGACCTCAAACTGGCGATGGAAAACTACGTACTCATTGACTACGACACCAAGAGGTGAGCCTACTCTTACTGTAAAATCAGTTTGTAAAGGTGTCAGTAATTGTGACTTTTTAAAATTGTTTTTATTTCTTGTTTTTCTCCCAGCTTCGAGAGTATGCAGAGACTTTGTGACAAGTACAACAGGGCCATTGACAGCATTCACCAGCTGGTGAGTCCACATGTCACAAGTTAACAGCACTATATATGTGTCCATCAATGGAGGAATTCACTTGGATTGTGGTTGATAATGGCTCATGCATTGTGCATCATTTGGCGTGGGAGTTGGGATGTTAGAGTCGGTGATCATGAGGTCACAAAGATGCTGTGGTTGTCAAAAAGTAATGCTTTACAACCCTACCCAAGGGGGGTGGGGGTGGGGGTTATTCTCAGAAATTTTTAAGAACTTTGTTCATGTCTGAAAGAAGAATTAGGCTTCTTTGTAAAAGACAGCACCCCTGGGTTATGTTTACCAACAATGAATAGGGAAATCATGATAAATTTGATTGTATTCTTGTAAGATTAAATGAATAATGTCATATCCTAGTGGAAGGGAACAACCCAGCCGATGAAGCTTAACAAACGTCCTTCCAACGGGCTGCTGAGACACATCCTGCAGCAGGTGTACAACCACTCAGTGACCGACCCAGAGAAGCTGAACAACTATGAGCCCTTCTCCCCTGAAGTGTACGGAGAGACCTCCTTTGACCTGGTGTCTCAGATCATCGATGAGATAGAAATGATGGAAGAGGACACCTTTGTTGACCTTGGCAGTGGTAAGTCTGCTGTCAATTTTTAATGTCTTGAATTCAGAAAGAACTGGTCCAGTTATCGGGCGCCAGTTGGTGTTGTGGTTCAAGAGTACACCCCAAATACAGAGGCTATTATTCTTGTGTTAGCAGTCAGGTTTGACTCCTGGTAACCCACAAGTTTCCCCTTTTTTAATCTCCCACATGTCCTCTCTCTTTGGCTGCCCTGTCTACTGAACAAGGGCCAAAATGCCCCAAATAACCATAAAAAGGAGCCATTATAGAAAAATCTTTGTATTGAATCAAGGATCCAGTTTGACCCACAGCATGCCTTTTTCATTAACCCTATGTATTGTTCTATTTCACAGGAGTGGGACAAGTGGTGCTCCAGGTTGCAGCAGCAACAAATTGTAAACACTACTACGGGGTCGAGAAGGCAGACATTCCATCTACCTATGCAGAGGTAACAACGGGAAGATCAGCTGACTTTAAATCTTCTCATCGTCACCTCGTAGAAAAACACACTTCAGTACAACTGTAGTAATATTTACAAATGAGGATAATTGTTTTTCTCCTGGAATTAACAATTGAATGAAAGCGCAAACCTAAATCGACAGAAAAACTTAAAAAAAGTGTAAGCCCCCAAAGTGAAAGATTGCCCTTCTAAATCACATTCTAGTAACCTGCAACATGATATTCAGGACTTTGCTGATGGATACATTAAATGGATAACCATTTTGCCTGTTTAAGGATCTGGTAAAACAAAAAAACATCTAATTTTTGTGGAGTGAGTCAGTGATTGGTTGATTTCTATCAGGCATTTCAATTACGAAGGAGGTGAATACGTTACAAAAAGTCAAACAAAAATTAAAGTAAATAAAATTAAAGCAACTAGCAAACTGCACGTGTTTGAAAAGGCTGAGGTTAAAACCTATTTTATCTTAGCCCTAATCTACTTGTGAAAAACTTTAACTCAACTATCCACTTGGTGTCGATATCAGAGAAAACGATCGAAGTCATACATGTATCCAGCTGTCAGACTCTACCTTTCTCTGTGTCAATCAAAGAGGCTGTTTTGGAAAAGTTTTAGCATATTGTCAATTTTTGTGCTTTGCCTGAGTTTCTTACTTCAACTGTTTCATTGTGTCAAGAATAAAATTTCCCTAAGTTTGGGATTCCTTTATAATCAGAACTTGAAAAACTGAACATTACTTTGAGATAATTCATTTCTTTCTTGATAAATTATTTGTGTTGTGTTGATTAAATTGTCATATATGAATGTAGGTTAATATACGAGTGTTTTATTTTTTTTCTTTCAGACCATGGATAAAGAGTTCAAAAAGTGGATGAAATGGTATGGAAAGAAACATGGCGAGTACACAGTAAGTTGACTCTTACTTTGATATGTATTCATGTGGTACACTTGGCACAAAACTTTCAATACTGTATATTCTGCAGATGTACAAGTCTAGAGAATTCCCACAGATCCCACTGTGCTCTGTTTCTTTCAGCTGGAGAAAGGCGATTTTCTGTCTGAAGAATGGAAGGAAAGGATCGCTAACACAAGGTGATAATCCCAACCTGGTTTTAACAACCATCTTTTAAAGACACAACTCCTATTACTCCTCTCTGATGATCAAAACATGTTGAATGCCCACTGAAGATCTTAACTATTGCTTTGTTTTTTTCTGTCTTCCAGTATTATTTTTGTGAATAACTTTGCCTTTGGTCCAGAGGTTGATCACCAGCTGAAGGAGCGCTTTGCTAATATGAAGGAAGGTTGGTATTCATCAGCGAAAAAAACAACCACATGTAGCTGAAGTTTTCCTAAAAAGAGCCTTTCCTCAGATATCACCTTGACTTTAATCCAAACATCCAAATAAGCTCAGACACACACAGATATGTGCAGTGCTTCACATTCTCATGAAGAAAACGTCTCAAATAATCAATTTTTAAAGTCGAGAAACTGGTTATTAATACATTAAAATGGTTTATTTTCAGTCAATGAAAACTGGGTTAACTTGAAGCTATTTATGCCACTGAGAAATAGTGCATCTAATTTTAGAGTAGGAGTGACGAAATGCTGCCTTCAGACACAGACATATCAAACAGTTCTGCTTTACAATAAGGCAAAACACCAGTGGGAGTCTCGAGTCATAAGTTCTTTTGATCTTCACCGCGTGCCGTTGCATTAATTTGTCACCGCTTATTAGCTGAAACAAAAGGAGAGGTTTTTTAAGGCCCCGGGAGGAAACAGATCAAAGGTTGTTAATAAGCCTTTTTAAAATCCTCTGATTCAGATAACAGTCCTGAAAGTTTGAGCTGTAAACAGTAGCACTTTGTGTTGATAGTAGCGAGAGTAACACTTTGATTCACAGGAAAAGATATTTGTCAAGCTGTTTTCATGAGTGATCAGAATAAGAATGGTGATATCAAGTACTCTCTGACCTGAAAACTCAGAGCCATTTAACTTTTCTTTCTGTTTAGTGTGAGAAAATTCTGAATATCTCTGGATTACTGTTTGTATTTGTGAAAGTCATTCTTTGGCATTACAGTTCTTTATCTGTCCACAGTGTTGTTTAGAAAATGTTTCTCTAAATTATCTGTTAATTGTTTTTTATTCTCAGGTGGGAAAATTGTATCCTCCAAACCTTTTGCACCTTTAAATTTTAGAATAAACAGTCGAAACTTGAGTGGTAAGTACCACAGTCTGTTTGGTTTTGATTTTTGATTCCTGTCCTGCTTGCTTTGATTTGAATCTGAGTTTGTGTGCTTTGTCTTCTTTTTTTATTCATTATCCTGCAGATATTGGCACAATAATGCGTGTGGTGGAGCTCTCACCGCTCAGGGGCTCTGTGTCCTGGACTGGGAAACCAGTTTCCTACTACCTGCATACCATAGATCGCACCATAGTAAGAAGCATCTTAGAGACTAAGAGTAGTGAACTAGAATTTGTTTTTAGGGTCGCATAACAAATCATGAATAAATGTGGTACCATACTATCAATTTCCAATAGCTGTGCTGATGTTAATGCTGAAGTGAGCTTGTTGATTTAAAATTGAGAGCAGTTTGCGCGATAGTTGTTTGTGTCTATTACCAGGCACAGTCAGCTAGAGGCGCCAATAAAATATGATACAGCTGTGATTTATGCTTCTTCAGATCTCCATTACATGTAAACAGCTCTAAAGTTTCTGAGGTCTACAGATCTGTCGATAAATCCACGCACAAATATAGGCATCAATCACAGAAAAAAAATAAAATAAACATTAGTCACTTGGTGTGTTATTGAGAGTCTTTCTCTCTTGCTCTCTCTTGCCAGTTGATCAATGTCTAAATTCTGTAAACCAAAGATCATTTCTTCATTACTGTCGCTGTACCCTCTGACAGTATGTTTAATAGAAATTAATCACATGCTGAATTATGTTAGTCTTCAATTTATTTTTATCATCCCCTCATTTGTATTTGTCTAATTCACAAAACAAAACCGCGATTACATTATAGGAGAGCTGTATGACCATGTACTATATACTCAAACTCAGAGCAGATAATTTCACACATGCACACGCACGTATTCCTGCACGAACACACACACAGTTATGATCGAGCACAAGACACTTCTCAGAGAGTCTCCTCTATTTTACTTGTATGCAGCCTGCGGTTATAGAAGTTCTGCAGTGATGAATTGTTCCTGAACAGAGGTGTGTAGATTGATTAAGATGATGCCAACAGATGCCGTTTGCACATTTTAAAATGTTTGAGGAAGAGATCCTGTTCTGGGAATTACAATTGTGATACCTTGTTAAAAAAAGGTGGCAAGCTGCCTAAAATGTGCATGTGCAACTTCATCAGCATCTCAGCTTAGTGTGGCCATGGATGTGGGGCACCTCAGAAAGCAGGATTTTGATCAGCTAGTTTGTACTTTTGGAAAATGTATTTTGATGGTTAAACAAGGACAAAAGAATTAGCGGCGGCAAAAGGTGGCTAGACATCCTTTCAGTTTGATTTCTGATGGTTAGAAAAAAACAAGAATGCTTCAACTGAAGCCTAGCTGACCTCATGCATTTTGATTCTGTATGAATGTTTAGGAAAATCACTGGTTGGTAATAAGAAGTTGGTAGTAAATCCTTAATGTTAACACTTGATGGATAAATGAAAATACTATTCTTACATCTGTGTTCTTGTCTTGCAGCTTGAAAACTATTTTGCTAGTCTCAAAAATCCTAAACTCAGGGTAAGTCATGGGTCGCTTTCATTGTTTTTAATATATTTGCTCTGTGCGTCGTAGATTTCCATATGATTATTTCTTCTTATTTCAGGAGGAGCAAGAGGCAGCTAGGCGACGTCAGCAGAAGGATACAAAGGACAGTAAAAGCAATAGCACCACACCCACGAAACCGAAAGAGCAAAACAAGGTAATTTATACACAGTTGTACAATATTACATGTGGGAGCATGCACTGGATCAGCGGTATGTGGATTGAACATGTTTCATTACCTGACTTTGTTTAATACTCAATTCTGATGGGTCAAAACCATGTGACAGTTATATTAACTTTTAATAATAAAGAAGGCACAAGAGACAGTCCGAGGGAAGAAGTTATGACACATGCAGGGTACTGTTTATGATTGTACCTCTTTCAACTGACTGACAAAAATGTTACTCTCTGATAGCACTTGAAGACGACAAGGTGAAAAATGTAATATTACTCTCAATTTATCTGGAGAAAACAAAGCCTATGATTAGTGGGTAATAGATGACCAGAAAAAAAGACCAGAAGAGAATAGAAGTAGGAAAAGTTAAAACACAAGAAAAGTGATGTTATCCAGATTGAAGAATATGGAGACAAAGCAACCCCAAATTCCAACAATGTTTTGGGCTTTCACAACCAAAGCGCAACGAAAATGCTAACAAAAATTTTGTTGGGAGAGAATCTTTTACAAGCACAGCTGCTATTTTCTGTGATATCACGAAATCAATCCAATCCAATCTGCTTTTTTTATATAGCACATTTTAAAAAACATTCAAGTTTACCAAAGTGCTGCACAGTAAAATTTAAAGAACAAACACTGCAGAAAACATCAAGAGGAATTGAATAAAAGCAGGTAAAAAAAAACATTGAAAATGAAATAAAATAAATGAAATAAAAACACAAAGCATAAAAGAAATAAAATAAATATCAGCTGCATAGATTATTATTAAAACAATTAAATCAATAAACAATAAAAACGTCTTCGCTTTACTTCTGGGTCTTGTCTCACCTTGTCAGGATACAATTTGACATAAACCCCAGCTAGCTTTGTAGCTTCACATTTTGTTGAACTGTGTGCCATTTAATTCAAATTTCATTCTTCATTGATTAACTGTAAACCAGCTCCTAGTGTTTTTATTTTTTATAAACCATGGATGTTCAGTCGTGTGTTTTCGGAACGATTCGTAAATGTGCATTTGTGTGTCTACGCCTACAACAGCAAGACTCCTGTGGTGAAGAGGAGCGCCCGAGCTTGGTGACAGTGGTCAAGGCCCCACCTAAACCTCGGAGAGCCAGACTCCTGTCCAAAGGTCGGAAGCTGAACAACAAGAAACGCGGTCGACCCAAGAAAGCTGCACCGGCCACTGAGAAGAAAAACAAGAAGAATCAGAGCGCGTTGGATCTGCTGCACGCCAAAACCCTGTCTGCAGCACCCCCTCAGGGTCAGACAACACATGTGCACACACACACTCTGCTATATACTACCCCTAAATTCTACATTAACTCATGCTTACTCTGTCTGAATGGTGGCCTGCATCTCCTCTGGATAATCTTAATCTGCCTCATGATACAGAGATCAGAGTTTTGTTTCCCAGTTTGAACTCTATGGCTTGTCTTACTCTTAATCTTTACAGATGCATACCGGCCACCTCAGAGTCCCTTCTACCAGCTACCTCCCAAGGTCCAGCACTATCCCTCAAGTCAACTGCTGCTGAGCCCGACTCCTCCTGGTCTGCAACAACTGCTAGGTGAGTTGATAAAGAGCCCCTTTCTGTGCAAGTTGTGGTTACTATTTGAGGCGCTGTACAACTCTAAACAAAGGGGTGAAGACTTCAAGTCCACAGATACTTCCTTGACTCTCATGATATTCAGTTAGTCTTGAAGTGTTGTGTAGTTTTCTTGACTCGCTTAATAAAAGGAAAAGAAATGACTCAGTCTCTTTGAAAACTCACTGTGTCCTCTCCAGAGCAATCAGACAGTTATTAGAGCCAGTAAAAATAACAGATTTGTGCAGGCTCACATTGAAATTGGTCTTTTGAACAATCCTCAATAGGTTTCTGAACTGAAAGCCAAGCTGGCGCTAATACAAGCTGGCTAAAGTCTGTCCTCTGGTTAGATAATAAAGTTGAGGACATCGGTGACGTTAATTGAACACCAAGAACTCAGACTGCTGGAAATGTTAGGAACGAATCGTTAAAGCTTCATATCGAACTGCCAAATCACGTTGTGGAGCCAGGCACAGCATGAGCCTGTACCTTAAACTATGCCCTAGTAGGTGACCTGTCCGGAGAGGGTTATCTACAAGTTTGAGATTGGAGAAAGAGACACACAAAGCCTGGCCAGATAAAAGTAAACTCAGGCTGCATGTTTGATGATCTGATTTTTTTTTACCTTGTGCCCTCTCTCTCTCTACAGATAACATCAAAGTTCAGTACCTCCAGTTTATGGCCCACATGAAGACTCCTCAGTACCACTCCAACCTACAGCAGCTTTTAGATCAGGAGAAGGTAATCACTTCTGCCATCAAAACAATCAATATTTTTCTACCATTATTATTAACTTAAATTTCTTGTTAACACACAATTCCAACTTATTTTTAATTGCATGTATTCGAGCACATATTTACCAAAAAACACGATATAAAAAAGTCACAAGGAAACTCACACTGTTGTTTTTTTTCCTTGTCTGCATTCTTGTTCTCCTTTCTCTCTCTCCAGCAAAAACACAGGGACCTGTCAGGACAGGCAGAGCAGCTCCACTCAGTCTGTCAGTCTCACAAGGACAAGATCAAAGGTCTCTTTCAGACCAAACTAGACGAGGTGGGAACGTCAGCGTTGTTGCTCTTTCTAGCAGTAGTGAAACATGGTTAAAACAACACAGTTTGTGATTATTTTTGTATGTTAGCATCATGAAAAGTCGTTTACCCCAAAGTAATTTTAGAATTTTTGAAACACACCCGTTTATACTTAAGCCTTACTGCAGCAGGATAACAACCTCAACAACCGGTGGTCATAAATGACAAATGATGACACTAAGTATCTGTGTGTGTGTGTGTCTGTTTGTGTTGTGATCAGCTGGGAGTCAAAGCTTTGACTGTGGAAGACCTGCTGCAAGCCCAAAAGGAGATTTCTGCCCACAATCGTCAGCTGAAAGAGCAGACCAAGCAGCTTGAGAGAGACATGGCCTTACTGAGAGACCATAGCCTTTTGTTGGTACGTGCGGCTGTGTTTCTGTAATCTCCACACTGTTTGACATATTAGTCTTAGCTGAAATTCTGTTCAGTTGGAGTGTGCCCGACATACCCTTGCACATGGCGCTGATATTTCAAAATGCTTTACTGTGGTGAAGAGAGTGTGCTTCAAGCAAACAAATTAACAAGTGCGTGTTTTTTTTTTTTTTTGCAGCTGAAGTCTCGATGCGAGGAGCTGAAGCTGGATTGGGGCTCTTTGTGCCTGGAGAGTTTGTTGAAAGAGAAGCAGGCGCTACGCAGACAAATCTCTGAGAAACAGAGACACTGTTTGGAGCTGCAGGTGTGTACAGACCTCCTCCTTACTCTTGGGGATTTATTCCCAATTTTTACGTCTCCTTCTTCCAACTGTCATGTACTTGTCCATACTTGCCATGCTCTCTCCAGCCATCCTGCCAACCCCTCATGTCCATCCTCCTCCCCTCAGTGGGAGATTGGGATAGATTTGCCCTTGTTAGTTCTGAATATTGTTCATAGTTTGTTATATATACTATATATGCAATGGAGCTTTCAGAGGACTTAAAGAAATACCCTCACAAATATATTCCTAGATAGCTCAGCATAACTAGAGGACCCCTGTTTACCAATGTAACAGCTCCCCCTGGTGTTTATTTGCAGATCAGCATAGTGGAGCTGGAGAAAAGTCAAAGGCAGCAGGAGCTGCTCCAGCTCAAATCCTCCTACAGCCCCTGTGACGGCTCCCCATACAGAAAGAGCCTGGAATCGCGTTCCACTACAGACATGGACTCCTCTAAGCTGGGCTTGTCTTCAGCCCCAGCCCTCAATGGTGTCAGCCCAGAGCTGTCCATGAACGGCACCAGCTCACCCTGTTTCGACCGGGCCAACACCAAAGGGGAACTTCTCTCCCGCTACCTACCCATCTCTCCGGACCATGAGATTGTACCTGCCCCCACTGATGCCCGGCAGAGGCAGCAAAGTTCCTCCCACGCTCTTCCTGATTACACGCGCTTCTCCCCCGCCAAGATTGCCTTGCGGAGGCACCTTAACCAGGACCCCACTGCCTCTGCCCACTCAAGAGCTCCAGGGCTGGCCATCCACAGGTCTGTTTGCTCATTATTTTTTCCCAATTTTAAAATTTTTTATTTTTATTTTTCAGGTCTGCAGTTGACTTTCCTTGGTGTCACACAGCTTAAGTACTTGAAACTAAACATGTTTGTTGTTATTTTCAGGGAAATGAGTGGTGTTAACTCAATGCATGGGGCCAAACAGAACTGCTCCTCTCCCTGTGCATCTGATGCCCAGAATACTCCTAAAGGTTCAGAGAGGGTAAACCTTTATCTTTCTTGTCTTTCCATGCTTTTGTTCCTTTATTTCTTGCACTTTTTGTGTGTTGTGTTAACATATTATTTTCCAATACTCTGTGCACACAGGGTAAGGAGAGGAGTCCGCCTGCTCAGGGAGACAATAGTATCACAAGCCTTCCTATAAGCATCCCTCTGAGCACTGTCCACCCAAGTAAACTCCCAGTCAGCATCCCCCTGGCCAGCGTGGTGCTGCCCAGTCGAGCTGAGAGACTGGTGAGCACATTCCATTCATGACAGTGTCAAAACTACAGTTATATTATTGCTATGATTTACATTTAGCTTGTTTCACCTACATTAGTCATTTTTTAGTGTGATTTCAAGTTGTAATGTATACTCTGTATTTATAATTTCAGAGAAATACTCCAAGTCCTGTGTCTCAAGCAGGTCAGACCAACGGTAAGGAGAACTATGTTGTGTTTTACATTTCATATCCAGCACTTTTAACAGAGCAGGGTTAAAAATTTAATGTTAACTTTCTACCAATGATGCTCCCAACTTCAAAAACTTCAAAACCACCAGAAAAAATGAGGGAGCATCGACTCAAAGCTAAAGAAGATATGTTGGTATTATCGTCTACAATAACAACATATCTTTAGTTGGAAAACAACATGACCGCCGGGGCTTTGAATCGTTAACATTAACTGATTTCATTAAGTCAAAACAGTTTCATTTAAAGTATGAATGTCTAATATCATATCTGGCCAAATTTTATCAACATCAGATTTTAGTTTGGAAAATTTAAAGCCTCACAATTCACACGTTGATCTGATGAAGCATATAAAAGACATAAACAAGGTTGTGTTAACCCAAGCAGCACTCTTATCAGTCAGAGTTAGGAATTATCAGTCTTACACACATTAGGGGTGTGAACCATCTATTGCAGTTCAAAACACATTGGGCAAGTTTTTTCACTTAAGATACAGGGTTTTTTTTTTCACTACCATTCCTTAGTCTTCCTAGAATACTTCTAATAAAAAGGTCAAGCTGTGAACATGACCCGACACTAGCCTGTTGCTTTAGTGAATATTGGTGGCAGTAAAGAATTTTTACTATATTTTAAACCTTTTATTATCATCAATATACTGCATACTCTTCTACTCTGCTTATGTTGGAGCTTTTTCACTGCATGTTTATGTAACCAAGACATCAGGTTACTAAATATTTGTTAAATGAATAATTAAAGGTACTGTATTTGGGGCACTGCTGGCCTGTGATCTTGGCTTTGTCCGAATAGAAGGTTGTACCTCAAGCAGTTTGCTAGGGTTGGCTTTCGATTATTTTGTTACAGCCCTACCACAATAGTGTAAAGGAGGTGCCCAGCACTTTAAAAATTTAAAGTTAAGTTTTCAAGAGAAACTGCGCATTTCAAATCAACACCAGCCAGCAAACATCTAGAATAAAGGTCAGATCACAGCATTCACTTGCACCCCCACAAATGCTCCGTGGTATTTTTGAGGTCACAGATTAAATTTTGGTCACATACGCAACCAAAACGGTCACCATTTCAAGAATTTCAAGAATACTTTTTCTATGTCTAAAGAAGTTAAATAATGAGTCGTTCTGCATGATATTTGATAGTTGACTGTTATCCTTACATATCCAGAATCATTCACCGAGAAACTGTCTGGTCTCTGTGTAGGATATTCCTCTAGCTCAGGGCTGATGAACGGAGGGTCCCATCCCGAGGACCATAATGGTGCTTCTTCTTCACCTCCTCCACACACCAACACTCTTCTGACAGGACCAATGGGCCGTGGAGGTCACATCCAGAGCCCCCCTCTCAACACAGGGGGGGTACTCCAGTATGCTGATGGACCCCCGAGGATTCTTCCAGAAGACGGGCAGGATCACCAGGGAGGAGAATCAGACATGGAGCCTCAGGACAGTGAAATGCGGAGGAGGATCTTCTTCTCCTCTTCCTCTTCTTCATCCTCGTCTTCCTCTTCGTCAGGCAGTGGAGGCAGCGTTGGCGGAGGATCACGCCTCCACCATCACACTGGCAACTCAGCCAAGCAGGGATACCACAGTAACCACGGAAACCACCACCACCAGTCTCCCGGCACACAGCATACCCACCAACCCACACACACATCGTCATCGCACTCCTCTCACAGCCTCGGCTCTCAGGAAGGGCGGAAAAGAGGGAGGAGAAAGCGTAACTCTACGTTGTCTATCACAGCCAGCGGATCCCCAAAGAGGAGGTCATTCCCCGGGCTCGGCTCCAACAACCACTCCTCAGGATCACCACTCAACATAAACTCCATGGTGAGACACTTTGACCTGTAAGAATGTATCTTTGGATTGTCTGTGGATGAATACTATTTTTTATTTCGAGGTGTCATCTGTGTTATAACTGACATGTTCTTCTCCCAATAGGTGAACAACATCAACCAGCCCCTGGAGATCTCTGCCATCTCCTCCCCGGAACAATCAAGTCGCAGCCCCAGCGGCCCTGACCTGGACCAGCCTCCCGTCTTAAAGAGAGAGCGCCCTCTGGAGCTCAATGGCAACTGTCGCTACTCCTCAGCTCCGAGCTCGGATGACGAGGATTCAGGATACCCTGCCGACAGCTCCAGTTCACGGTAATATTGTTATAGGAATAACAACCATGTACCTGCTTGGCAGCTTTTTGAAGTAGTTTATACTTTTCTTATTTAACGAGACAAAATGGGAACAGTAGTGACACAATAAAGTCAACAAGAATTCAGTAGAGACAAAAGAGAAAGACATCCAGGACAACAGACAACATAAGGCGCAGCAAAAACAGAATTTAAAGTAAACTCTACCTCTGGTCACTTATATGAGAATCACTAGCCAGCTGACTGAGAGTTGTGATTTGTGGTTCTGACGGTTATAGGATAATAAACAGAGGCTTTATAACCTGTCCTTAGTGGGGTGACAGACGGCGAGCCCAATGTTTGTACTATCAGGTGTCTAAACTTCCACATCTGGTTGTGTGAAAGATTGCTTGGCTGCTTTTTCAAAACACGACTTTGCAGGAAACATATTCCCAGTTACAAATTATCTACTGTTGTTCACACATCTATACTGATAACAAAAGTCCACTTTTTTGATTGCCTAAGCTTTTTACTTTTAGTTTAGTTTAGTTTAGTTTTCTCACCATGCCTCATCGCCGCTTGTTTGTTTGTTTTCTTTTTCTAGAATTGAGAGGAAAATTGCCACCATATCCTTGGAAAGCAGAGATGGACCTGGACGACTAGGGGATATCGAAAGAGGTATGTAAAAGAGAAACCTTTTACAAATTAAACTTGACCTTAGAATATTCCCACCTGTGCTCATCAGTCTTTTTTTTTCTCCACCAGGAAGAAAATCTGGTAGCAGTAGTGGTAACAGCACTGGCAGCGAAGCCTCGTCTTCATCTTCCATGTCCTCTACCAGCAAGTGGAAATCCACCTTTTCCCCAATTTCTGATCCAAAGCAACCCAACTCCGATCTGAGACAGGGGGGCTCTCCATTTGGAATGGGGGGGTCTGGCCGGGGAACAGACTCAGATTCAGACCACAAACAACAGCATCAGCAAATAAGACGAGGGAGTGACGGAGAATCAACCACCTACATGACCCCAAACCCCTTCCTCAGTCAGGAAGCGGGGACCCGGGGCGGAGGCAGCAGTGGTGGCGGGGGCGCGCAGGGCAGTGGTTCAGAGCAACGACAGGCCCTGCAAAAGCAGAAGGCGGGTCGGGACTGGGAGCTCAAAACAAGCAGCAGCCTGGGGAGCCAGAACCTCTTCATCTCCGCTGCAGCGAGCAACGGAGGCGGCATCTTGAACGGGAAGGTGGGAGGAAGTCCAGTAGCAGTTTCCTCGACGACAGGGTCATCCATGGGGCAGTACCTGGGGTCTCAGTTCCCACTCGGAGGGACCTCAGTCTTACAGTCCCTGTTCGGGGCCCAGACAGGATCAACATCAAGTGGGACCACACGACTTGTCAACGGACACTCAGCCCTGGGAAGCTTCTCCAGTGCGGGGCTGGCAGGGGGAGCAGCTGGAGGTGAGCATCGCTAACAGCAGACGTTTCATGTAGGTTGTTGAACAGTTGAGGTCATAGTCTTAGCCAGGGGTCATCAGGATACAGAAAAGTGAGAGTCAGAGGAAAATGGGCCGGCCGATTATTCCAGGTAAGTGAGGGTCCAATGCTGCTGTCTCTCTGTGCTGCATCGCTTTGACGTGGACTGGCTGCTTAGAGGCTGTAGTCGGAAACACCTTCAGAAAACGTGTCGATAAGCAGATTGATTTAAAAAAACACAAAGTAAGAACCGACTGAGGTGATTACATGACTGCGTCCTCGTTTTCTGTGGGTGTTTCTGTTTACGTTTTATGTCAGAGTCATTTCATTTCTAAGACAAAATCAAAAACACGTTAAATGGAACTACATCGACTAAAACTAATCTGGTTTTGTTCAACTCAAAGTGGACTGACTCTGTTTGCTTTCTGTGTGCTTGTCAAAGACTTGCTTGGCGCTATGCTATGCACAACCTGGCTCAGTCCTTGCCTCTCTCTTTGTCCCCCCCCCTCCCCCCCTCGCTCTCTTTGCCACTTCTGTCTGCTCTGTCTCCCCTTCGTTTCCACTCTCTCGCCCCCCTCCCCCTCCCCTCCATCTCTGCTGTATGATTTGCAGGTATATTTCACCACGCGGTTCCCACAGCGTCCTCCCATCAGTTTGGGGCAACACTGCCCGCCTCTGGAGGCCTCAGCTCTCTGCTCAGTCTCTCCTCCTCTTCCTCTCCCTCCCCCCAAACCCAGCAGCACACCACACTCCAACCGGCCTCCATGCGCTTGGCATCCGCACCCTCACCTCTCCCCCACTCCCAAGCCCAGCACAGCCGTATTCAGTCAGTCCTCCACAGCCCCTCACCTCCCACCCTCTCCCTGCCCCCTCCTCCGCCTCTGCACAGCACCTCCTCCTCCTCTTCCTCCTCCTCCTCGACAACCACGCACTCCGATGCCCCGCCATCCTCTCTCCACACCTCTCGCCTGTCCCACTCCTCCCTCCACCACCAGAGAGCACAGTCATCCCTCACTCTCTCCATCTCCTCCACCTCTGCCCCCTCTTCTGCTTCTGTCTCTGCTTCTGCTGCTGCTGCTGCTACTGCTTCCCACTCCTCCTCTTCCTCTCTGTCAACCTGCTCCTCCTCCGCCTCCTCCTCGTCTCGCCCATTCGCAGTGCACTACTCCCCTCGGCTGCCCCCTCCACCGCCAGCCAGCAGCTCAGGTGGTGGCGGGGGCATGTGGAGAACTCAAAGCATGCATAGTACCCACACCACCACCCAGCTCCCTGGCTCCCGACCTAGATAAGGTTTGGGAGTGTGCGGAAGGCAAGGGGGAAGGAGAGGGAGAAGGGCGAAGGGCAATCAGGGGGTGGAAAGAGGGGGAGACTGGTAGAGAGAGTGTGAGAGACAGGATACGTTTATTCCTTGTGCTCTCAAAAGCTGTTGTTCTAAATGAACAAGGTAAGTCACATCCAGAGTCTTCAATTCAAAGTTTCAAAACTTGCTGAGCGGTAAATACTTTTTAGGGGGTTTTCTGTCCTTTCACAATAAAAGTCTCTCATATGTTTTCCCTTTTTTTTGATATTTCAGGTAATTGATGAAATCTACCTCAACATTAAATAAACTATGCAAATGTCCAGGTGTGGACCAGGGCACTCTCCTTACTCACTGGTGCTTCGAAGCGTCTCCTGCTACCCAACTGCCTCCAAGACCGGCTTCTGTACTGGGAACTTTGACACACATACAACACACACACACTTATCTCACACACACATCCTCACTTACCTTCACCATGGTCACCTTGAGCAGGATTCACTTGGTACTGGTCATGTTTCTGTGTGATGCTGCTGCTCCAGAACTCGAGTAGCTTAATACTGAAGATGTCTTGTTTAACACGAAGGTGCTCAGTGCTATGGTAGTCGACTCGCATATCATAGTTGCTATAATAACAACCAGTGTTAAGCATAATAGTCTCTTTTCACTTGTGTAACGTGTCACTTAACAACAGATTGAAGCACAAATTCCACCCTTTTGAGCTTAATCTCATCACGCCACATTCCCTCCGTAGTTTCTTTTTGACCAAGGCGGACACACTCACACTGACCAGTTCACTCAGCTAGAACTCTGCTCAGACATCATGCGGGGAGATATCTCCGCGTGCATGATCCCTCCTCGTCTTCTGCTTTCTTCCTTTATTTGAACATTTTGCAACATACTGCAATGCAAATCAAAATGGGGAACAATTTCGACACAGTTACTAATGTAGCAGAAGATGTACAAGTCCTGGCTGGTTTATCGACACCCCATGAATGCTAGACATATGACTTTTAACATTTTACAGGGAAAACAAAGACTCTCAAGTCCCTCGACTTATCACATGAATTGTACAAAGCTGTTCTAACTGTCCTGTGTTGCAAACAAAACTAACATCCTTTCCTCGCAATGAACTGGTGTAAAACCAGTTGCGCTTAATCTCTGTTGTTTCAGCATTTCTCTTTTGACTAGATTAGCTAATCTACTCCCACACTATATAATTGGATAACGCCTCATATTGGAAGTATCAGTGAAAGTTTCTGTATCTGCTTCAGAAAGGAGCAATCGATCATTTTCAGCCTTCCTCTGCGAATCAAAGAACATGGAAAATGTCAGATTCTGTTTTTCACATAAGTTAAACAGCATCAATAGGTGCCCATGAAACTGAGCCAAGACAAGTTCATTTTCATGTTTTAAAACTAACTCATGAAATTAAGTTAATGAGATGGTGCTCTGTGTGTTGACATTAAGTCTCTGTCTTAAAAAAAAAAAGACGTCCTGTGTTTTCGCTTCACTGTCTGGTGCTCGAGTGAAACTGAATCCAGGTGAAAACTTGGACTCCCTTGAAAACACGATGATTTATTTCAAGGGTTTATCCATGAATACATTTGCAAGAACAATTTCAGTAGAAACGGGAATATAAAAACTCCTATTTTCTATTTATTATGAACTTTTTTTCCTCTTCAGACAGTTTGGTAAATTACACTACCATGTGGGAAACTCTTACAGCAGGAATTTTTAACTCTTCTTAAGCTAAACTCGTTTGTATTTACCTGTGCCATTGGGAAATGCAGTCTTAAGGAAAGTTTAGGACTCAATTATGTGGAACTATAGACACTCACACACTCATGCATGCAGCTCCTCACACACTGAGAAACAATGAACCATGACCACATGAAACTACTGGACTCTCTTCACACCTTTTTGTTTGGCTTTTTTAAAGATGTGTAATTTGTTTTTGTAAACAGTGTTTGTACTGTGAATGTGATTCATTCTCTGTATAGTTGTGTATAATTTAGATTATTATATTTATGCCGTCAGTCTCTTCATTTGCCTTGTTTGTTTTTCTTTTTTTTTTTCTTTTTATAAATCCTGAAATATGTTGACATTGTAGAATGCAATAGTGTGTGTACTTGACTCACAGTCTGAAAACAATGGTGCTACGTTTGGACTGTTCCTGATCTTATTTATTCTGTAGTGAAAACATCAAAAATGAGTTGGTGCTGCACACAGGGACATTTTCAAAACGATTTTCTTTTCTTTTTTTTTTTTTGGCATTTCCTTTCTCATATTTAATATGTCTGTTTTTTTTGAATGCCTACTGTACACCTGTAGACACCACCTTTAGATAAAACTGCTCAGTGACAGCTGGCTCAGAGTGTGAGCAAACAGATTGTTCCATTTTCTCACACAGCAGGTGTAAATTCAAGTCAGCTGCTCATCTGTTAGTGAACAAGACACACTGTTTTATGTACATAACTTTTGTTGCCCCCTTTTATGTCTCTCCATCATAAACAGAAAGGTATATAAATGTATCTATATACAGTCTCTATATATATGAGTATATCTATAAGTGAATAGAAATGTTTGGTGCTAGGAGCATTATGACCTTAAACTCAGCCTGTTAAACAGGAGGCTCAAAGCCAAGGAGTGTGAAGCTTTGCCACCGCACGGTTTAAACAGATGGTGCCTGCAACAACACGGTGACGCACACAACAGAGCTAGAAACTCAAAAAAAAAAAAAAAGGCTGTGTGTTAACTCACACAAACCAAGGTGCTGTGGCTAGACTTGATTGCAGCACCGGAACCGTCATCATCACTTTTATCAGATGTTTTTTGGTCTTAGTTTCTTTTTTGTGTTACCAACCTAGACTCTTCAGGAAAAATGGTGCTCGTTTCCAAACAATTGCAATTCCACTTTTACAAACTAAAATGGTGCGTACAAACTCTGTGTGAACCTCTGGCACACACTGTCTGTCTTTAGATGTCTTACTGACAAGACTCTGCTACCTTGTAATGTGAGGATTTGTGTATTTGCAAAGATGTTAAACACTTGTGCAAGGGTGCATACGAGCCGCCGGGCTTCTTTTTCCCCTCTGATGGCGGGAATACGCTTAAACTCTGTGTGTATATGCACACTAATTTCTCCACTAGCCAGTGCTTATGTGAGGGAAGATTAAACTAATAATGAAAGCTTTATTGTCCTGTCCTGTGCACTCACTGTGCAGACACGTGTGTTTTTTGCCTGTGAGTGTTGAGGTGAAAAACAGAGTTGTTTAGAAAGTAATTAGACTATTTGTTACCAGCACTGAGAGCTCTTTTGTAGTTATTGTTAATGCTGATTTGATTTTCTTACTCTTGGTGTTTGATAAAAACCGCGGTTGCTGCGTGTTAAGCTTTTAAGTGTGTCTTCAGATTCTCGTCAGTTTTTAATACTACTAGTCAGACAGACAGCACGGTGCTCTCCTTCACTTAAAACAAGGAAATTGCAGCTATTGATGAATACTACTCTTCTCCTGATGTGCTGCAGGGTTTATGGGTTAATAATCATCAACAGGAGCTTGCCAAGCGGCTTTCTTTCGGTCAGGTCGAACCTGCAGATGTTTCTCAACTCTGGAGGGGCGACGTTGTGTATGTGCAAGTGAGAACTGGTTCGCGGGAATGGCCGTTCTACATTCATCACAGATTTCAAACTGTTTTGTAGTTACTTATACAATCAGTCAGAGGGGTGAGGTGCTGTTATTGAAGTCCTTTGGAGTGTAAGCGTGATCTGAATTAAAGCTTCTATGCGGGGCTTCATTGTGCACCGTTCTGGTACATTTTTGTTAATCTGCATTCGAAGCTGTTTACTTTAAATCCTGCCAAAGGTCTTAACTCAGGAACTTCCCTTGCAACGATATAAACAACTGTATTTAAACTACTGCACGTCTCAAATGTTTTCACTATCTTGTGGCATCATGGAGTCCCCTTTTCAACCCAACTCAGGATCAGTAAATCCCCTCAGTAAGTGAATTAAAAAGCAAAAACCGATCGTACATCCTCTCAGCTCTCCCCGAATGAATTCTCACTTTCACATGCTGCAGCTTGTCCTGTGAAACCAGCTTTTGAAAGCTTTAGAAAGCTTTATGAGTCGGTTTGATCTCAAGAAGCTGTGAAATGGCTACGACTTCCGCATCTTCCTCATCTCACAAATGCCTCTGTCTTTATCTGCGACTCTGAGAAGGAGGTCCACTGTCCTTTTGTCTGGGCTTCTCCTGCGATTTAGGGAGCAACCTGAACTTGGGACACGTGGCCGACAGTTTGTGTACAGTGATCTCTGATGGATGAAGCCAGGGCAGGTTTGAGGTGCAATAACGGCAAACCTACTTCCCAAAAGGCCCTGGGGTTTCATGATGAAATTGTTACTGTTTGGTGTTGGTGCTTTTATCCTAAGATGTTATAATGACACAAATGGAATTAATGTTTTTTTCCCCTGCGTTTTATGATTATTAATAAAAGTGTTTCTTATAATATTTGAACTAATTTTGTCGTGTTTTGTGGAGTTTATAGAGAAGGAAAAAGGTGGACTGAGGAGCACAGATGCGCTAAGTGTCATAACTGAACAATAAAAGATACAAGAGTGCTGAAACAAACAACGTCCATCACAAAAACATATATGAAAAACGCTAAACAACATAAAAGAAGTATAAAGCAAACATACACTACAGGCCAAAAGTTTGGAAGCAAGGCCATTACAGGCCGAACAGTTGGGAGTAAGTTCAAGTTTTTGTTCACAATGCTTTTTTTAAATCCAGCATGAGTTGTATGTATTTTGGGATGTATTTACTCCATGATCAGATGTTGCTTTCATGGAAATGCACCATTTTACTCCATTTACCTTTAGATATACATTGATGTTAACAGACCATTGCTAAATATATGTCAGCAAACGATAATAAGGGCTTAGTTTTAGGGTTGAAAACATTTGCAAGAGTCACAACTTCGGTGCAAAAGCAAAAAAAAAAAAAAATCACAGTTGGGTTATTCACTTTAACTTTTTGGCTTTTGAGAGTCTGCATACAAAAATCCTAATAAATATCAACTGCATTCAAATGACTGCAAAAATGGCTAGAAATAAGCAACTGAGTAAAGAAACAAAAGTACAGATTTGTACATTGAGGAAAGAAGGATACACAGAAAGAGAAATTGCAAAACGCCTAAAGGTGTTTAACAAAGGAGTCCACGACACTGAAGAGACTCGAGGAACCTGGAAGTTATGATGATAGAAAAAGACCTGGACGAAAGAGAGTTACTACAAAAGCAGAGGATAAACATAGCATTGTCACCAGTAAGAGAGATCGGCGAAAGACAGCACCACAAATAAGGGAGGAAATCAACATGACAAGGTCGAAACCCATATCTCTGACCATCGTGAAATGATGTTAGAGAAAGGCTGGTCTGAAGGGTTGTTTATCCGCAAAAAACACTACTTCGTCCACAGAACAAGAAAAAGAGATATGAGTGGGTAAAAGCTCACAAAAATTGGACTTATGATGACTAGAAACAAGTTTGCACTGTTTGGATCAAAACGCAGAGTCTATGTCCGCAAACAAACTGGTGAACGTCTAAAAGCACCATGTGTTACACCCACAATTCAGCGTGGAGGTGGTAGTTCCATGGTATGGGGATGTTTTGCAGGTGATAGAGTAGGAGATTTGTTTGAAGTAAAGGGTATCATGAAGAAGAAACAGTACCACTCCATCCTCCAGCACCATGCTGTTCCATCTGGACTCAGACTTGTGGCTCATAAGTTTGTTTTGCAGCAAGACAATGACCCTAAGCACTCTGCCAAGCTCTGTCGGGGTTACCTAGACAAAAAAGAAGAGGAAGGTGTTCTTCAAAAGATGGTTTAGCTCTCTCAGTCTCCAGACCTTTCTCCAATTGAGCTTGTGTGGGATGAATTGGATTGATCTGTCAGAAAGGCGCGTCCCACGAATCAGCAGTCTCTTTTTAATGAACTTAAGAAAGCTTGTAATGCAATCCCTGGAACATACCTTAAAAACATGTGGAACGAATGCCTGGTATATGCCAAGCTGTTGTTAAAGCCAGAGGAGGTTACTCTAAAGAAAGCAAAGTCTAAACAACAATAACTCAAATACCTCATAATTATAGTCAAATGTCTTCTGATAAGTTACTCTTTACACAATAGTCATGTTTATTGTGTTGCAAATTATGTATATGAAACTATGATTTTTTTTTGTACAAATCTGATCTTGCTTCCAAACTTTTGGCCTGTAGTGTATATAATTACTCTTTTGAGAATTTTGCAAATGTAACTACAGCTCAGATTCAGAGATTGTGTTGATTTATACCTGTAAATACCAGCCCTGATTCCCACACTACACAGATACAGAAATAACCTCAGGTTGTTGTCACTGAGGAAATGGGATAATGTGATACCTACCAAGAAATGTCCTCGAAAACACTTAGTTGATAACGTGTAACAGAAGTTCCAGAAAAATGAACAGTGCTTGTCATTCTTGGCTTTATCTCTTGGGATTCATGGCTACTAAACATCTCAGAGACCTTGACTGTCTGAAAAAACAAGGCAGCATCTGTGAGAGTCGTATTGGGAGACAGAGTCAGATCCTATGCCCCTATTATTCCTGGTTTTATTTTCAATCTTTAAAGAATAAGAGCACAATAGTTGGGTTAACCTGCTATTACACTTTATCGAGGTCATTTAAGGACCTCTTGTTCTTGCTCTGGTTTCATTTGGCTAATTTTGGGTACCCATAATCGTACTCGCTGTATTGGAAATATCCTTATTTACTATCTAAGATTATAAAGGTAAACTGTATATATTGTCAGAGCTGTCCATCAATCATTAAGCTGCAAACAGTGATAACAGCGAGCCTGACTAACACAAGTGTTCAGAGACTTTCTGTCACTGGGACGAACGCTGTTTCATAAACCAAGACGTGTGACAGCACACTTAAGAATACAGAGCATTCGTTTATCATTTCTGTTTCCAGTGATTGTCAAGGTCATACATTTCTGCATACTGTATATTTTTTCCACTTTCAGGACTCACATGATATATCAATAAATTAGTGCTTAAAAATGCATGCATGTTTAACTGTCAACAATAACTCTATGGGAAAGTTTCAGTATGCAGGAGTATGCTTGCCACATTTTGATGACACACATTTAATATCACAGCCCCAACACTAAATTTTAACACAAAATAATGGTGATTGAATGAGCCCAAGTAGTTTTGGGGTGGCCAAACAGATTTTAAAGGGGCCCATGGTAATGATATTTTTTTCAAATTTTTAGAGGGGTGGGAGAAAAAAATCTATTCCATGTTTTGTTTTACAATTTTTAAATCGATTTTTTTTTTTTTTTTTTTTCAAATTTAATAATAAATCTCAAAAACTGACTTACATGTGATATGTATTTTTGGGGGAAATATGGTTTCTGGAATAGTCAGTAGACAATCATAATCATTCAACTGTTTCACTGGTGTTAAAAATGCAGACTAAAAATCGAGAAAATCGACAATATCGTAGAATCGCAATTTCAATCGAATCGGCATAAAAAAAAAAGTCGTTGAAGAATCGAATCGGGAGAAAAGCATATTGTCTAAGCCCTAGTAGCCTTGCTAAATCAGGTGTTACCCCTGCTTCCATTGTCACGCCAAGTTAACTGTGTTTTGGCTGTAGCTTCCAGTTTTCTGCACATACACTAAAGTTCTCTCAATCTCCTCATTTAACCCTCTCTTAAGAGTGCAAAGATTTTCTTTTCTTAACCCTAAAACACTATCACTGGGTGATTTTGACCGACCAGACATGTTTACGTGATTTTCATTGTGTTGCCATTGTCTGAGTATTGTGGGTCCCTGGGTAGCTACATCTTTGAAGGCATATTTATTTCCCTGATCCAAAACATGCTTTTTCCTACAGGCACGTGTTTGGGTGATAGTGACCTGGCAATAGTGATAGAGGGTAAGTAGGTTTGGGTGGATTTGATAGCTGCATGTAGGCGAATAAGGTCAGTAAGAGTGGACCTGGAATTTGCATGCTTGCTTTATTTAGTGCAGTGGTTATGAATAACTATCACAAAGTAGTGATTTTCAAGGGAATTCATATGGTGATAAGAAATATTTTAGTCAGGTGGTCATTTTTACTCTCACAAAATGTGCCATATTTTGGTTCTCTCTCCTGCAGCTGTTATTGTGCCAAGGACCCTGAGTCTTCACCAGGGAAGACTCACGTGCCCCAGGAATGGGTGAAAAGAAACTAAGTTAAAAGTTTATATATAAATAGATATATTAGGAATTTTTTTGTTCATGAATGCCTGATTAAAGTTATTTTGTTGCATTTTTATATGGTCCCCTCTTGGCACTTTTTCCCCTCCTTTTGGACATCGCACAGTTAAAAATAAAAGAAAACTACTTTAATTTGTCATGTATTGTCCTGTTTTGATATATTTTGATGACAAGTACTTTTTCTCAGAAATATTATTTTGGGTAAAAATCACCCAAAGATAGTGATGGTGTTACTAATTTTAGCGATAGTGTTCTAGGGTAAAAAGCCACCTTGATAAAGAAGATCTGGTGTCCTAAAGCGGAGAGCATCATCCTCAGGCAAGCCAACATTACAATGCTCTAGCTCCTTTAGATATTTCACAAAATCAAAATCTTTTAATGTCTTAGTTTGTATTTTGGAAACAATTCAAGATGTTTCTATTCAAGATTATATGATCCTGCTTAGTTATTTGTTATTCACTGTAGCTCATCTGTATCTTTGCCTTATAGCTGTAAAGAATTAAATCATTATAGCGCTCATTGTCCAGTTTAGGCTTAAACTCATGGGAAAAATTAGGGAGTTTCTCAATAATTTTAAAGCTGAAACCTCCCTGGCAAACTGTATATCTAAGTCAAAAGACAGGAGCATTAAGCGTGTATCCGAATCAACAGAACTACTCTTTAGTTTCCTTTCATCTCTCCTGTTATCTTACTTGTACAGCCGTAAGAAAGCACCTTTCTGTGCAGGAAAAAAACTCCGCTAGAGTCCACTGGCCAGATTGTCAAGGACACACAATATTTCTTTTTTGGCAGCGTGATTAGTGAGGAGAGAAGGCGGAGGATAAAACTCCCATCCGCGTGAGGTTGACCACTCAGAAACACAAACAGACAGTGAACTATGTTGGTTGTGGATTTCTTAGTGTGTGGAGCGTTGATGCTTTGCTGTGCCAGGATGTGTGTGGCTCTGAGCCTTCCTCATGACCCCTCAATAACAGGTCAGACTGCATTATCTAAACTAACTAAATCCCTGCAGATTTGTGCTCCATCGGCAATGCTATTTTGTGAATATATCATACTGTGGAACTCCAGTGTTAAAGCTTCTGTGTTTGCTGTGTTGTTATTCTGTTCATTTTTCACTTCACTGAAAGGAGGCAAGCCCACCACGGCCACCACAGGAACAGGAAACGGGCCACAAGTGTCAAATGCAGCGCACACCTTGTCAGCAAAGACGTCGTACAGCTCCGCAGCTTCACAGCACCTCCCTAACCTCCCACCCTGCTTGGTGGATGACGTGTTTGCAGCGCTACATGAAAGTGTGGCTAACAATAACCAGCTTACAAACCAAGCCTTGGCTCTGTTCGGCATCTGCGCAGCATCTGAAAACTCATCGGCCTCAGTCTTAGCGGATATCGCCAAGGAATCAAACAGTCAGCAGGGACATGGACTGAGGGTTTTCCATCTGTCTGGAGGTAACAGCTCCCTCTGTCTGTGATCAGTCTTTTTGTTTGTTTTGTCGTCTTAAAGCATGTCTGGTTTTCTCCATCAGGGCTCTTGTCAGAAGGAGATGAGGAAGAACCACTTGAATTGACCTTTGACCTCTCACATCTCCATTTGCCTGTATCAAAACCTGTGATGCTCCTGGCTTTGGAGAGTCTGCCTCCAGGAGAAAACATGGAAGTTACTTTGACAAGTCATATACTGGATCCCAGCACACAGGTAAAGATCAGCCTACTGAGAATATTTAATGAAGAAAAAAAAAACACTCCTGAACTACCACATTTACTTTGTCACGTTTGTTTTGTGGTTTAGACTGTGTGCATTTCAGCAGAAACACAATACATAATGTTGGCAGGAAAAGAGTCAGCGGGCAAAGTCCACCACAAATGGAGGATTTCTGCGGAGACAAATTCCCCGGCTATGAGTAAGATTAAATGTGAGAAAAACACAGGATTGGATCTTGTTTCACGTGCGCTTTGCTTACGTTTCCTCTACTTCCAGAGAAAAAGCTAAAAGGCATCTTTGTGGGCAAAGAATCGGGAAGTAACATCAGCGTGACTTCGCTTCTGCTTTTCTCAGGAGAAAGAGGAACTGAAATAAGGTTGACCTTTTTTCTGTGTTTCCTCTTGTCGATACGAATCACACTCCTGTCAGAACATGAAGTATTAATTTCCTTTTTCAGACATACACATGTTTTAGGGTCCTCCCTGACCTCCACCTTCCTCTGTGAGCTAAGGCGCTTCCTGGGTGATGCTCTCCCTCAGAGCCACCCTCGCCCCCATCACCTCCAGCTGGACTCCTTACAGTCTCTGCCTCCCCTTACCCTTGGCTTGTCCTCCAGTGAGACCCTGCTGGCAGGCCTGATCAACTCCTCAGCCCTCACCATCTTCTCCTTCTCCAGCTGGGGCTCAAAGTTTCAGGGGTACCATGGAGAGCTGTCCCTGTCTCCTCAGCTGCTGGAGGAGCTCAGGCAGAGGCTTGAGCAGACTGTGGAGCAGATAGTGGCAGTAATGAGGGAGGAGGACGTGGGTCACAGAGCTTCAGAGAGGCTGGGGAGGCTCAAAGAACTCAGTGTGTTCCCAAAGACAGAGCCAACATCAGGTGATGTATGGCCTAAATGGATACAGTCAGTGAAAGCAGCTTAGTCAAACTAACTCAGATCCTCTGAAACAGATTTTATCCATCTATTAGTTTTAACAGTTTTAGACAATCAAGTTCATCTTAGCTCCTCATTGAACTTGTCTTGTGCTTGCAGTGTTTTCTGACATTAAATCTCATCCTGCCGCCTAAAACAGTGTTAGCTTTGCGACCATCATGACTTTAATTCCTCTTAAAGTTACTGTGAGGAACTTATCCCACTGAGCAATAGATGGCTATTAGACATCTAGTTCTTTGTTTAGACCTAATTTCAATCGTCTATGTTCTGTATTTCTGATGGGAGTTCAGAGTTGCATGACTAATCTCCGAGTACTTAACCAGAATAATTATGATAGCCGTTGAGCAATATACAGTGTAGTATAAATATAGCCTATAGTATCTAAACTTGATCTTAATCTAAACGTCTAAAAACTCATTTTTAGACCTGTGGTGGCCTGATTTTAGACCAGTCGTCTAGGCTACATTTAGACGTCTATTAGACCTCTTTTAGACCAAAAACGCTCAGTGGGATAGTTTGTGTTGTTTTTGGTGCCCCCCTGTGCACAAAGTGATATCTCTTGCCTCTACTCCTGTACATGTGGAAGTAGTCTTCTCATACTCAGTAAAAAAACAAAAAAAACCAAAAAAAACAAAAAACATATTGTTGACTTTTTACATGTAAAACTATCACCCACTTGGTATTCACCATTAACGACATTAAAATAGGCTTTTTATAAGCCAGTGTGATCCTACCCCCTCATTTGGTTATAGGCGTTTAAAATGACAACAAAGACATTAACAGACTGGTTGCTAATGGTCTGTTTTGCTTCTGAAGATCATAAAGAGGCAGTAGTATCAGTTTTACATTGTTTCTGAACCAGTTGAAAACTCCTCATAGTACCTTTAATTTGTGTCTGTTTCTAACTGATGTCTCTTTGTCTCTCTTCATGCTACAGGAGAAATCCAATACTGCGCATTTTTGCTCCTGAAGGCCTTGCAGACGGTGGCCCGTGCATATGAGGTGGAGAAAAGACTGCGAGCAACCAGGGCCGGCAACAGCAACTCAATGGGTGCCAGCGTCTGTGCGTTGAGGAGTCTCACTGTCTCTCTCGAAAGAACTCTGGTGGGTCCAAACACTGCAAACATCAACAACTGCCACGGCTCCTGTGCCTTCCCTCTGGTCAACGCCAACAATCACGCCATTCTGCTCAACTTCCACATTGAGAATGAGAACACGGATGAGCGGGCACCGTGCTGCGTACCTGTGGCCTATGAACACCTGGAGGTGGTGGACTTAAACCAACATGGGACTTACCTCTCTATTAAACCAGATGTGGTTGCAAAGGAGTGTGGGTGCCGATAAAGTAGCTTGGATTTATATCTTAAAAAATCTCTGATCATAGCCTGTCAGTGGAGAAAGGGTGTCATTCAACCGTTATATTAGTGTTACTTAATTATTCACTCAGTAGTCTCAGTAGTAAATGCATGTTTATTCACACTATTCTCACATACAAAGAATCATTTGCAGTATTTGCAGTGCTCTGTGTGTCAAAATATATCATATACTGACACTTAAACTGATTGTTTCATTTTTTTCACTCTTCAAAAATTTAAAGAAAAGCACCTTAGAAATGATAAGGTGACATATACTTTGTCTTAGAGAATAAAGAGTACATTGGAGACTGCCAGAGTTCATTTATGTAGTTGTGTTGATACTTCATTTCTTCTTTTAAACATTGTTTTCATTAAGGTTATGCTTTGATTTTAGGCTTCAGGACTACTTTGTTGGTCATAGGCTTTTTTCGTTTTCTTATCGCTCCCACTTCCTCAGATCCCCACCACCACATGAAGGTGTCCCAAAGAGAAATCTAGAGCAGAAAGCAGGAAACAAGAAAAATGTATTGCTCACATATACAATACACGATACACTGTACAAGAAAAATGCAAATAATTCACTTACTAATAACTCATTCTAACATTTTTTGTACATTTAATGGTTATTTTACATGGTATGTTTTCAAGTTTTTACTTTTTCATGTTAACAGAGCAGGAGAAAAGACAGAAAATGTCAATGATGTGATGTAGACTGTAATCCTAACCAGTTTTACTGATAGTATCCCAGAATTCCCATTGAAAGGGCTTAGAAATCAATCATAACTAACACTCACTCTAGCTTTGAAGCTTATCTTGCAGTATAAAACATTTCAGTTTAACCACATAATACAATAAAGAGCGATCAGAGGTCTGCTCTGGAACCTGAGGCACTGCTTGAGGTTTTTTGGCTTTTTGAGAACTGCTCATTAAAAGATTTGAAGAGATCTGTGGTAATTTCTTGACTTCACAAAACCTCTCCGGCTTTCAGTCAAACTCTGTACAGATTTTTTATTTTTTTAAACATATTTAATGTTTAATTCATGTCTTTTTTATAGGGAAGCTGGAAATAAACAAGAGTCAAATGGTCAATATTGAGAGTCAAACATGCAACCCCTGCAGGCGGGACTGTGGCTCCCATATATTAGGTGCACTTTTTAACCCTTGCATGATGGTTGTATACGGACATTTGAAAATTCTTAGCCAAACAGATGGATGTTTGGAGTCTCTTTATTGCCACATCCTGTCAAGCCTTTTTTATTACTATGAAAAAATAATATTCATATTATTATATAATATAATATTACTATTTATTACATTAAATATACTTTGTTTGCTTCACCCAATAAGTTTAAAAAGCAGTAGAACTTTGCAGAACCTGGATACCCCTTCTAGTTGACACTACATATATTAATCTGCAGCCTTGCTAAGAGAGTACCTGAGTTATTGATCCATCTTGCACACTTCCAATAAAAGACCGTATGCCTGTCTCCTCAACAAAAAAATCAATGGCCTCTAAAAAATAGGAAAAAAAGGTTAATAAAATAAAATACACAAAAGTTTCTATGAACAACATATTCTCCATATTAGTACACCATTACTTGACTGCCGATTTCACATTCACAGCTTATTCGTTATTCTTAAACAAGGAATTTGTTGCATGTAAAAGTAAAGTGACAGTACTCACCATGTAGCTCACTGATCCCTGAACTCACCAGCAGCACCACCAGTGCCACCACTATACAGCGATTCATGGTGACCCCCTTCCATGGGTTTGGGACATCACTCAAGTTTTCAATGGACAGAATCCGTTCATAAGACACTGCAGACAGACAGACACAGAGTCAGATTTATACATCACACAGCTGTAGTTTTCATAGATAACACGTAATTCTTTGTAGGAAGTGATCCTTACTCTTGATGCTTTCAGCTCTCTCAATCTTGGTTTCAGAATTGCTCGGCTGAATCTTCAATTGAGCTGTGAATTTAAGTTACAAACTTTTTGTTATGCATTAAAATACCTAAAACTAGTTTTTATTTTCCCCCCAAGTGCTGCCAAGTGAACACTCTCTGACTGTAGCTACTGTAAGTCATAGACGAGCAACCACTGCAGCTCAAAATAGGCTGGTTTCAAAGGACAAATATAGATTGGATGAAAAAGTTCAGTGATAAAGGAAACTATGTGCAGACATAAAGAACTTACCCGGTCTTCCACATCAGTTGTATCTTCCAGATGAAGTAAAGATTAGCGTGGTTGTGTTGATAGTGAATGGGACTCTGTTATTAACACCCTGCACCGTGCTCACTGCACCTTGATTGACAGGCACAGATGGAAGAAGGAAAAGGAAAATGACAGGCCTCCCCTGTACAGACTCTGTTGGTACTTTCCATCAAGCTGCCATCACTACTACGACCAGCACTAGTCTGTTTTCTTGCAGAAAAGTGATCTATTGCATTAGGTAATGTTAAGTGCAATCAAAACAGTGTTATACAGTGCATTGTGAAATACATAGAAAACAAATTGTGCTTTGGTATTTCCAGATTTACTGTCACTCCATAACAAGGTAATTGCTGTAAATTTTCCTCTGAAGTGATTTAATTAATATGGATAATAATTTTCTTTTTTTCTCTATCTGAATAAGAGGGTGACCTGTAGGGGTAGGGGGTGGGTAAGGGAATTATATATTTGGATGTCTGTATATATTGAATTTGAGTTTGGTTTTGTTACTTTTCTTATAGTCTCAATTTTTTGTTGTTGTTTTTTAGTGTTTTTTTTTCTCCTTCTATCAATATTGCGTGTATGTTTATATGTCTGTTTGTTTTGTATTGTTTTTTTTTGTCCTGTCGTGTGAATTTTCATTATATCTTTGTTTATTTGTTGTTCTTCTTGAATGAAATGCAAAAATTCAATAAAAAATTGATCACAAAAAAAAAAAAAAAAAAAAATCAGCAGCTCTATTAAAGGAAGTGTATTTTATCTTTAAATATACTTTGAATTTTTAGAACTTAATTTAAATTGAGGTTGATAAATGCAGGCCCCTCCTCTCATTTATTGCCCAATTAAATTTTATTTTCTATTTGATTTATTGATTGATTGATTGATTGATTGATTGATTGATTGATTGATTGATTTTTTAATTAATTTTCCCCCAAACCTTTATTTCAGTTCTTCAGCAATGACAAATACATATTATTGAACATGGGGTAGCTACATTCATTTGAGAGGAATTAAGAAAAAACAAAAAAAATCATAGTCCGGCATACAAAGATACATAAATTATAATATAAAATATGACATTGGGATCATACATTCAGTTCAGATCATAGAGAGGATCTCAAGGCTTCGTAGACAGTCATAGTTCAAATCGCTTTCTTATTTGTTAGTCCAGTTAGTGTTTTAAAATATATCTTCATTTCATTTTTAAACTGGTGGATATTTGGTCTCTTTAAAGACCATTTACATTTATGTATATAAAATCTTCCATACAAAGTATAAGGGTTTAACATCAAAATATGACTTTGGTCCCTGTTCTTTTTTTCAAAATAAAAAATAATATCTTTTGCAGGTTTATCTTAAATCCAGATAACAATTCAAATAAATTTTCAACCCCCAATCCATAAAAATTTAACATGCATACAGTCAAAAAATAAATGTACAATTGTTTCTTTTTCAAGGTTACAAAATAAACAAGAGTCCGAGATATCAGCTCTATATTTTTTGAGAAAGTGGTGAGTTGGATAGATTAGGTGAATCATTTTTAAAATAAACTTCGGTCGCTTTATTGCTGATCAAATATTTTTTGTAGTAAATCCATACCCTTTTCCAAATAATTCCATCAAAAAGACCATTCCAAAAACTACATTTTTTATCTTTGATATTGATGCCATTCAGCGGGATATCAGTCTTCAGCCAATTAGCTTTTAATTGAAAATGTTTAATGAGGTTACTGCGTCACGTTTCCTTCGTAAGACGTCATAAAGGACAAGACACACCCCTGACAAACACTGCAGCCTTCCAGCCCTCAGCAGCAGCAGCAGGAGCCTGACTGAGTGACTGACTGAGTGAGCTCAACACAAGGCGAGAGGAGGAGGACAGAGCGAGCAGCTGGTGTGGACGCTGGCCGGATGGTTAAATCCAACCTACAGACGATTTTGAATAGTCATTGTTTTGTTAGAGAAAAAGAGAGAAACTTAACCGAGATGCCTGTTATTGAGCAGTCCAGTAATAAACCTGAAAGTGAAAGGTATGTTGTCAAAGTCGTTGCGAGCTAACTTACCTTAGCATGCTAAAGCTACGTTATAACGAGCTGCGGCCTAGTTGAGAGGAGCGGCGCATTTAAAGGAGCAGTTCGCTGAATCCCCATGTTTTTTGTTTACATAACACTATTATTCCACTTGACATTTTCCGAAATACAATGAAGCGGTCAGACTAAAGAAGATGATGCAGATTTTGTCAAATTTTGTTACACAAAATGATATCACTCTAAATTATGAATTAAGTCGCGATGATATCATGGTAGCTTGTATGTATGAAACGCCACAGAGATGTGTTAGCTCGATGCTACAAGGGTCGGCTCGGTTTTTACAACATTTTATTCATCTAGCTTTAGTATATTTCACTGTTTCTTGAATGAGAACAGTGTATATCTGTACAGTTTCGCGTATGTGTGTACTGTCTGCTCTGAACTGGAGAGTAAATATCAGTTTATTTTCGTTGGCTACGCGCTGGCTACATGCGTGAACAAACAGTAACGTTATCAACGACGCACTGTATGTTTTCACGATTTTACTGCTGTAAGGTGACACAAAAATTGAAGTATATTATTTTTGTGATAATATGTTCAGTAGTAGTTACATAACGTGCAGTAGGTTGGTTGGTTGGATTAGATGATTGATGGTTGAATTGATCAATTGTAGTTATAACGGTTGTTTTGACGCAGGTAATGATAAACCAATGACCCTCTTTAACTCTTTTATATAATCCAAAGATATAACAGGATAGTCATATAATCAAATATGTAAGCTGTGTATGCTCTGTATTTAAATGTAAGCTCAATCAGTGTAAAGGCATATACCACCCAAACAGTCTCCAGGTTGCTTGTTTGTTGTTTCTCTTTTGTCAGATTGTAATGATCTACTAGAAATGAGACACAGAGGGGGGTGTGAGTCCTGCTTAGATGGGACATGTGTTGTTGCAACCTGTGAGCGGTTTAGCTTAAGGGTGTTTTTAACCTCTGTCGTGCCCCGACAGGATTTTTTGGTCGAGGCTGTTTGCCACACTGTTGAGAAGGCTCCGTTGGAAATTTCCACTGCACAGCGAAGGGGGGTGGCATGAAGAATGAGGAGTCTAATAATGACACACTGTACACAAAAGATATCTGTTTTGTGTAGATCTATATTTATCATGATTCTCTATCCACCGTGGGGATTTTGATGATTATAGCTGAGATGTATTGAACACTTCAATGTGTAATCTGTTGTGAGAATCACGCGTATTTTATAGACATGTTATTTATTTCTTTTTTGCCCTTTTTTTAAATACATTATCTAACAGCTAATACTGCTGCCATCCACTTCGAGTTAAGACATTACGAGCAGCATGTTCATTCAAACCCACCCTCTTTTTCTTCAGCATTACTAATAATAAGATATCCAGACAGAGATAAGTGTTTGTCCAAAACCGTCTCGTACTCTTGCGCAAGAAGCATCTTATGTGACCGTTTCTGTATTTGTGATGCTTTCTGCTGATGGTGTGTGGATTTTAAAAGAAGTAAGGAAAACCCAAAGCAGAAGTTGATTTCAGGCCTTTTACAGATTACTGATTTCTGTAATTAAACATTAAAGGAGTCTTGATTGGAGGATGCTGATTGGCTGTTTTAGATAATCTGATAATAGGATTAAGGCGACCTGTGTTAGTTGGCAATCTCCAATACCTTGCACAACCGTGCATTGGGCTTTGTGTTACATGTGCACTTGGCTCAAGTAATTATGGGAGTGACAATGGTTTTCATTTGATTTTCACACTTCTTCTCTACATATAGCACGGCAGTGGCATTTGCGCAAGAGCATCTGTGTGTGTGTGTATGTGTTGTATGTTGCTGTGGTAGCTTTGCTGCCGCTAATAGCCTGTGTTCCAGATACGAGCGCCGAGAATAGGCTTAACACTGTAAATATATGCAGCCGCACAAACAGACCTCTGCAAAAGAAAGCTATGTTAATTCTTTAGAGCACACTGGCCGGCGTCTGAATTAAAATGGCTGATCGCACTTGCTTAACCGGTGTTTGTTCCTGCCTGTTGTAAACTGGAGCAGCGCAGCAGGACTAAAGTAGGCTAATGGTTAAACAAACTGAGTCTGTTCCTTTGGCAGACCTCTGCGAATCATGGGACAAGCTAAAGTTGTCTATCAGAAAGCAAAGCACACAGAGATCAGCCTAAGGAAGTTAAACATTAGTCTCCATAAATTTTCTAAAAGGGGACAGTTGTGAAGGAAATGGTATGTGTTGCAGAGGTAAAAGAAATACCAGTCTGAGGGGAAATATTTTGGATTGATGGTTGACACACGAAACAAGGACATTTCTTTTCAGTGAGTCATCAGTGGTGTGGGGAAGTGACACGTATACTCCTGCTCTGTTAATTTATAGTGAAACTGTCAAACATACATGAGTGTGTCAACGTGGACTCTTAATGGATGAACTCGAGCAGCTGAACTCCTGTGGCAGAAATAATTGACAAACCTGTGTAATGAGTGTCAAACCCTGCTGCTTATATAAGCGGTTTGGTTTGTGGTTTTTAGCATTATCTCCAGTCGACACACCGCTTATTATGCCCCCTTCCATATGTGTGTTTGTTTCGCCTTCCAGTATCTCCAGTCCCAGGAGGTGCTCCCACTGTTGCAGTAACCCGTGTCCGGGGCCTCTGTGGTGCTCCTGATGCCCCTCTCCCACCCCTGAAGATCCCAGGTGGGCGAGGGAATGACCAGCGGGATCGCAATCTTTCAGCTAAGCTATTCTATTCTGTAAGTAAAACCTATTTTTGAATACTCTCAGTAATTTGTTTTCCTCTTGTTAGTGATGGGTACTAGAGGTTTGTATTTCCATCTAAACTTTGGCAAGCTGTGCAGACAGAATATCATTTTTTATTTCATTACATGATCACACATTAACTTAGCTGTTGGGTATTTGATCGGAATCGTGTCAGGGTTCAATTAGCTCTAAATAGTTTTATTTTTTATCACTCTCTGACCGTATCTGTCGCCACTTTACCTGAACAGTCACAGATGATGCTTCAAAACGATCACTGCTGTTTGGTCTGAATCTACGATCACAGTTTTATTTTTCATTGTGTGGAAGTTCCTAATTTCTCTCTCTCTCTCCGTTTCTGACCATAAGGACACTCAGTTGCTGGTTCTTGAAGAGCCGCCTCCTGCCAACAGCAGAGTACGCTTCTTGCTCTTTGAGCCCCGCCGCTCTGAGGGCAAGCACTGCGTCTGGAGGGCAGCACTGAAAGGAAGGAACCTTTATGTGGAGATCCCTCCTGGAGCTTTGCCCGAGGGCAGCAAAGACAGGTCTGTGGGCACGACTTTTTCTAAGCTAAATAAAAGGCTTTTGTTGAAATGTATGAAGCTGACTAGTTATTCCAAAGCTGAAACTATACAAAAGCTAGTTTTTGAACTAGTGAACTGTCAAAGAAAATGAGCTTCTGTATGAAAAAAGGACTATAATTGCGTATTTGTACTATATATGATTGCCCAGTCTTAATAATAATAATAGATGTCCTTTGATTTAGATGTTCACTATAATGTACAAATTAAATAATAATCAAGATAAGACATTTTAATACGAAATCATTGACTTCCCTTTGTTAAACATTACTTTTGTTGACGTTGTTTTGGACAGTTTTGCCCTCCTGCTGGAGTTTGCAGAAGAGCAGCTGCAGGTTGATCACGTGTTCATCTGTTTCCACAAGAACCGTGACGATAGAGGTGAGAGTTTTTCTGTCTGGGTTCTTCAGAGGGCTTATTCGTCCTACAAAAACATTGTATTTTCTGCTTAAGCAGGTCATTCAAAAGTAAATGTTTACTGTTGTTGGAAATTTTCAGTTTCCTGTTTAGGTCTTTTCATGCGAGAGGTTGTGTTTTTGAGGATTACTTTTGTCATAGGCTTTTAATATATATGTATATTTTTTCCAGGAATTCATGAAGCTGAATTACAGCATTTTATTACATGTATGTTTACCTGCCATGTTACTGTTAAATTAGACGACGAGGACGTGACGTTGACGAGTTAAACATAAGTCTTAGATGACTAAAATGTGACGAGACGAATGTGTGTTTACGTTGACGAGACGAGACTAGACGAAAACGTAAGTGGTGGACAACGAACAGAGTTGCAAAATTCATGAGCATTTCGTCAGTCAAACGGTAAATATATATTTTGCAGTGTTGTTTTCGTTGATGAAATGTTTTCGTCATCGTCAACGAAAACAACACTGACATAGGCTGATAAAGCACAATCATGAAGTCGAGAAACAGAGTTTAATGATTACTAAAACAAGTTCAGACGCTTGAACTGCTAACTATTCAAGCAGACAGTATAAGTCAAATTTGAAGAGTTTACCATTAAAGGCATGTCTGACCTTCCTTTTAAAGTCATCTTCACTGTGTTCAGGGATTTGACTTTAGCTCTTCTGCTGTAAATACAGTATCAAACTTCAATAATTCACATCTGTTTACACCCTTTGTCCTCAGCTCCCCTGCTCCGTACATTCAGTTTCCTGGGCTTTGAGATTGTGAGACCGGGTCATCCCCTTGTCCCCTCCCGCCCTGACGCTTTCTTCATGGCTTACAGTATTGAGCGAGACTCCTCTGACGACGAATAAAAGATGCTGATCAGTTGCAAATGTTTCTTATTATTTTAATCCATACCTGCACATCTTTATGATTTCTGGAAGAGGAACATATTATCCAAGTCCGGTCGAGGTTTCCTGTCAGAGATTTCTTTGTGTTGTTTTACCTTTACCTATCATGTGCTGTGTTTCAATGATATTTGCACTAGGGTAAGATGTTAACATACCAGGAATGTAGAAAAAAAACGCCCACACAATATCTGGGCGAAGTGTCCCTACCACTGTATTACTCCCCCTGATGTGTAGTGCTGTCCTCCAATACTCCCACCCCGATGATCATCTCCACAGTGTGATATTTATGATAAATCTAAATTCATCTTACTCATGTAAGTAGGTATGTTTTTCATAGTAATTATCATTTGATTCTCCTGTTTATATTAATTTTTTAATGTGTGCATGATTTTCATTTGTTGCTTTGATTGACTTGATAGAAATCTGCATGTTGTAACTGTACTAAATAAAAGAGCTCACCTTACAAAGTGCTCGATGTGGTTTTACTTAACGGTCACAAAGTCTTCCCGTGGTTACATCCCATTGGTTTAAAAGTTTATTTCACAGTTAATGTTTTGCAAGTTCAAAACGTGAGGAGGAGGAGGATGAACACACAGTTTTCTCAAAGTTACCTGTTGTGAAAGGAAACAAAATGAAAACTGGTTGAAGAGAAGTTGGAACCGGCCCTTTAAGTGAGGATTGATTTAGGCTCAGTTCAGCAGTTTTACACAAAGCCATGAAGTCCTTCAATCACCAGCAACTATTTAGTTTCACTGTTTCATCACTCAGTCGGTGAGGACAATCCAAGTAAACAAAGAACATTTACTGGTTTGGTTTCGAAGTGTTACTTTCAATTCTTATTTCCAACCCATCGAGAAAAGTTAATAAATTTTGGTACTATTTCACAAGTTTGATAGATAAAAGCTGATTAGTTACGACACCGAGGAATGAAAGTTTGTCAGTCTGGTAACCTTAAATGCTTCTATTTCTTTTGTAGTCTTTCCGCTGCAAACCACAGAGATGTGTTCAAAGAAAACCAGACATCTTTCAACTGAAATTGTCTGATTCAGTCGCACAGTCTGGTCATATTTTATGACATGTACAAGCAAGCTGATTTTCTGAAAAGGCATATAGTCTTTGTTTTTTTTACAATTAAATATAACTGTAATTTCCATGAGAATGACCAGTTGTTAGACTTGATAGTCACATCTTCATTCCAAGTTCACAGTGAGCCACAGCTGCCCAGCCATGCTTCCAATGATCTCAGGATCTGTGAATGACAGATACTGCAGGCGCATACAGTCCTCCCAGTCCAGAGCAGACTGAACCTGGATCAGCCCTCTCTCTGCAAACTTCATCACCAGCAAGGCTCGCTTTAATATCAGCCAGTTGTTTACAGCGGTGGTCACGTGGCCTCTGTGATTGAAGAGTGGGACTCGGGGTCCCCAGAGGAGCACCTGCAGCATGATGATCATGTCTGGCACCTGTAGAGCTCTACGCTCATTGTGGAGCAGAGAGGACAGATGAAGGAGTCCTGTTCGGTATGAAGACATGGCTGATTCTTGTGGGTTGAAGCAGTACTGGATCAAATTATTGATTTGGGATTTGATAAAGGTTAGGGGATGAGAAGTAGAAACAACAGAAGACAGCGGGGCTAACACAACACGAGGTGAACCACGAATCCTCCACAACATCTGAGTTTTTCCCTTTTGAGACTCCACTTCTTTTATCTGACAACCTCTATTTCCTCTAGAAGCATCCTTCTTTTCTCCATCATCTTTCTCTCCATTAGGCCACACTAAAAAGATCTCCTGGGGTCTGAGATCAGCTGCAGCGCCACTGGCGTTGTAAAGATGTTGCAAACCCATTAAAACCTGCAGCATCAGAACGCACACCTGCCTGTCATAGTCCAAATAATCCTTACTTTGTTGCAGGTGGTTCTCCTGGACAAATTCCTCCAGAGTGGTGTGAGGCAGGTCCCTCTCAACACTCACTGAGCATCCTCTCTGGAGGAAAGACTGGACTGAGGGCACATTCATTTTCAGACCGTCTGTGACAAAGTCAGCGCTGTCTCCACCTGGTGGTTCAGCAGCAGTGCAGTCTGATTTAACAAGACCGGTGAAACCTTGACTTCTTAATTTCCCAGAATCAGTCTTCAGCGTGCTCCTCGGCTGGAAATGAGTAATAATGTCTCGCACGTTGACATGTGATGGGTGGTGTTTGGTGAGGACAGAGGCGGTGTCATCAGTCTGATCGTGAACCTGCACAGAACGACATAAAAGCACATTTACAAGAATTTCATCCTTGCTCTGCTGTCGAAAGTGTTAAAAAACAAAAAAAAACAAAAAGAGGTTTTGTCTTGTCTTCCTGTTGCGGCTGTAACACCTGATGACAGTTTAAAGGAAGTGTGTTTTTTTTATACCACAAGGCAGTGTCACAGATGATCAAGTTGATAAAGATTATGTTTGTTTTACTGGTTGCTATGTGAAATCTGCATGACTGTATTTTGCACACAGCAGATGATGATAAAGGAGCTGTATTTTTACCCTTAAGCCAAGTATCCTTCCTGGGAGTCTGGGGCTCTGCAGCCTGTAGTAAACCGTGTTTCTGATCTGCTTTGGCTCGCTGTCCTCACACAGCAGGAAATCCTCAGGCTGGTAAGATCTGACGGTCTCGTCTGTGGCCTCTCTCTGCAGCAGGACCCCAGCTTCCACTTTTTGTGCCATATTTCTCAAAAATAGCAGATAGCAGTGCTGAATACCCTGAAAAACGACCTCCTGATCGTCCAAACTGCCTAAGACGTGGAGCAGATCCTCATCAGGAGTGTCGAAGGACAGCTGGGAGAGAGACAGCGAAGGGATGGGACTGTCTCTGACTGGGTCGAACTCGATCGACTCCTCGCGGAAATAGATGTCAGGTTTGGGTGCCATCATGTACAAGGGGTTGTCAAAGTTGTGTGTTTGTCTTGGAAGTGGAGACGGAGGAGGTAAAGGAGTGAGAGGAGATGCTTGTACTACAGGGAGGGAGAGGGTGCGGGCTAGCCTCTTTTTTGGCACAGCAGGTGGAGTGCCATCAGAGAAAAATCTCGCCTGGTGCTGAGAGGGATCTAAGAAGCACAGGGAGAAGGATTTAGGTCAGACTATGTGACAGTTAGTTTGAACAAAGCATCTCTCTAAAAAAATATCTCATTGTCTTCTAATCACATGCATGTTTATGTAAGTAAAAGTTTCAAATGTTTACTTCCTCTCTCTCAGTTCTCATGGGAAAAAAAAAGAACTGAAAAATTAACCTCATATCATAGTATGTGCGCATGCAGCACAGTGTGAAGAGTACGTTGGTTTCAGAACTGTTTCTAATGATTATACTCAGTAAATGCTGCTTCTTTTCTCCACCTGAACTTCTTTTATCGTTCTTTAAACTCACCATATCGTTGATGTATGGGGCATTGGGCTGCATGACAGTCAGTGGGTTCGAGGAAGACATCATTGTAAGGATAGTTCGGTCCAAGAGGGCTGAGTAGGACACACGCAGACTCCACACTAGAGCATCTGGAAGAATTACTCCTGTGTGAGACAGGATCACGAAATTATTACTACATGCACAGACTGTAAATAATTTCATTTTCATCTCTGTCTGCACAAAATAGCATCTCTGAAAATTACAAAACATCTTTCCTATGAGCTATTCTAACATCTCAAAGTGTATGTCTGCCTCCATTCAGTCTGTAGAATTAAAACTGAAAGTATTTGTAAAATGTTTATTGGTCTTACCTGTGCTGTTTGACAGGTAGTGCTGGTGGTTGTCCCCCCGTGCCGGACGCCATCACCAATCTTCAAACTCACACCACCTAAGGTGCTTCTCCACTTGTCTCTCAGTTCACCGCTGCCTCTGAATGAAGTGTATGTGAAGCTAACAGGTGGCTAAGTCAGTGCCTCTCTGAAAGACTTCCCGTCTACATCAGTTACTCCCATGTCACTTTTTCTTCTCTGCCTCTTCGTCTCTCTGGTCCGTGCACTTGTATGACTCAAAGTGAATTTCTTATCTTTTGCTCTAATCGTTCTTTTGAGTCTGAGTTTTGAGGTGGGAACCGGAAAAGAAGTGCCTTTTCTGAGGGCAAACTGTTTGCTGAGCTAACCTCAATTTGACAGAAGGGGGAAGAGCAGTGACAGCAGAGCCTGTTAGGGTTTTCACTCTTTTCTTCTCTCTCTTCAGTCGTATTTTATCTACATTTGCCATGTGAGGCCTCAGCATGAACTTCTCTCTTTTGGATGACGCAGTTTGAGGCTTTGCAAATGCAATGCCCTCCTCAGTGTTTGGGTGCTTGCATGCAGGAGCTTGTTTCCCTGACTCTAAAGGGAAGGTAAAATGCTTAAGCAGATAAAAAACAAATGCTTTATCTTGTTGTTATTTTGCACATCCACGACTAAACACCTTATTTTGGTGACTGTTAGTTTCCTGTCCTATATCGAGATACATCCACATAATCTGGATTTTTGGGGAGGATTACACATTGAAAAATATCAAGCAGTTTCTTTGAAATAAGGTTGGTTTAGGTTGGTTATTTGTTTCTCAATCATTAAAAGAAATCATTTTTGTGCTATTTTTTGTAATTTGACCAGATTTACTCAGACTCAAGAGTATGCTGATTTAGACTGTAGTTTAATTTTTGAAATATAAATCCATGTCTCAGAAGGTGGAAACTTTTTTCTGAACTTGACTGTGATTTGTTCATTTCTTGTTACTTTTCTTTATCTTTGTATCAGTAACAGTGGCTTTATGTATCTTATTTATCTCTTTGTTTTGTTACCAGTAATATTTTGCTGGCATGTTGAGATACAAACTTTTGGTGTGACATCCGAAGAGGTTTATCCTCATCATGAAATGTCCTATGTACTATCTGCTGATTGTGTTTCAACATAAAGTTCAGTAGGCGTTGATGAGAACACCATTAGCTTGGGAGGTATTAGTCAAGGCGATATGCTGTAAGACTTTAAAATTTGACCTGACGCTATACATCTATGTTACAAGTCAGAGGACCGCTCATCAAAAAGGTTACTGAACCTACTGAATAGAAATAGAGAAATTTAGGGTTAGAAACCACAAATCTCAGGGAAGCTTTAAAGTGCTGCCTAAAAGGAAAATCCTGAAAATCACCAAAAGGGTTCGTTCTCTGGTGTGCATGAAAATAGGTCAATGAACAAGTCAACGTTTCTGCTGCTGGTGTGACTAAAACTGGTGCTTTAGGTGTCGATTATGAGTAAAGCCTGCAAAGGACCTTGAATCTAAATTATAGCTAGTATTAATTCTGGTATAAGACAAATAAACTAAAAACTCAAACCTCATAGCCACAAGTATAAATGATATACTACAGTGACCAAGTTTGGATATCCTCCTGCTACATGTGATCTCAGCAGTACAAAGGAAACACCCACACAGGCGAGCGTATTATATTATTACCTAATATGAGAGCACAGTCATTATTTCTGTTGTCGTGCTACATGAAGTGTATTCTTGAGGAGGAGTGTGTTATACTGAAGCACCTCTACCCCTGAATGACTCACACATTTAAAGGGCTGCTGTCTTTCACATGGTTTTTTTAGTATCAGCTCTGCTAGTAATATTCCACTATATTTATACTGTAGCATTTACCATCTCATTAAAAAACAACAACACGATGAGGATGATGTAGCTGTCAGTGAAGAGAACCCAATTAAACTGTGGCACGGCCTAAATAAGGAGCTGATGACAAACGTTAGCACTGGAAATCTGCATGTGGTGATCATTTAGAAATTTCAGAGACAATGCTTCTCCTTCAACAACACAAACCTACTGCAGTTAACATCCATTAACATGACGCATTTAAAATATGATTATAGTGGCTATGTGTCAGTGACAGAGGAATAGTAAACCTTATGTTGCTCTTTAAGACAGTATGTCACCTAAATAATAAAACAAAGCAAATATATCAAGATAATAAATTCATGTAAATAAGCTTTTTTTTCTTCTTGTGAAACTTGACAAGGCAGGTTTGGGAACCACTAGAAGAGGAGTTTATTAGAGGTTTCTTTGTGTATTTCCCCTTAATGAGTCAATCTTGAGGTTTCCAGGTCATATGTTTATATACACAGGTAGAACTAATGTAGTCACTTGGACTACGGTTGGACTCTCTTAAATGTTATAATGCTGAGTTTTCGCTGCAGCTGTTTGAGGGGCGTAGCTGAAACTGTGTTCATTTTTGAGGATGTGGTTTGTGGTGCTGTCGAATTGTATTGCTATAAATAGAGAGGGATGGCTGCCATGTACATGGCCCCATTTGTATAGTTTGGTTATAATTACAGACAGTTTTAATCTCAATTAAGGTTATAATGTAAAGTCACCAACACTACGCACAAAAACAAACATGACAAGTGATTATAAATTTAGATGAGCGTAATGTATTCTTATGATCTGGGACCCCCTCTTGTCTCCTTTCCCTCTAATTAGGGCCAATCTGCGTCATCATGACATTTACCCACTAAATTTCAGTGCGTAGGAGGATTGAGGATGCAGGGCATAAGGATGCATTAGTGGAAGCATCATAAAGGGCCTCTCCACCTAAGCTCTTCATTTGTGCTAAAGAGGAAGGAGAGATGCTTGGTTTCTCTGCACACTCACTCCTGTAAGGACAGCCTGTGAAAACCACACAGACATATTCAACACAAGGCTGAATTGGAGCAGACAGCTCAAAAGAGTGTGACATTTAAGATTCTGAAGGTGTTGGAGGAATTCATTAACCTTAAACCCACAGCTGAAGTGAAGTATTCACCCTGCCAGGTACGAGAATCTTAAAGGTGGCTTACTTTGATCCTTAACATGAACTCAGCAGGAAGTTACAAATACAATATGACTATTAGAGGCTATGAAATAATACACAGAAAATCCAGCAGTTTGTTTATGTTGGTTTATTTTATATGAGACAACAACTGTTGAGTTTCATGAGTTTTCATCTGTATCCCCAATAAGCATCTTTTTTTTGTAATTAAATGCACGTTGCAAACCAAGATAAGTTGATATTATTGCTTATAAGTTCTTTTTTAGTCCAAATGTTGGGATGTGAAGTGTTTCCGTATAATATTACAAAGGCGTTGTTTAAGTTTGCCATCACGCTGTCTTTGTGTATTCGATGAAATTGTGGCAGCATCAGTACGGTTTGATGAAGACCCTTTCATCTCTTCTACTCCACGTTTACTCTGAGAGTTATTTGATTCTTCAGAGAGTCTCTTCTGGTTTCCAAACAGGTGTGGGGAGTTGTTTTTGTTGTCTAATGTCCCTGTCACAGAAGCCTTCCTCAGACGACACGCTGTCTCCTCGTCCTTGTTCAAACGTCGCACCCCGCTTTGACAAAGAAGAGCCTCCTCGCTCACCATCTGCGGGCTCTGGCTCAGGGTGATGAAGCCATATGGGGTGGTGACTTTAGTGAGGTGCGGCAAGGAGAGTGCGGCTCTGCTGGCGGGATCCAGGCAGTGCTGGGCCTCGGCGTGGAAGGAGGGATGAGATCTCCTCTGGTTTAAAGGGTCAGAGACGCTGCGCTCAGCCCTGCGCTCTGACAGAGCCAGACCGATGCCTTTGCATGATGTGGAAGAAGAGAGCCTGGAGGACGAAGAGGAGGAGGAGGAAAAAGACGTCCCCTGTTCTGTCAAAGAACTGCCCAAGCCTTCTTCTGGCTCTGCGAGATCCTCCTCTTTCTCTTTGTCCGATGATCTTGAGCTGTTCTGCACAGATAGACTTGGTATGGTAAACTGTGGGATGCTGTCAGGTGTCAGGATATTTGGATAAATGTTCTCCCGGCTTATCTGAGAGTCTGAGCCAAGAGAGCACCCAAGTGACTTTGCACTGCTGGTGGCCCACAAGAGGGCGCGGACCCCTGCGCTGCTGTGCCTGCGTCCTGCAGAGAAGTCCTCTTTAGCTCTGGTTACTCTGGAAATTCCCCCAATGCTGACTGTCCTTGTGACTGCAGTTTTATCCATCGCTCAGTTTCCTGCCCTCTCGTTTAGCACCGGCTCAGTTGTAGTTCGGAGAGTAGAGAGATGACCGGCTTTTATACTCCTCTACATTTGAATTCCATCCGCCACAATATGCATCGACAAATAGATGTGACGAAAACAACAGGCGGAAGTGTTTGCCTGTTAAGGGAGCTTGTCAAGTATGAAGGCATAATGACGGACCTCTCTCATGAGCCTCTTCATATGCTAAGAGGCAAACTGAGATGGAGCCTCTTCCTGCCTTGTATAAGATTGGGATTAACATATACCTATATTTGGAAGCATACCATAGATTTCATAAGGTAAAATGATTTCAAGCTTTTTTTCCGGGGCGCAATAACTATTCCAATAAACCTGAACCCGAATAAACCTGCCAATTACTGTTTTGATCACTCAAAACTGTAGGGTCTTCAAAAGAATAATAAAATCTATAATTTGATTCACTTATTCCTCTAAGGCTGCAGACAAAAGTTGTCTGTCTAAACGACCATTTAAAGGAAGTGTTTAAAGGGTTTGTAATGATAGGGATTTATTTTTATGTTGACTGGACATCAAGCATGAAGCGACTAGTTCAGAAGATACTGTAATGGAGAGTGGGGTAAGTTGAGCCAACCCCTATTGCTTGGAAATGGTAAAAGAAATTGATCATGTGACCAAATATTTAGAAGATGGGCATCAATTCATGGAGTCTGCGAAGGTTAGAAGCACATGAGTGAAGGGGTTAGACATTTATTTACAAAAACACATTTTTCACTCTTGAAAGTGAATTTAGTCTGTCATAAGTTTTATTAGAATTGTGTTCAGACCAAAAAAGATCATTTTAAATTTGTTTTATACATCAATTGTAGGATCTTGCGAGAACATGAGGTCAAAAACCTAGCATAAAAGTCCACCATTTAGCTTAGAGGACTAATAAAGTCATCATAGTAGTTCTGGGGTAAGCTGAGCAAGTGGCTCAACTGAGAAAGTAAATGAGTCTGATGAGAGGATCAGATTTTCAGTTCAGATTGTTGAAATGTGTTACTTTATCTTTTCGAAAATACAGCTGTGAATCACTTTAAGGCATTCTCATGTCAAAATGGCTTTTTACTAAACAGCTTTTTAGCAGTTAGATGCAATAATAATAATAATAAAAAGAATTGTTGTACCAGTTTAAAATAGATAAAAATACACATGAATGTGAAGAAGTGACTGTTATTTAGGGAGAGGGAAGGTGAGGGAGGGCTGGGGTGGAGAGTGGGGGGCAAGTAGGGATATGGCTCAACTTACCCCGCTCCTATAGGAGACCACTTTTTTTTGGCATGCTATATTATCAACAGTTATGTTTACACTCATTCTGTTGGTTTACAGGGATGCACAACATTTTGAAATATATGCAGATACACTAGTTAGAAACAAAACCATGATTGACTTGATGTAGTGATCTGAAATATGAAAAATGGCTCATCTTACCCCACTCTCCCCTACCCATGTATTACCATAACCTCAAAGTAATTGTTTCTTTTTGTAATCTATCAGCTTCCTATTGATGGACAGTGAGGGAAAATATCTAGATTTAATAAGGTCAACATTATTCACACCAGGGTATGAGGGTTAATTCATTTTCTCAGTAGCATTGACTCGACTTTGCATTTCAATGCCAGCTAACCCTGGACCTGGCTTTCTATAAGTTCTGTTATTTTCTTTTCTATGCAATGTGTAATGATTTTGCCAAAACAAAAGCCAAACCTTGAAATCCAGGCTTAGTCCACCTTCTTGCCCTGCTCCTGGTTGATTGGCTGGAAACATTCAACGGTTGGCCTTGATTGCTCCAGGTGCATTCACCCCCGTTGATTGGCTGAACGGTGGAAATCCTCCGGTACATTTCAGCCTCCAAAGCAGCTAGAACTTTAGTCCTCCAGTCTCTCCTCCTCACTGAAGACCTTCAGGTCCAACAGAGCCGCCGCAGCAGCATGGCAAGTGAGCCCAGCACAGACACCACCGAGCAGGAGCAGGCCCCGAACACAGAGGTAATGGTGGACCTACTCCAAAGCTAGCTTGTTCGATCAAATACTGTATCCTGAGAGGACTATCATCGATATGGGAGAGGTTGAATTGTGATTATTATGGTTTTTCTCGTTTATAGGGCAGAGTGGTGAGGAGAGACGGTGTTTTTCGCTCCATGGTGCGCGGTCTCCTCTGGCCTTTCGGCATTGTGGTACGTTCAGAAGCTAATATCTGATAGCAACTTGTTAACTTCACCATGCGGCCTAACTTTCTCTCGCCCACAGGTGTATGCGTACCGGGGGTTTTGGTGGGTGCTGGGCTACAGGCAGCCTCAGGAGAAACCAGTAGCTAGCCCCTCGGCCTCCAGTCCCGGCCGCCAGAGCCTCACCGGCCGGAAGCGCCTGCACAGGGTCACCCGCATTCTGCTGTCCATCCTGCCGCGCTGGGTGCAGGGCGCCCTGGGTTACCCACTGTCGAGCAGCATTGGTCGCTCCCTCTCACCAGGTAGTACAGGCTGCCATGGTCTGTATGGTGGTCATTAAGTCTTTCTTTAAACCACTATTTATGAAACACTCTGGGGAAAGTTCTTTGTTAGCTAGGTGAGAAAGACCACACTCCAATCCTTATGAGCCAACTTGAGTTTTCAAGTCAAATCTAGAAGTTGGCCATTGAAGTCTGGTCAATCACCAAGGACTCCTAAGGTAATCAGAAGTGGATGCCTCTAGAGACCCAAAAGTAAGACTTAAAATATATATGTATCTAAATGAATGAGTACTTGGCAGCAGTACTGAATTGGCTCACCATTAGTTTAATCTATGCTGTTCAATTATGAGAAACCAGTTTTATTTGGGTTTGATATAGACCTTGAAAGTGTCTCCAATGTTTCTGAACTGGGATCCCATAAGATGGCCCCAATGCAAAGATTTGGTTTAATGCTCAACAGGTATACCTATAATTTTGTTTAGGACATTTATTTCAATACATACTTTGGTTTGAACTCGATGTAGACTTGTTTCTTCAACATCTCTGTGAAAATTTAGGGTTTCAGGTTCTGTGTTCTCTACAAGTAATGCGGTTTCGTAACACTTTCCTTGGCTCATGGGATATTTGGCACATTTTATCTTCATTGAAATGCATGTTGGTGAACAGTCTGGATTGCTCACCTTCACTGATCAAATGTAACAGCTGTCATATCCATGGAGATTTTATTCACAATTTGTCTGCAAACTCATTATTTTTTTTCCACATGATGTCAAGCATGGGAGACAACTCTTTAGAAAACAGACTCATTTATTTATTTTTTGTCTCTACAGAAATCAGAGTCTCTCCTACTAAACCTTGTGGAAAGGGCAGCAAGAGAAAGCAGGATGAGTTGGATGAAGATGAGGAGGAAGATGAAGAGCATCCAACCTGGGTGGAGGCACTGACTCAGGAGCTTGCAGATGATGATGCCCCAGAAGAGGATCCAGACTATGAGGTTGGTGCTCAAGAGGAGGCAGCAAATACCCCAAATCCCTCAGTAATTTTAGTCGGTGTTGACTTTTTATATTGAAATGTACAAGAAGCATTAAACTGACTGTCATTGTGGCCTAATTTGAGAGGAAATGAAAAGCGGGTCATTGCCTCAGTATTGCCTAAAACTACAGCATATTACACAACTCATGCATGTGCTTTTATCAGCACACTACATTTTTAATGTGGACTAAAAGTGTAATGAAACACTTTAAACCTTCATTGCTTTATAAGATCAAAAACTGTCACCATTTAGAGATGTTTTTATATAAATGGTGAATGTCTCTCAGCCCAGCACTGTAGAGACTGAAAGTGAAGAGTATCGCTCACACAACAACACGGAAAGCGACATTGAAGTTCAGGGAAACGATGTGGTCGTCATTGAGGATGTGAACACGGTAAGAGCCACAAGGTTTTTATTTTATATACATTTTTAAATTCATTTGAATTGTATGGAAACTAATCAACTTGTGGTTTTTTTGTCTTATTTTTTTTAAGGGTATTGATCCATCCCCTCCATCCGAAGCCACGTTGGCTGCTGTTTAATATGTCATATTGACAACATGTTGTATTGCTGTTTTTTGTATGTTTGTAAATTAATTCAATAAAAACCTTTTTGCCTTGACATTGCTGTGGCCTCTCACTAGATGGCAGTAAAGACATTTCTGTTCAGTCACTCGAACAAAGTGTTGGTAAACAAACCCCTAGATATACTTGGTACAGCTGATACCCGGTTTGAATTATTGGCTTCATTTTAAATCCTCAGTGTTGAGTATTTAGACTGCGAGCTCTGAGCTCATAGATCCTAATTTGAGTAGTTTACAGCTGCAACACATCACAAAAACATGGGTGTCCAACAGTAAAGTTTTTTTTTACCCCCATACCTTTTTTTGTCTAGTTATCCTTTCTTCCAGAGATTTACTTTCTGATGTGCAGTCCATCTGAAAATATAGTCTGTGATTAAAGCATAGCTTCAAGTTATGTGAGCTTGTACAGTGCACAATGCGGGCAAAATGCAGGTTTGAGTTGTCTAATGTACACAAATCCTTGAGCTTGAAAGGAATCTAAGATTTGTACAAAACAGCTTGCCATGATTTCATTTGGCATCAAATGAAGTCATGGCATTACATTTAAGAATAAGGAGTTGTGCGGTGCGTCTTGACTGTAAACCTAAATCTGTGTCAGATCAATCTGTCTGCAACATTGTTTTTCCAGTCGAGATAAAGCTGGCCTTTTTGCTGGAAGATCTTGTTTGTGGCAAAGTTAATGTTCATGATTGTCAAATGAGTGTTCGCTTCCCATGACATCCTCTACTGCCGGGAAGCCAAACCATCTTTTTGTCTGACAAGTTCTTTATTCATTATTCTGACTAATGAACCCACTGAGGAAGACTTGATGTTTTCAGTCTATTTGTCCCATGAATGACTTGTCAAAGCTGAGGCAAGCATCTTTCTTCTTGGACAGTTTGTTTTGAGGTCTGACTGCATGTAAACTAGATCTACTTTTGACTTTCATCATGGGAGTCTCAGCTGTTTGTAGAGACAAAGTGTTACCACTGAGCTTACCATCACACTGGCTCTCTGCTGCAGGTGAGGAGAAAGCTGCCAACATGTAGCTCTCTGACCATCGGTGTGTGAAGAGGATGAGTGTTCCTTCTTGCTGTCCTCATATCCCTCCTCCATCCACCTGCACATAAGCTCGTCTTGGTCTTTAGTTAACTTTTGTGCTCAATGTATGCCCGACAAAGACCTTGAGAAAATCTGAAGTATTTTTCAAAGCAGCTGTTATTGTCTGGAAAGTTGGAAGGGAAGTTTTACTGATGCTGCTCTTAAAGGTCAGATTACTATTCATGAGAACTACTCGGCAAGTGGAAACATTTTAATAACATTTCCTGTGGCCTTGTCATGCCATAAAGAATAACCCTGCTGTCACACTTTTAAAATAAAACTACTATTACAAACTGAAGGTTTAGAGTCGGAAGACCTCATGATAAAGTCACGTCAGGAATGTCTAATGAAACAAGCTGTTCGATTTTATTACAGGGAAATGACGGTGCAGGTTTTCCAGAGTCTCTGCTGCCTTTTTTAAAATGACAATTTTCACTTTTTTAATCTCCGTCATCAGCATAACACCTGCTGTAGTACAAGTCTGGTAGTCCCAAAGTCAAAGAAATATAAAACTGGCACACAGTGGCTCTAAGATGCCTTTGTATTGTGCAGATAACATGTTTCAGCTGAATGTAAGAGTATATTTATACAATGATAACCTTCATTAAATCTAGAAGTTATGTTCAAATGCTAAATTTGATGGGCATATTACACATGATACTGTTGAGTGATAACACTAGAATTCAAACTGTGACATAAACAAGTCAAAATCATGTCAGAAAACATACCTCTGTTTTTTTCAGTCAAAGCACTAAATGTGAATTAAACAGTTTTAGACCTCTCATGGAAGGTGTGGCAATTTTTTTAGAGACTTTTATTGTAACACTAAGGATAAACAATGTATAATAAAGATTTTGTTTGTTGGTGAATATTTTATTCATCACTCTGATTTAATTAGCCACATCTGTTTGTTATTGTGTAGACAATCATAACTCTGCATTATGGTGCCGTTGGTTACGTCTACAACCTTCCTGATGTGATTGCAAGCCAACAATCACAGTAATTACAGATTCAGGAGATCACAAGGATGCTATTTCGACATTATTCTCTGTCTGACCTCCTTTTGCAACCACTGCCAAATTATATGGCACATGAATAAATTGTCAACACCTATATGACATTCTCTGCAGCACACATTTAATACTATGATCTCCATTAAACCTTGACTGCAAAGCTTTTGTTTATCTATTTGTGTCTGCATGATGAGACCATCCGCCTTTTTACAGCAGACAAAATCCAGCAGTCTCAGGCACTGATGCAGTTGTTGACACCTGCTTTTAATTAATTCCTGAAAAACACTTGAAGTTGTTTTGACGATGAACTCTGCGACTTCCTCTTTTTCTTTTCCTCTGAGATGTTTTCCTCCTCCTCCTCCTGATGCTTTTGTGTAAAGACAACCGCCACCCAACTTTAGCAACAATAGTGTGAATTTAACGCTTGATGTCTATGTGTGTGTGTGTGTGTGTTTGTGGGCAGAACAGTTACAGTGAGGGCTGTATACAGAAGAGGAACTGGTGGTCTCTGGGGGTTCCCATGGCTGTCTGAACGTTTGAAGGGTAGGCTGCTCAGCAGAGGCAGCCATAGAGAGCATCGACCTCTATCTGTGATGTTTGTAGCCAGCTGGAGACTGCTTTTAAACCAAGAGCTCTGCCTTTGCCTTTCAACTGCAAGGTGAAAACACAGCATCTTGAAGAGGGCTATAAATTTCATGTGCACAGTCCCAGGTGTGCTGTAGCACAAAGGCTGCCTACCTCATGCGGTGATTGCAGTCCTGGTCTTGTTCTTTAAAGGATTGCTGCATGAGGAGTAAATTATAGAGGTGATTAGACTCAATGCAGAAGCTTTTCTTCCTATTGTGTCACGGCTTTCGATTACATTTTTTGAACTTGTACACTAGTTTTAAAACTTGTAGAAGCTTTTTTTTATTTTTATTATCAGTCTCTCCCACAACCAAAAAGCACATAGGAGTGATGTGAAATCGGGGTGCAAGTTAAGCTTGGCTGGAAGAACAGGTGCTCCATGTACAGAGGCTGCAGTCTTCATCACACTTTTTGTTGGATTGATTTCCAGTCCTGACATGATCTGGTGCATGTGGTCCCCCCCACCCCTCCACTCTCCCTCTTTCTTGAGTTTTTCCTCTCTAAAGGCAAAAATAATCCTACGTAAAAACGAGTTTATACGAAATGTTAACAAAGCTGCGTAAGACACATGACACTGATTTGTTAAAACCCCATTACAACATTGATTGATTAGCATTAACAGGACATCCTGATCACAACTGTCATATTACATCAATCGACACAAGAGCATATTTTGTTTCTGCCCATTGCAAAAAGTCTCTATTAGCACTCTTAATGTGTATGTTAAACATCTTAAAGGGTTTATTCAATATCAGCAAAGGCAGCAGAAATGGTGAGTGCATCTCTAATGTGCTGATCAACGTAATTCAAGCGGCGTTGAAAATAGCCACAATGTCAACATAAATGACCCTGCAATTGATCTGTTCACCTTGTCTATAACCTTGCCTTGAGTGGAAATGTTCAGATTAATGGGAATTACAACAAATAATCAGGCTTTAAACTACCGACTATATAATGTTGTCATCTTTAAATTAATATTTTGTGTTAGCTTGTTTATGTCTTAAATTGGTGGCCCGGTAATAAATGGGTAATGTATAAGGAGCAGGTAGTAACCCACTTATATCAGGGTCCTGCTCACCCTGTACAGATTAACCTGCTCACTATATCATCCTTTACATAATAAATACATTAAGAGAATAAACCAATCACACAGTTGAGGGTTTGAGCATGTTATTTAGAACAAATAAAGGTGGGCACAGTTAATCCAAAGTTTAACTCCATTAATCTTTAATCCCCTAAGAAACAAGTTAACTCTAATTACAGTTCATATATTCTCAACGATGTGAAAAATGAGACCTGTTAAAAGTTTGATGGTCTGCCCCTTGCCATGAGTTTAGGCAATAGTAGCACTTGTTAGTTTGGCCCATAACATTGACCAAATTTTCATTTTGTCTACTGGACTGCCAGAAATGTGTCTCATTATCATGAGGATAACCAGCTTTGTTATCCTATAATAACTAGAAAACAGAAAAGAATTGAATCGAACAGATTTTCAATTAAAGTTCTGAGATTCATTAACAAAGCAAAACAGAGATTCAAACATGTCCTACCTACTTTGCATTTTTTGTGCTAAAATTGTTCCATTATTGTTTGTAAAGATTATGCTCCTTCGAAGACAACAACCTCTGAAATTACTTTTAGCCTGTAACAAAACATCTCTGACAGACAGACACAATCATTCCCAGAGGCTCAAAAATCTGCAGAGAAACAACTGCAGGATTGAGGGACATCGGCTTATTGTCACCTTGAATGAATAGCAGCAGGTTCCCCCCACAGGCCCCTCAGTCCAACCTGCAGGCTATTGTTTTCTGCATCACAATGAGACGCTGTAATGATAGCAAAATTCACTCTCCAGCCTCTTAGTTTTCCACCTTAACCTTTTTTATTCCCCCCATCTCGCACAGCCCTCCTCACACAGTCACGCAGCTTGTTTCGCTTTACCTCCAGCTTAATGACCAGCTGTCCCTGGAGATTTCAAGTGCATCCATCATCTTCAGAGAAGTGGTGCAGGAAAAGAGGCATGAAAAATGGAGCAGACAGGTGGAGCCCTCAGCTGGTCTTGTGTTTTGGAGCTGAGGACAGTAAAGTTTCAGGGTATAGGAAAAAAAACGGAATAGAAATCAGATTTTATGTAATGGATGTTGACCGTAGTGCTGTGAGAGACTGGAGGACTGACTTGTTGGTGGATGAGCAAGTCCTTCTTCGGGGCACTGTCTCTGAAAATCAAGTCAAAGTTTTAGTACGAGACAGAATAGAGGAAAATCACTGCAGAGGTAATTTATAGCTGCAGTCTTATTCATTTTTAATGTCTGATTTATCCCTTTACAAAGATTAACATGAT